GTACGACCCATCTGCGCAGCAGCAGGCCCTGAGCATCTGGGAACAGCTCAGGGAGTGGTCGCCTTCGCTCAACTTACTAGACGAAGAACTTGCCGGAGCTGTCTACACACAGCAGGAGCCTGAGGACGACAACTTCAACTCAGGACCATCGTCCCCCGCACCAGCACCTCTCCCGCGTTTCCATTCGTCAAACACCACCTCCGAGACCGTACAGTGGCCCAGTAAGCCCACGCCTCAACCCAAGGTCAAACTAGTCGGCTACAAGGACGCTGCGACGCAAGACGACGAACGCATCTACATAGGTGCGGAGCCCTTTGTCGCCTCCGTCTTCAACGGCTGCTTCCACCGGCCCCGTCCTGTCAAAGTAGTTACGGTACTGCAGGATTTGGTTTCGGGTGGTGTGGCGGTGCGTGATTGCAAGGGGGTGTACTCTGTGCGGAACAAGCAGTTTGATCCTGTACATCACTGGGGAGAGCAATTCAGCGATCTCCCATATAAGGTCGTGGAGGGCATTGAGATAGCAGGGAAGCAGCCGGAGGTGGAGATTCTTGACGAGAAGGGTGTTCCGCTCCCGCTGCACGAAAGCGTGGAGAGTAGGTTTGGCTGTGGGTAACAATTATACAATAGGAGCTTTCCTCAAAGCTCCGGCTTGATTCAGCTGGCTCACTCCAGCTTAGTTAATTAACTTGATGAACGCGATCGTGATAGGCGAGGACGGGCTGAGAACGGATCCCTGTCGAGCCTAGAGGTATAAGCACTAAGGGCGGACCTTATGGAATGCTGTGTATATGCCCTCTGTCAATCCTGCTCTGATGCGCGTCTCGAGGTAGGGTAGGATCACAGTCTTGTTACACAAAACAGGCCTATCAACCCTCCTATGATTATATTATCCTTAATATTTATTGGTCTGTACGCTCACGAAGAGTTGCTTCGAGAGCCAAACGACAAATGTTTGGCCTCTTCGCACTCGCATTTATGTCGAAGTACCGACTGATCCGCGCCGGGCCTTATCACACGAGGCCCTATCCTGGATACGTAACGCTCATCCGACTAACGATAGATGAACAACAACGGAACATCCTCAAACCACAACGGAAAGCGCCTTATACGCTAGTCAGGCAACACCCAAAGTCTCAATTAAATCAATACGCGGTTCGTCCAACTACCTTCGGTTGGCTTAACCACCTGCGGATAGCGACTAACTCGGCCATGGCACGTAATTTGTGCGCTCCAGATGTTTTGGCGTGACAGGAGGTAATGCCGTACACAAGAGGTAATTACCCTACTGTTTGTACGGCAAACACGGAGCCGTCGCTATCCTAGCTGTTAGTGCTGTGGTCCAGCTATATCTGTTAGGCCAGCATTGCTGAAGCGGCGACGAGGGCACGGTAGGATAAAGCATCGCAGGCATGCATGCTTCTTTGGTCAACGCCACGGATTACAGAAGCTGATTTGGTTTCGGGGCTCGGCAAAAGCGACGAGGCAGTGCAGCCATTGTACAAATGCCCGTACATCAGTACGACAAAGCTGCCGCCATCGGCGCCATCTCCACCCTGACCCCTTCCCTCTCCAAGCGTATCGGATGTTGCTTTATTTCTGTAAAGTACGACTATCTCGCCCGACTGCCGTAGTACGGAAATTCGCTTTAGTGCACGCTTTTGCCTACGTACGGAAGGTATGCCTGCTGGTACATTGGATTCGTGGGTTAGTGCGAGATTGTATGTGGCCGCCATCGCCGCAGCATTGTCGGTAACCTGTACCTTCGTAAAGGCGGGTGTGGCATCGCGTTCTGCGCTTCGTGCATGCATAGGACCCGAAAACGTGAACAGTTTCAGGGCTAATATTTTACACACCTACACTGACTATAGCGCAACAGCAGACCTCGTGAACGAGGGTTCTACCTCCTTCCACAAGGCTTAAGACCTAAGAGCTACGTACATCAAAGACTCCCTAGGCGCCTGTTGCCATCGTCTCACTGTCCAACAGAGCTTCCCTTCACGTGGCTTTATTATTAGCCTTGTAGTGAGGTCAAGTGGTAGTGCACACGAACATGTCTTACTAATACGTTCGCCGTAGATAAGATGTATGGCATGTCCTACAAAGCTATCATACACATCAACCGTTTTCCGTCGTAGCACCCGCCTGCCGTACGAAAGATGTACCACGCCACCACCAACACCCTCACATGTAGAGCTCACAAGAAGGTATCTGTGTTGTTACTCAAATCAACCAGGACAGAAATCCCAAGGGCTCCGGAGCCTCGTGCGACCCAGTTCCAGATTACCTAAACCGCGTGTTGTCCGATAGAGACTTGGGCCGAGTGCACATTCCTGCGCCAAGGACAACGTGAGTTTCGAACCCACGAATGCCGCCACGAGGCGGGTAGGGAGCATGTGCGACTTCCAATCCTTTTTGTGTGCCTAAACAATTTATTCCCTCCCTCGGCGTGCATCACGGGCTTCATTTCTCCGCCTCCTCTCACTCCACCACGTATTTGGCTCTTCCCTCCCTTGCCCTGGGACAGACAAGGGAAAACACACATACGGCGTCAGTCCACATCCATCTGCTAGAAACAACGCACTTACCGCGCCCACCGCCAGCACCTGCTCTTAGAGTACCAGGGTATATCAGGGCTGAAGTATCAGGGCGCACATGTCGCAGTTGAACGCTCTGTTCCCACTTCATGCCAGTGGCGACAATGCGCTCTCATTCGTCGCCAGCCGCCGGAGCCACCCGAGGCCCCTCATGGGGTCGGATTCTCGGAATTTGACCTCATGAATTCCCAAGGAATTCCGGGCCGAAACCCGATGAGATTTGCGGATTTGACCCTCAAAACCCTAAGCAGTTTAATGGTCATGCCAAACCAAAGGGTAAGCAGGGCAGGACTCAATATCCCGAATTGAAGAATCTTTCCATTCCGGAGACATGCTATTCCGTTTCATCCGTTTTGGAGTCGGTGACCCGGGGCCCCCATGGGTTTGAATGCATGTCTCTAAGGCTGATGTGCGAGAGCCATGCACCTAAAAGACTCAACGGTAACCAGGTCGGAACTCAAACGCCCGAAATGAATCTTATATCAACCTGTAGGTGGACATGTGTGTTTTACTTTCATCCATTTGGGAGTTGATTAGCCTAGGAAGGCTCCCATGTGCTTGACTGAGTACCTGTAAGCCTGATAATGCGTGGGAGTAATGCACCTAAAACCCTGGGATAACAACCAGTCAGGACTCAAAAGCCCTAAATGGTCTACATATCAACATGCAGATATTTTCCTTATGGACATGTTAAACTTGGTTTCATCCGTTTTTTGGTAGCGTTGGAATAGCGTTGGATTCCACGGGTTTGACATGATGCTTGTAATCCTGATTCGTGGGAGCCATGCACCTAAAACTCAACGGTAACCAGGTCAGAACTCAAAAGCCCGAAACGAATTTTTCCATTCGATTGACAGAAGATCCTCCTGGCCGCACACCCGGCCGCTCCTATGTGGCCACACACCTGTGTGTGTGTGTGTGTGTGTGTGTGTGTGTTCTCCGTAGCTAGACTGCCACCCCGAGAGCCCTGGTAGGGGGGATGTGCCACACATGCGCCCGCTCCACCCCTCCCATACCGCCACCCACCACCCAACCAGCCGGCCTCGCCCCGTACCCCCTCTCGCGTTTTTCATAGCTTATCCACTATCCCCCGCAGCCAACCAACACCCCCGATTCTCAACAGCTCCGAACTACCTCCTGAAAACCGCCCTTACCACAACCCTGCGTGTAACCGCCCTACACCACCCCCAGCCACTATCGCCGCCAACTGAAAAGCGACGACAGCACCGACTTTTTGTCCACTTTACGCAGCCGGTGCTCCAGGCTCGGGTACGACACGCAGTTGCTGGCGGTATCCAACATGATGGGACGGACGGGAATGGCCATGAAACCGTAAGGTGCCTTGTGCAGCCGAGGCGGCGCCTTGGCGCCGCTCGCTCCTGCTCCCGTTCCTGCCGCCGCCGTGGGCCCCCCGGCGAAGCTCTCCCACTTGTCTAGCGCCTCCAACAGGTAGGTCTGCTGCTGCTGCTGCTGCGGTCCGGCTGTCTGCTGCTGCTGCTGATCCCCTAGCGATAGTCCTCCCACACCCGCCTGCAGCAGCTCGTCCTTGGCCTTGAGCTCCGCAGCGAACATCTCCGCCTGGGCTACGGCCCTGCGAACGAGGGAGAGAGGGGAGAACGCGGGAGAACGCGGGAGGCGGGAAGGGTACAAAGTGAAAATGCAAAAGAAGTGGAGGTGAGAGGTGTAGCGGCTGCGGCTGCGGGTTCACCTGGGGGATATGGAGGATGGGGCTAAGTGAAGAGCTTCGCCTGTCTGAGTGGATAGTGGTGCGGTGGATGCGAGACGAGAGACGAACGCTGTGACCGCCGGCACCACCTCCTCCTCTTCCTACCCTGCATCTCCACAAGGCATACCACTCCTCCCCCTGCCGTCCAACATCACACACTGCTCCCAAATACCTCCTCACCTCCCTCACTCCTCACTCCTCCCCTCCCGCACTGCTCTTGCATGAAACTCCCCTCCCCCCTCCCCCCTCCGCCTCGCACGCACTTGTATGCAGTCGCCTGTTTAACCAGCTCCCCCAAATCCTCCAGCAGCCCGTCACGACCCCGCAGCAGCACCTCCGCAGCCGGGTCCCCCGCGGGCAGCCCACGGAGCTGGTCCGCAGCTGCACTGGCTCGGTCCTGAGACCGGCTCAGAAGGGCCCAGGCCTCCAGGGCCTTGGAAGAGGCGGCGGGGGTGGAGGGGACGGAAGCGGAGTCCGGGGGCGCGGCGGTGGCGGAGGCGGCCGCCACGGCGACAGCGAGCAGCGCGTGAGCCACGTGGTAAGTACGTACGGCACGTACGGCAACAACCTGTATTGGTATGAAAAGCGAGACGAGACGAGAGGGGTAATGGGGTTGGGGAGGGGCGGAGGGAGGTGGGGAAGCGGCACTGAGCAAATCCCTTCCCGCCCAGGTCTTGATCAGGCCCTCTCCCATTCCCGCTCCTTCCCCCTTCCAATTCCCGACACCAAACCCCCCTCCTTTTCCTTTTCACCCCACACATATTAAAAAACCGGGGCCCCTTACAGTTCCCCCCCTTATACTCCCCCTGTACAGTCCCCCCTTATTCAACCCCCGGATCACTCACTCCCCTCACTCACCCTTGCCGCCGCCACGTCATGCAGCGCCTCCCCCGCTCTGCCCCCCATCCTGGCCCCCAGGTCCGCCAGGTCCTCCAGGTACCTGGACAGCAGGTCGCACACACGGACGACCTCCTCGGGCCGGGCGTGGCGCTCCTTGTCCTGCGAGGGCGGGCAGTCGCAGTCAGGCGGGGAAAGAGGGATGGGATATCTGGGGAGGCAGTAGGCATGGCGTGGAAAGGCACGCCTTTGGTGCACAAGGCGTACAAGAGGAGCTCTCCAAAGTTTCCTTACCAAGTAATATGCTTGTATCTAGCAGCACATTATAAGGAAAAGTAGTGCTTATACGGTACTTATTTGAATAATATTTTCCCCGCTTGACTTTGTGCCCCTTGCTTCATTTTCTTGTGCCCCCTTTTATTTTTAAAGCGCCTCCTCCGTGAGCACAGCCAACTGACCCGCCTTTTCCTTTACCAAAACCCACGCACACATAAGCACACGTACACACCGCTTTACCCTTCCGTTCACCCTCCCCACTTTTCCTTTTTCCCCCCCATAAAATTGCTCCCCCTCTCCAATTTCCTCCCCCCCCCCGTTCCACCTTGATCTTCTTCCCGGCCGCCAGCCTCTGCAGGCCCGCCACGAAACGCGTCCGGGTATGCGCCAGGTGCACCTCACTTCGTTCCACAGTCCGCTGCAGCCGCAGACCTTCCACCGCCACCTCCAGAGCCTCCAACTCCTTGAAGTGCGCCTCGGCATCGGGACCTGCGGGAGGAGGGGGGAAAGAGGGGGGAAAGACGAACCACGAACGAGTGAAGCTGCTGCCAGGGCAAGAGTGTACCAGACGTAGAACTGACCAAAAGGCGTTGGAAGAGGTGGCGGGGGCGGGGGAAATGGGACGAGAGGCGTAACATTTGACGTGCAACGTGCGGGGTTGGAAGTGGAGGTGGAGGTGTGAGCAACTACATGTAGCAAAATTCACGAAATCAAGTGCTGGAGCTCAACAAAGGGGGTCTAGGGGTTGGAGTTGTGCAAGGAAAAAGAAGGTTTTCATTGAGAGCTGTCGCACCACTGACCACCGCGTTACATCATTCCCCAACCCGGACATCCCCCACCCTCGCCACGCTCACCTGCCAGACCCTTCACGGCATTCCGTACATGGCTCTTTGCCTGGGCCAGTGCGTTGATGGCTTTGTCGTACAGTGCGAGTCGGGAGTCCAGTACATCACCCTCCCCGGAGTCCATCACCTAGGGGTGCGGGAGCCGGGAGGGGGAGGGGAAAGACGAACCACACACGAGTGAAGCTGCTGCCAAGGAAAGAGTGTACAAGAAGGCGGGGGGAAATCATAGGAGGAGCAGGAGGGCGATGATGACAATGCAGCAACTGCAAATACGCTCGAGAAAGCGCTGACGTGGTAAAATGGTAAAAGGGTCAACTGCCCGAAACCTGACGGCACCCCTCCCTACCCCCCTCCCTTCCCGCCCTTTACCTCTCTTTCTGGACGCCGGCAGCTGTGTTTATTCCACTCTTATGGTCCAATAATCCGGCCCCCTTACCTGCTCCGCCTGGGCGCCAAACTCCGCTGCCTGGTGCAACGCCAACTTGACGCGCTCATGCCGTACGGGGTGGTTGACTCCCATCCACGACACGTACGACGTAGAGGCGGCCTGCGCCATCTGGGCCTCCTGGGCCAGCGCCGCCAACTTGGACTGCAGAAGGTCTCCCCCGCCGGGCAGCTCTCCCCCCCTCGCGCCCACATCTGACACGGCCGACAGCAGCGCGGAGGGGTCCGCGGGTACGGCACCCCCCGCCCGGGATATGCGGTAATTGCAGTACCGGATGTTGGGCTCCATCTCCTCCACCTGATGAAATGGGTGGAAGGTAAGTACGCGACGGGGGGCCTCAGGAAAAGGGGGGGGATGAGGGCCTCCCGGCCAGAACCCCCGCACCTCCTGGGCAGTACATCATCATGCATCCACAACCGGACAATGGCCGGTGAGCTCTTGTTCTTCCCTTATCGCGCTCACGTCATCCGCACCCGCACGCGCACCCGTACCCATCCTTGCACCCGCACACCCTCCCCCTCTCCCTCCTCGCCTGTGCCAGGTACAGCGACTGCCCCTCCAGATTCGGACAGGCCTTGGCCAGCTCCTGCCACAGCTTCCTGGGGAAGGACGGAAACGCGAGTGGGGGTTGGGGGTTGGGAGGGGCAGTTGGGGGTTGGGAGGGGCAGTTGGGGGTTGGGAGGGGCAGTTGGGGGAGGACTGTCATGATGATACGGTGGAGGGGGAAGCCCGCGTCAAAGGGCCCACCGTGCCTCGAAATATGTCCACCACCCGAAGAGGCGTCATCAGCAACCCCCCCCCCCGTCACCCTCACATCCCCACGGACCAGGGGCAAGCCGGCCATGAGCGGGACGGCCCAGGTCAAGGCGACGAGAGGAGACTTAAAAACGAAATAGCAGCACTGTCCGCAACCCCTTACTTGGCCCTAGTGAACTTGGCCAGTGCCAGCTCCCAGTCCGACTCCCTCTCCAGCAGCAGGTTACCCCCCATCCAGCAGCAGTACGCCTCGGCCTCCAGGGCGCCCTGGGTGTCGGAGCGGGCGGCGGCGAAACGGGCCAGCTCCGAAGCCCAAAGAACCGCCTGATGGGACGAGATGATGGGACGACATGATGCGGTGAGATGTCAAATGGGAAACCTGTGCACCGGGTACCGGGGAAAACCACACGCGCGCGGCCCCGCCTACCCACCATCAGGTTGAGAGGTAAAGATGGTGGGGAGTGAAATGGAAGTGCAGTACAGTATACATCCCCTTTGTGCCTGAGCAGAACGTAGGTTATGGGGGTACCTTGGCTAGGCGGCCGATGAGGTGGTGGCGTTTCCGCGGGTCGATTCCCCCCGCGGCGCCCCCGCCCCGCGCCTCCGCCTCCTTCTTAAGCTCCATGGCATAGGCCCAGGCCCGCTCCGCGTTGAACAGCGGCACGTGCAGGTGCCTGGCGGAGGGAGGGAGGCAAAGGGAGGGCGCGTTCAGGAGGAGGGCTTTCCAGGCTAGGGCAGGAAGGTTGCGGAATTGCATGGAAGGGGGGGTGCCAAGCAAGTAACTAACATGAGATTGGTTGGTGACATAAGGGGTGTGTCTCGCGCGTACGGAAAAATTGTGACTGGTCTATCTCCGGGTTTAAGCAGGGGCCCCCAGAGCCGCTTACCTCACATCCGTGATGTGATGAACATCCAGCTTGCGCTTCTGGTATTTTGTCCGGCCATGCTGCATCTTGAGGACTTTGTAAAGGGTTTGCAGCCTGGAAACGCAATGCTTCCTGCAAGCACGACAGGCGGAGCAACAGGTTAGACCACCGGATAGTAGCATCGCCCTACAAAAAAGTGATCACCTGTATCTCATGTAATCGCCGTGGCGAAGCCCATTTTGAGCTTGCGCCGTCTTAATGGCCGAGAGAAGCGCAAGCGGCAGCGGAGATTGCTGCGCGGGAACAGGCGCTGCCTCTGTAGTAGTCTGAGTCAGGTCAATCTCCATTATCTCTGGCTGATCGCCAGCCATGGTCGGATGTCACTTGTGCGCACTCCGATCACCAATAGGTTAGGCCCCGCAAGATCAAGATATCAAGCAACACGTGCTTGCTTTTATCTGTAAATGGCTCTTAAATTTGGCAAAGCCCCTCAATAACGCAACGCTTGACGACTTGTCGAAGACAATTTACAAGGGTAAATGTTCTCGGCTATGCTAGTTAATTATCTACATCCAGGCAACTCATCTCCAGCATGGTAGTTGCAGATTGTTTCGTGTTTGGGAATGGCCCAGGGGTCCGACCCGTACATACTGTCGCAAATTTCTGTTTGTCGAGTCCGGTCCATCACATTATTACCAACCTACAATGCATAGTGCAATTCACGGGACGGGTGCAGCTGAGCTTTGCTTTGCAACGCTACGGTACAACCGTCAAGGACGTGTACGGCACAGCCCCCCTACCTAGCACACATAGGAGATGCGCATATTACTGGCAATACCTAACACACGCCCTTCGTGGGCGTCAGGGCCTGGGAATGCATGGTACGTGCTTGGCATCCCTAACTGCGCTGCTAAGCTGGGGGCCTCCAACTGCCTCAGGGACGCGGTCCCTAGTACCCCTAACTATCCATAACCCGCACTCTGTACTAATCGTCCTTTTATGACCCGGATCCCGTCGTGGTCCTCAGGACAGCACACACACCTGCATGCATTTGCCTCTGCCGGTTCGTTGTAGACCAACACCACCAGCAAAACCAACAGAGCAAAACCAACATTTCGCGCACAGCAATCCTCAGATCGTCCTCTCGCCCCGCGCAAGGCAAGTGCGCAAAGCACGGACGTCTTAAAGGTACCTACGCCTCGTCCTCCTCCTCCTCGTCCTCCTCCTCCGTCCCCTCCCCACCTCCTTCCTCCTCATCAGCATCCACCTCGCCATCAACTGCCATGCCAGCCTGGCCCTGACCCTGGGCCATCTGAGCAGATGCCATCCCACCCTCTGCTCCCGTCCCCTTCGCTCCTGCAGCCGTGCTGCTGCCGGCCCCCCCACCCGCTGCTACTGCTCCGCCATCCTCTGCACCTCCATTAGCACTGCCCACTGCCGCTGCCGCAGGCCCCTGGCCCTCTTGGACCTTGGACGCCGCGAGATCTGCCTGCAGCCTGGCCATCTCCTTTCGCTGCCGGGCCTCCTCCCGCGCCGCCTTGTCTTGCTTGCGCCGCTCCAAGTCGGGCACGTAGAACTCCCGATACTCCTTGGCGCACTCCGCCACTTGCTGAGGAGGGTCAGGTAGGTGGGGGAAAGTAGGGAGGAAGTGATACTTCACTTGGGAGAACCTCTTGGTAAATTAAGAGGTAGTGATTGAGTAAGGAGGAAGTGCGGGGGATGGAGGAGCAGTTGCACGGGTTGCGGGGTCCGGCACAATCCTTGGCACACTCGCCACCCGCCCACCCCACCCCACCCCACCCCACCCCACCCCACCCCACCTGCAGCATGTCCTCCATGCCCTCCCCCGTCACCGCCGACACCCCCACACTGCGAAGGTTGGAGTAGAAGGAGTCCAGCACCAGTGCCAGAGAGCGGGACAACGTGGCTGCATAGCTGGAGTCCGCCTCCAGGGCCGCTGAGTAGCTGTCGAAGTCGCTCATCCACTCCAGGGCGAACTCATGACGCGCTACATCCACCTTATTAAAGAGCTGTCGGGAGGGGGACCGAAGCACATTGCGGACGGATTACAGTCAGGAGCACATCCAAACTGCAAAAATAAGCGACAGACATGCGGCCGATCACGCACTCCGCCTCCCCATTTCCCTCTATCCACAGCGGAACCCACGGCAGTAGCAGCAGCACTAGCACTAGCAGCCACACACACCCGGCCGCCACCGCCGGGGGGCCCCCTCACCAGCAGCATGGGCAGCTTCGTTTTGTACATTATGGAGCAGGCTTGCAGCATGTTGGACATAAAGGTCTGCGGTTGGGTGACTCTGGGGGTGTCCACCACGTAGGCCACCAGTGTGGGGAAGGAGGACGCGAACAGCTCAGTCACAATGGAGCCCGAGGCAGACCAGGTGAAGATCTCAATTTGCCCGGGGGTGTCCACCACAACGTACTCCAGGGGGGGGTCGCGGGGCTTCTCGCACAGCTGGACGACCTGGGGGTTGGGTTGGCGGGGGAGAGAGGGGAAGAGACAGCTTGTTGTTAAGAATGGTGGTCGGTGTATAGGTCGGTATGTAGGTCGGTATGTAGGCCGATGGGTGAGCGATGGAAAGGGGAAGAGCATGTGGATGGAGGTGGGGAGGCGGTACGGAGGGTTCAGAGGGGGTGCGTGTCATGGAAGCATCACCATCACAGGGAATTTCGCTCGACGGTGTGCGCCGCCCCCTCCCTCCCTCCCTCCCTCCCTCCCTCCTGCCCACTTGTCGTCCCTCTCTCTACGCTCGGATACACGACAAGAACAGCGCCACCAGCATCCTCAGACCCAACAGAAGTGGAGGGCTTCTAGCAGCGGAAAGAAAGGCGGGGCCCACCTCCCCTCCCCTCACCCCACCCTCACCCTCACCTGGTCAAATCGCGTGGCGAAGAGGTTGCAGGAAGTCAGGATACCGCCGTTGGGCCCCAGATTGTACTGCCGCATCACGTTCTTGTACTTCACCTGAGGAGGGCCGAGGGGGGCCGCGGCGGCGGCGGTGGTGGTGGAGGGGTGGCACGTCAGTGAGGGTTCTCCCTCGTAAGGCGCTCCTTGTTGCTACGGCTATTGCTATTGTTGCGACGGCTATTGCTAATGTTGTTGCCTAAGCAGGCTTCCTCCTCTGCCGACTGTCATCTGTGCCGCCTTGCTCTGTCCCGCCCGGGCTCCGACATAAGTCCCGACACAATCCACTCGTAGTCGCAGCCTCTGCCCACCCATGCGTGAGAGTATGCGTGTGCGAGGGAAGGGGAGGTAGGGGGAGTTACATGCAAGGGTGCGAAAAGCGGGAAGGGGGAGAGAACCCGGTCCCCCTGTGTGAGCCCTCCCCCCCCCACACACACCCACACCCACGGTGTCGCGGATGTCAATGTTGGCTCCGTACGGCAGGTGCGTTACGGCAGGATCCATGTTGATGATGTAGCCGTTACGCCGGGTAGCGTGGAGATGGGAGTTGATGCGCTGGATGAGGGTGGTCTTGCCCGAGCCGGCCATACCTGTGTTTGAGGTTTTGGGGGTGGGTGGGCCGGGACGGTGTCCTTACATAGTGATGTTGGCAGGGTCAGCGGGCAAATGAGATTGGGGGGGCTGTCGTCTGGTGGTGATGATGGTGACGGTGATGATGATGATGATGATGATGATGATGATTGGTGGTGATGCAAATGCTGAAGTAATCGATTGCTGACGTCCAAAGCACCCCTAAGGGATTGGGCGGTGGGGTTTGGAGGTAGGGCCAGACATGGGGATGATGGCAAGGCGATGATGCCCCCTTGGCTACGACAAGTTAGGCTAGGTGGGTAAATAATCTTTTTCAGGGACGCCAATGCAGTGATGCGCGAGGGACGTACGGCAGCTGCTTTGCTGTTTGGAGAAACCTGCTGAGTAGCTGAGGCTTTTTGCAGTGCTATCCCCGAATGATGCCGGACCAGGACATCCCGCAGCGGGCCACTTTCTCCACCACCGGCAAGTGGCACCCCTCCCCTCCCAAACCCCAAATGAACAAAGTCTGGAAAAGCTTAGGACCGAGACAGGTGCCTTTGCCAGGCCACAGCAGGCCGAGGCGCCTGCTGCGCTCCAAGCGGGAAGTCTATAGGGGCCTTGTATGTCATAACTGGGATGTGCTTGCATGTGTGTGGGCGCGCTGCCATGCAGGCGCTACCAAATTCATGGTTATACCAAGCAGCCATCCGGAGGCGACGACGTGGGGACTGCTGGGTAACGCGACGCGTCAGCGGTCTGCGAGCTCGTCGCCGCCCACGGAAACCGGTATTCCCCCCCCGCCACCACGAGGGGGAGGCTGGCCTCACCAATCACTAGGATGACTGTGGGCTTAGGCGCATGGCTCTGGCCGCTTGTGCTGGGGCCTGCAGTCGCATCCGCAGGCGCTGCGCGGTCATCTTCCATTTAGAAAACGGCTCCTTGCACTGCGTTTGACGCTTGTAATCCACTAATACACCGGAAGATTGATTCGTGGTATGAGCTCTTAATACTGTCAGCTTTATACTGTCAGGGGGCAAGAGCCAACAGCGTCAACCAACAACAACAGTGGGCTGATTGCGATCAATTGTGCAGACCTCCCAAAGGTCAAATACAATAAACAGTAATGCAGGAAATGCTACGCAAAGGTATCGGGGTGGTGGTTGTATCGCGGAAATGCACGGCAACGACACTTACATCAATGAGTGAGAGGCAATGAACCATGCCCATAGTGTCGGATAATTTACAATAGGCACGCTGTTTCTCCACCTGCTTGCTGTTTAAGTCCCGCCCACGTCTCCTTCTCTGTGGTGAGCGGGCGGAAGACGCCCTAAACTCTGCATCATGGTGTGGCCCGAACCGCCAAACTATTATGATCCTCCCAAGCATGGCTTCAAGGTTACTTTGGAGACCCCGCAGTATCCCATTATTAACCCGGAGCCCAGCATCAGCGATGCTCGTAAGTGCTTGGGCTGGTAGCGCCTTGAACAACTATGTTTATAATGTAAATTGTACGATGCTACTAATCTGGGCAACGCAAGGTTAAGAGATTACTGTCCTTGTGCCTGCAGTCACAAACATGCGCTCTGAGAACTGGTCCGCGGTAGCCGGCCTGGCTGCTTTTGGCTATACGGCAGGGTACTTCTTCGGTAAGGAGCTGGGCGCTGGGGTCGTCCGCTTTTCTGCTGCCCTACCATTGACGCTAATGTTGCGCAGGTTCCAAGGTGCACTGGGCTAAGCCAACGGCTCTCTTTACGGCAATCTTTCTCGGCAAGACCGGCCTTCTCTGGGGCATGTCCGACAGTGCACGTGAGTGACCCGCAGCGCTGTGTACTGTGACCCCCCCCTACCTGCGCCTTACTTGCACCCGACGCATTGCACATCGTCACATTTGATAGGCCCTGACATCGCCCCTTTCACGGAATACAGATCGTCTGATGGGCTTTAAGGAGAACAGCAAGGAGGTGGCAAGCAACATGCCACACATTATGCAGCGTGAGGCGTACTGAGCCCTCATTGAAGCACCGGCAGTGCGCCCCTCGCGACTTACCGGCCAGTGTGCCGCATAGTGTCCGTCCTGGTCATGCTGCGTTTACGGGTTTTTTCTGTTCCGGCACAGGAGGAAGGCTCGCACATCCCGGGTGTAATTTTCCGTCTGGGTTTTGTGTTTGTACGGGGTGAGGGTATTGGGATACTCAGCATGACACGACATGTGAGTGGAAGGTTCTTTCTGCACGTGGTTTATAGGTAGGGATGGTTTGGGCTGTGTTTCCCTTCTGTAACACACAATACATGTATGATCTAGGCGTACCACTCCTGCACGAGCGGCAGAAGGCTTGCACAGTCTGCCAGGCGGTTTGTCATGACGTGTGCCCTCTTAATTGGTCGTATCGGGTATTGCATACGGGCACACGTGACCGTGTCAGGGAGGCCCAGGTTCAACTCATTTGGTATCCATTTTCAACGCATTTGGTAGCACTACCGAGCGTATTCGCGGACTGCAGGGATCTCTGTCCACCGGACGTTACAGGACATGACACAGGAAAAGACCCGATAAAGGATTGGTACCCCTATGCTCTCGCCAACGGGCTGTACAATCAACGGCCTGGAAAAGTAATCTAGGTGTTCATTGTGCTGGGACTTGGACTTTGGCTTGGACATGACTAGAGCTGTGTGGCAAGGAAAGCGCTACGGTACAAGGCGGGTTGCGGCTTGTTCCGGAGGGACACACAGCAATTAGCCGGAGGCATTCGTCCTACGGGCCCCACTGGGGCGCGAACCAGGGCGCTCTAAACCTTAGGCAGAAGCGGAGCACGTCCAGCCCAGCCCGACGTGTACGCCGAAACGTGCAAAAACAATCCGCATAGCCTGGACAGGCGCAAGCCCCAGCCCAGGCCCGCAAAGGAAGGAGTCTCATCGCGGTCCCTATTCCCTGCGCGCTGCCGTCCTCTTCCTCAAGGCGACACAGACAATACTTCTTACACACCCGTAAGCACCGTACATCGTGCCTGCAGGATAAGGCAAATTATAACCTTCAGCGCTGTCGCCTACAATGCATAAGCAAAGTACTGGTCTAGTGACCTACCTTTGGCTCTGACATTGTCTTTTTAGCAGTCCTCAACATAGCAACATGTATGGGGAGCTAACGGGCCCATGGACCCTCACAGCCAGCACTACCCAGACCCCGACTAACCCGACGCCAGCAGTTCACTTCTGGTTTCCTTGAATATAATTTCCCAACCCTAACCCCGCACAATCACTGCATGGGCAGGGCATTCTCAGAGCCAGGCATGCTACCTACAACATAACGCCACGAAATGCCACCTACCTAGGGTGTAATGCCAGACCGCAACCCCTGCGACCCGCGAGTGCGGTTTCTTTTTTCGTTTATTCGTTCACTAGGACAGTTCCATCGGGCAGAAGGAAAGCTCAACAGCGTCAATCACGCAATATTACGCAGTAGTGTTCCTGCACCGATTCGCGGGATCCTAACGGCTTGATTTACCCACCTCCTTTCGACAGCAACCAACAGCCAGGAAAGCGCTGCCATGCTGCTTGGCTTGTAGATAGCTCTACATAGCTAGCCATGTCGGCTGGCTCTTGCTGCGTAGCATAGCACAGCTGCTCCCCCTTTCTCTGCATCATCATTAAGCGCCTTAAATTACGACGTCAGCTGTCGAGGCCCAATCGAATCCTGCTAAAATGCCGCCGGAAGCTCTTTATGCGTATATGTACATGCTCCAGTCCGGTTCAACAGGGCTTCATCCGGTCCAATCCTAAAGCTGCGAAGCATAAAGGATGCCTGATGAGACTTATTCGCCGATATTCGCCTGACATTCTTGTTTGGCACCTGCGGCCGCCGCTACCGCTGGCCAGCACGACCTAGTGACTACCACGTATACTATCTAGTCGCAAGTTCCGATATTGCATACCAAGTACGATCTAATGACGCGGAAAGGACCTCCCACATAGACATGGCGCTTCTCCTGCCCTTCCATGCTGCACCTGTGGCCGCTTGAAGGGTTATGGCTCCTTCATCACATACCCGTTGCCCAATTAATCAAAGCTATTCGACTCGTCGTTTCGTCAGATCCCACCCCATTGCTGCGATCCACTTCATGCTCAGACCTCCCTAACCTGCGTAACGATATGCTCCCGAAGCGAACCCGCCTGCCCTCGATCCACATCCTCCCAGCAATCTTCAAGACCAGCAATAAGTAGCAGTAGCGTCGGGCTTTCTGGGCAGCGTTGAGGACCTTACACAGCCCAACACCCCGCAAACCCATGCCTTAAACTATGCCTCCGCTGCATCCCCGACTCTCCACCAACACGGCCATGTCACTCCCGCATGCTCCCTTCGTTCACCCCTAATCATGCCGGCCAGTCGCTCCGCTCACCGTCGTCTGAATTGGACTTCGAGGAGCCACACACCGTGCTGGGTGATCGCACATCCTGTCCAGGCCAAAAGCCCGCCGGCTCCTCCCGGCCGCCACCAGCGGCGCTGCTCCCAACTGACAGCGGCGGTGGCGGCGGGGCACTCCGACCAGACGAACCCCTTTCCCCGCCACCCGGCCTTTCGCCGGCACTACCATGCGCAGCAGTGACGTCGGCGCGTGTCCCGGCCGTGTCGCAGTCATGCCCTGACTCCTGGGGCAGCACACGCAGGTCGGTGACATGGTTGAGACGCTGGGGCTCTAGACCCTGGGGTCGCGCTGAGGCCACGTGTGGCAGGGAAGGCAGCGCTGTCCCCTCTTGATGTGCAAATGCGTCAACTGGCCCTTGGAGCAGTGGACGTCGAGGGGCCAGGTGACTTGGGGTAGTTGCAGACGCTGCAGACGCCGCGGACATGAACACGGCGGCGCTGGCGCCGCCGGCGCTGCCGCGCGGCGTCCCAGCCGGCGACCCCATGATGCGACTCGGCGACGGCATCGGCAACAGCTTACGGCCCAGGACGGGCTTCAGCAGTGAGGGGTCGGGTCGGCCGCGGCCTAGCGGTGCCGGCGCCGTCAGCACCGGCCGCAGTGCTGAGTTGCTGGCGCTGAGCGCATCCAACGCATCAAAGTCCAACGGGTCCAGCTCCGGAATGTCAACCACCGCGGGTGCGGCGCGTGGGGACTGCGTACTGGAAGAGGAACTGCCGCCAGAGGAGGGCGTAGGGGATAGGGACAGACGCATTGCCTTCACGGTAGGGACGGAAAGCGAGATGGCCGAGCCTGCCGACGCTGCGGATGCTGCTGCAAGTGGCGGCAGAGGGGCTGGAGGAGGAGGCTGGGAAAGAGGGGCCGTCGGTGCTGGCAGGGCCTCCCACGCCGCAACACGCGGTGGCACAGGCCCTGGCGGTGGCTGCGTCTGTAGCTGCAACTGCGATGACGGCGGCGGGGGCTGGAGCTGTCCCGGCCCCAGGTAATGACGGGCTGCAGCACGCATGGGGTCCCATGCGCGGGCCAAGGACGAATCGGTAGTGAGGCTACCAGCCGCCGCCGCGGCCGCGTGGGCAGCAGCGGAAGAGCCGGTGCTGGAGCTGCGCACGGTGGCGCGCGCAGACTGCGATATGCCCTGGCCAGTGCGGGGCCCAGGCCCATTTAAGCCTGGCTGCAAGAGGTGCTGCTGCTGCTGAAGCTCCGATACATGATGGCCCTGCTGCAGCCGTCCCATGGGGCTCGATTCCAGTCCTGACGGTGCCTCCGGGTCTGATGGAACCGTCAAGAGTGATGCGGAAGAGCGGCTTCCGGCCCATGAGGGCATCACCCGCCCATCGCCCGTGCTGCCGCTGCCGCTACCGCTGGCGCAGCTGTTGTGGTGCAGATGATCTCCGCCTTCACTGCGCAACTGCTGCTGCTGCTGCGACGGCGGTGGTAGCGCCGTTGCTACCGCGAAAGGATGCATAAAGTGGGGCAGCGGCAAGGACAAAGAAGCGTAATCCAAGGAACCCAATGAGCCTCGAAGCAGCGGCGGCGCGGCCAAGCGGGGCAGGTGTGGAGATAGATGTTGCTGCTGCTGCTGAGCGTCTGTACCGGGTATTTGCGGCGGCGGCTGCCACTGATGCAACACGAGAGCAGATGGTGCAGCAGCGTCAGCAGCTGCAGCAAGCCCCTGGGGGCCGGTCGCGCGGTCGCCGCTGCCGCCAGCCAGTGCATCAACGACGTGGTGATGGTGGTGGTGGTGGCTCCTTGGGCTCATCACCGTGCTTAGTGCCCCACTGCAGGAGCTGCGCGCCCGCCGCGTGGCCGTTGTGGTGCCGTCGGCCGCGTTGGCCCATGCGCCAGTGCCGAGGGTGCTGCTAGGGGTGCTGTCATTACAAGCACCAGCCGGCTCTGGGTAGGCTGGGGCAACAGCAGCAGCAGCAGCAGCACGAGTAGCGGTAACAGCAGTGCCGGACCCGTGGGCTGTAGCGACACTACCGTAGACAGCTACCGCGTGTCCTTCGGGGGCCCTGTCACGTGTGTCGGGGGCCGGAGGCACGGTGATTATTGGCAGGCCCTGCGACACGCCAATAGACACTGCGCGCTGCATTCCACCGTCCTCCGTGTTACCGCCGCCGCCGTTTATTGCGGTGGATGATGAGCGCCACCATGGGCCGATAGCTGCCGAAAGTGGTGCGGAAGCGATAATCATGGCAGGTTCAGCCGATGAGGCTGTTGCTGCTGCTGCGGTGGCGTTGGTAAGGGCAGCGGGGGTAATTTCTGCGGCGGCAGAAGCAGTCGGGGGCGCTGCTCCAAGCTGCAGCGCAAGAACCGGCGCGGGCAGCAGCGCTGCATCAGCCATCGCTGCCAGGCTGGTTAAGTAGGAAACCGGCGTCGCTGCCGCCCTGGAGCTTGGGCCCAATGCCACCGTACTGCCGGCGGCGGCTGCTGATGCTGACGTCCTCTGCCAGCGGTGTGATGGGCCGTCAACGTCAGCTACATCATCCTGCCGACGTCCGTCCAGAGAAAAGCGACGGGTGCCGCCTCCGCTGGGGCGCCATGATCCCCCTCCGCCGACAGCCGTATCTGTTGACTCGACTGCCACGTCACCAACGAGCTCATCCCCAGCTGGCACTGACGTTGCCCCAGCCAACCCCGTGGTTCCGTCCGCAACCTCTCCAAGGATTACCGCCACAGCGGTGAGGGCCGCCTGTGGTTCGACAGCCCCGGACTGCTGCCATTCATCGGCGTCGGCGCCAGGGAGAGTCCAGCGGAAGGGTGCATCGGGCAGCAAGTCCACTTCAATGACCTCTTCCTCCTCCGCCGCCGCCTCTGCTGCGGCCGCCACCCTCAGCGCCTCAGCTGGCTGTCGTTGTCTCCAGGCAGATCCGACGCCAGCCTCAACTCCCGCGCCACTTCCGTCCGCTGAGACCAGTGCAGTGTCAGGAGCTAGTGGACGTGCACTAGTGACGGACTTGGAGCTCGAAGACGGCGCCTGTCGGCCGGCGGCACCGGCCTCCGTCACACCGTAATCGCCATCGCCCCCCCCATTGCCTGCTGCCCCATTAGCTCCGGCAGTGATACCGTGGGCCTGGAGAGCCACGCCTGTCCAGGCCGGCGGCAGCGGCAAAGCCATGGCGGTGTCTGCCGTGCTGGCTGGCGAGCGGGTCGAATCGGCGGGAAGTAAAGACGCCGCCGGCGGCAGCAGTACGCCAGCGCGTACCGCATTCCCTGTGAAATCGTGTGCCGCTTGTGCGGCTGAAGCGGTAGCTGAGGCAGCAGCAGCAGCAGCATCGCCCAAGCTGCCCGGCAAGCCCGCAACGTCAAAAACATGCCGGTCTGCTGCCGGCGGCTGGGCTGCAGGTCCCCCGGCGCTGCCAGCATCACTAACACCCGGCGATGGAGGCGGCGCTGCTGCAGCCGCTGCTGCCTCAGGCCACAAGCCCGCCCAAAGCTTTTGCCGCTGAGCAGCGCCAACATCAGCATTTGAGCCCTGGGGCACGGGACTTGCACCTGCCGTACAAGTCGGCGGGCCGTCCAGACCGGCAACAAGCTGCCCTTCCCAGCGGCATACCGGATCCGCGGCTGCGGCAGCAGTGGGGCTATCCAGGGAACGACCCAGGAAGGACGTCAGGGAGCGCAACACGCGCTTGTGGATGGGTGTGCCGCCGCCTCCGTCAGGACGGACTATATCTGACACCGCGGCGGGGGTGACGCCACCGCGACTCGAACCGTGGATGTTTGGGATGGACAAGCGGAGCGGACGGACGGGCAGCAACGTCGCCGGAGGCGGCGATGGCGACCCCGCTGTGCCAACAGGCGGCAGCGTCGCCTCAGCAACCATACCAGCGGCCGACGTCTGCAAACCAGTCGCTGACACGACGGGCGCTGAGTAGCGCTGAAGGCTATGTGCCGTACTGGTGTCCTCACCGTGACCGTCTTTATCATGCGTAATGCCGGCTGCATCGGCGGTGGCGCCATCGCGGCTGCTGCCCGCTCCGCTGCTGCCGTACCGGCTAGCGGCATCCGGGTCATCCTGACTGACACCGTCGCTGGCGGCGTCTGCAAAGGTGGCAGTTGCTAGACGGGAAGATGCCTTGGCTCCAGGTCCCGCGTTCCTGCCTGGCACGTGCTGCGCTAACGCCGGTGCGCCGCTGCCGTCGGTAAAGCTGGAATGCGGGTGAGGGCCTGCCGCACTTTCCTGCCTCAAAGCGTCGCTGCCGGCTCCAGGGAAAGGGCCCCGGGGGGAGACCGCGGTGCTGCCGAGGCTGGGCGTTCGCAAGGCCGTAATCTCCGCGTCGGAGCGCACGTGCGCCGGACAGGCGACGGCCGTCAACGCCGCAACCTCACCACCACCGCCACCGCCAAGACTGCCATGCGACAGCGCCTGCGCTGCCAGCAAATGTGACAGTGCAGCCGACCGCGCCGCGGAGATGGTGCCCTGGATGTTGTCGTACCCGCTGCCAGTGGTTGCCGCTAAATCGCCTCCGCTGCGCGGTGCCGCCAGGGCCCCCGGCAAACCAACCGCAAACGCCAGCTCGTCCGTGGCACCTTCCGGAACCGCAGGCCCAACAGCCGTAGCACAACTATTGCCGTCCCTGTCGCCGCCGGGGGCCCCAGCAACGTCTGGGGTAACCTGGGGCACCTTGCTCGGGGTGCGCTCAAGTCCTGCAGGGGTGAGGACTGGCATTTGCGCCCATGGATGGCTATGCACCAGCGCCCAAGCACCATTGGTCAGAGCGTCTCCTGATCGCAAAGGCGTTTGGCGAGCCCAACCCTCATACGTCGACCCACCCGGCGCCGCCGCGGCGCCAGCGACACGTATGTCAGAGCCGTCGGTCCGTCCTGCCGCGCCCCGTCTACCACCGGATGTGGCGTCGCTGCGCTCCTCAGCGGCACCGCCGCTGCCGCTGGTGCCGCTTTCCTGGCTCATTGTCGTACTACTGTTGGTGCTGCCGTCGGTCCCATTGCCGTCAGGCCATGCTGCCGCGACGGCGCTGCTGCTGGTACCGCTGTCCGTACTCAACCGTAGTGCCGTAGCCGGGCGCGCCACCACCGTCACAGCTAATGAGGCGGCAGTAAAGGCGGCGACATCATCCTCGCTGCCGTACAAACCTGTCATCAGCTGCTGCTGCTGCTGTCCTTGCTCGCCGCCCAAGCCGCTACCTTCTTGGGCCCTGTGAGCCAACTTCCCACCTATCGCTTGACCCATCTCATTCCCTACTGTTGTTTCCTCTTTAAGCGACTGCGATAGCGGTACGCCGGTCATCCCAGACACATCCCCACCACCACTTTCCGCCGCTGCGTCCGCACGCGGCGCAAACACCCTGCCAAGAATGCCCTGGAGTCTGTCGCTTAGGGACCGCCGCAGAAAGCCATGTCTGCTGCCGCTGCGCCGTTGTCCAGAACCACCACGGCTTGGCTCATGCTCCAACTTCAACTGCGGTGTGCTACCGCCGTTACGGTAGCCACTGCCGGCGCCACCCCCGCTGCTGTCACTGACGTCATCGTCCGTCTCGCTCTGGCACTTATCTTCGCTGCAGCCATCGTCGCTGGGAATGGGGGACAGAGACAGCGGCGGCCCGGCCTCAAACGATGGCTGAGAGGGCCGCGGCTGCTGCTGCTGCTGCGGCGGCGGCGGCAGCTGCGGCAAGGCCGTCAGCAGCATCTCTGACGACCAGAGCGCACGCGGGTCAGGTGAAACGGCAGAAATTCCTCCTGGATCGCCCAAAAGGTGCAATCCTTCCGAGCTGCTGCCACGGACGCTGTTTGCATCGGGGCTAACCTCCTGCTGCTGCTGGCCCTCTGGCCACGCACAGAGCCTTGATGCCGATGGTGGCGCGCTGGAGCCTTGCCAAGCGAAGCACCCCTCCCCGGGTTCTGCGGCTACAGGTGCCAGCTGCTGCCCTGGATGGAGACCAGCTTGCGACAGCTCCGGCAGGGATGTACGGGCCCGTGGCCAAGGCCACACTTGCTGCTCCTGAGCCTGCGCCCGCATTGCGGCGGCCCATGCTGCCAAAGAGCCGGCGTCGGCGATGCCACTGGTTGTCCGCGCGCGTACTGAGGCAGCCCTGGTTAGCGGAGGGTCGGGACTAGGGCCAGGCCTGAGTGGGGCGGCGGCATACCCGATAGCAGCGGGACGGGATGTGGTGGATGGAAAGGCAGAGTCCGTGCTGTCTGCAGCGTTGGCGGTGTTCCCTGTGTGGTTGAATGAGATACCGGGGGAGGCGGTGAGGCTGATGGTGTCAGCGTTGACGGGGCCGATGCTGGGAAGCGACAGCCCAGAGGTCCGCGTGGGAAGGACGATGGGCGACACAGCGTCGTCTGCGGAGAGCTGTCTTTGCAAGGACCGGCTGCGGGTGACTACGAGGTGCGTGGATTCTACACTACCAGCCGCCGGGGCCGAAGCCGCCGCTGCTCCAGTCGTTGCAGCAGCAGCAGCAACAACAAAAGAAGAAGAGAGCGGCCCTGGCCTTCCGTACGGCTGCCAAAGCCGAAATCCTAAGCCAATTCTGAGTCCGCCACTAGCACCGGCCGCCACAATCGATGCCCAGTTCCGTGACGTTGCCGCCGCCGCCGGGGCCGCTTCCGCCACCGCCGCCACGCTACCAGGTGTTGGCAGAGAGTAGCTAGAATCCACCGCCGTGCGAGCGACGGCGCCCTGCCAGCCTGCCGCTGTCCCGCCAGCGCCTCCGCTGTCACCGCTGCCGGCTGATCCGCCCCGCACCTGAAAGCTGTCTCCCACCGTTGCCCTCTGCGCGCCGTCATGACCACCTGCGGAAACAGATATCGCTGGGAGCGCAGCGGCCGGTGGAGCGACAGCAGGTAGTGGTCCCGTTCGGTCAGCCACAGCCGCGGGAGCAGCATTAGAAGCGGAACCAGCGGCGCTGGCCGCCGCCACGGTGCTCCGCGCTGCTGGGGCAAAGATCCCATAACCCAGGCCCCCCTCGCCGTCGCCAGCGGCGCTGGGCGCCGTCAAGTGCTTGGGGCTGCTGACAGGGCTGATGGAATCTTCCTGGTTGAGGACCGGCGGGGACACCTCGCAGGCGCCGCGCATGAGGCTGCCGGCCCTGTCGGCGGGAGCCGCCGCCAGGGAGGCTTGCGGGCCGCCCCTGGAGTAGGCCGCGGAACGGACCTGGCGGGAGGGGTTACAAAGGAACGTAAGGAAGAGGATTCGGGGATGCGGTTACCAGGAAAACAGTTGGGCCTTGTTCTTCCATCACACCTCTTACAGAGGAGGCAGTTTTAAAAGGAAAACCAAAAGGAAACTGGCCATTCATAAAACCTGTTTAGAGAGTTTTGATAATAAAACCTCGGCCAGTGGAGGATAAATTGAAGGCGAGGACTCTTGAGCGCCGACCTGGCCTCCCCAACTCAGGTGGGAACCGGGGCGGTCGCTGCGGGCTAATTCCGATCTGGGTTTTGTGGCTTGGGGTATGTGACCCGGTTTTTATAATTCGAGTTTGTGGTTTGGGGTTTGGGGTTGTAATCCAAGCCGATGCACCTGGCAACCCAGAACCGGACCGCCCTGCTGCGCCCCGCAGCCATCGAGAAAGATCACCAGCGCTTCACCACAGTAGCCCCGCCTTCCGTATTTCCTTACACATGCCCACACCCACCCGGAGGAAGCGCTCCAAGTTCCACTGCTGCCAGCCTTCCACGCTACAGCCCGCCTCCTGAAATAGCTGCAGCTGTAGCAGGAAGCCCTGGTTGGGGTTAATGGCAGGACGGGAGGCCTTGACCGCGGCGCGTGCGTCGTCCAGTGATAGGCCTCCCGTCGCCATCAGGTAGCCGATTACCACCGAGGCTGAGCGAGATACACCCGCCGCACAGTGCACAAGCACCGCGCCTGAAACCCAGGCAATTGTGCAGGGAAAAGGGTAGCGGGAAGCGAAACAATGGGATTCAGTGCGAGAAAAAGCAGCTAGCGGTGTTTAAAAAGAGCCAGAGGTTCGCGATAGTGACCTGTGCGGTCCAGTTTCTGGGTTTTCTGACTGATAAAGTCACAGAGGTGCTATTGGGTCACAAGGATTATTGGGGGATCGGGGGGTGCAGCGTTGTGGGGAACGCCGGCGCGATTGGGAGGGTAGGAGATATGAAGGACCAAGGTGGGATAAGAGGGACAAGGGTGGGCTTGGAGAGAGAATGAGGAATGTAACTATTCCAGTAAGTCGTGTGGGGGTGAGTGAAACGGACTTGGATTGGAGTGTGCCACGGCCGTGTTTCGAGCTTGTAAAAATAATGTCCCGTTCGAGATGGGGGTAAAAAAGAAAGAACTATGGATGCTAACATGTCCGACTGAAGCTTGGAGTGGGGTTGTTACGGGAGAGGTGTTAAGGATGCTGACTAGGTGACGAAGGGGGTTGCGAGGTGGTTAAGGAGGATGGGAAGCGTGGAAGCTTGCTGCTCCTTCCGCTCACCCGTTTCGCGACCAGAATTGATGAAAGCGAAGCATTCGGGGAAGTACTTCACTAAGTCTTCTTCCTCCAGGTCATAAACTGGCACGTGCTTGTAAGTGAAGGCCGCGGGGTGAGTTGGAGACAGCTCTTTGCCCACCTACGATGCCACGAAACGATTAATATTGGCAGAAATACAGACCTTCTGCACGGTGAGTTTGATGGCATGTTGCCCGTCCGGGAGCAATCCAAAGTTGAACTGCAAGTCCCAGTTTTGCCCTAGCTTTCCTGAAGCAGCCTACCTGCAAAACATGTGTTACACCCTTACGATGTAGGACGTCCTTCTGTGCCTCGAGATGACAGCTGCTCAGATACAGGTTGCTAACAATTTGGCATAAGCTGTCTCGAGTGCCTGTATCAACAGGAGGCTTTTTGCTTGCAAATGTTTTTGCAATAGCCGCCTTTGCAAGCCAGAAGGACGCCTGGTTGTCCAACGCCCCTGCCATGTGACCATCGGGGCCGGACCAAGAGCAGCAGAGCTGTCAACGCGAAATCAGTGACTTCTCCATCGTGCTACGGTGCAGATAATTTGGAACATATATGTCCAGATCTTTAGAAAATGAGCCGTTGAATATGCACCCATAACCGCTTTACAGTTAGTTGCGTGCAGTTGCCGACAGTACGCAGCAACCCGTCTTAAACCTCGACAACTCCGAGGAAAGCCTTCAACGTGCCAGCTTAGATAATTGCCCATAATAGCGCGTAGCACCCTGCACTAACATGTGCCCGTGGCCAATATTCTGCGCTAGTGCCTCGACCTCGGTTCGTATCAACTCCAGCGCCTCATGCTGCAGCTGCATGCGTCGAGCTGAAGACTCTCGCGCCGTATCCACAGCGCGAAACCTGCGCATCATAAGCCAGGTTTTTGATTTTAAAAGGTAGACAACGGCAAGGAACGGGCTGCACGCAGCCTAGTCCCCGCTTTCATGTCCGCACTAGGGCTACAACTGGGTTCGTTTTGTCCTTTAGATACCCCTGCTTACTTGGCCATGGCCAGCCCGATGTCAGCCTCCTTCGCCAGCATGCTCTGGCCGCCCTCCCCACTGAAATGCTGTCGGCTGGCCTGAAGCAGCTGCAAGGCGGCCCGATAGTCGCCCTGAGCTGCGCAGATCATACCCAACCTGTGCTTGCACAGCACGAGCTGTATCCAGGGAAAGAGGGAGAACATAAAAACGCAGGCTTAAAAAGGTACGCAAAGCTCTCTTGTAACCGGAAAAAAGACGGAAAGGAATTCCGTGGAACGAGGGCAGGTGGACAGAGGTTGAGAAGGAGGGAAACAACATCCCTGGCTAGTGTGGAAAGGGTGGGTGGCAGACAGCTAGCGGATTCTTAACCCCTTGTGTGGCATGGGGTGCGTGCAAAGTGTGCATTTGTGGGCCCCAGCCCAACTCACGGAGCCATTATGGCCACATCTGTCCACATGCATCGCCATAATGCTTCTGCTCCTAGGTGCACCTAAAGGCGACGATGCTGCGTCCTAAACATTTCTCCACGCATCAGTCTATATGCTAAGAGCTGAGTTTTGTTTACAATGTATACAATACGAACATACGCACGAACATACACCGTGACTCAGCAAAATGGACCAAAAAAACATTTCATACCACTGTTTCGGCATTTGCACTGGAAGAGGCACAACCGTGGCAAACACGGAACACAACGCGGAACCCACCAGATCGTGTTCCTCCGGGTAATGCGTCCGCAGCGCTACCGCCGCCTGCCGTACAGTCGTACCCGCGTCCTGCAGCATGTCGTTCGCGTAGTAATACGTGGCCAGCTTGTACCGCGCCACCGCAGCGTCCTCGCTATCAGGCCCAGACACCTCAGACAGCAGCAAAATCTGCTGCTTCAGCAGCGCCTCGCCCACCGCGAAATCCGACTTCTGCTCCAGACCGCCGTTCACCAGCCGACTGTGCTGTCCAAGCGCCAGCGATAGGATCATGCTCTCCGTGCCGTACGCCTCCTGCGTACGGCCGTTTGATGATAAATGCGTGAGTTCCGCGTTACCGTGCTATAAAGTACAAGTACAAATGTTCGTGCGGTCCAACCAGGCCATTGCTGCGCGGCGGAGCTTTGTGCCTGATTCCATCCCCCAACCATCTGCTGACGTTGGTATATTTCGGTAACGGGGACGCTGGTGAGCCAACACGGTGTTACTGTGTACGAGTGCGACGACGGCGTACGGCGCCATCCTGCAGCGTTGCCCCCCGCCGCAGCAGCCTAAGGCGCCGCCGTCGCAGCAGCCCCGGGGGAGTGCGGGGCTGGGAAAAGGGCTGGGACGGGCGCGCGGCCTGGGCGGCGGTGCCGGTGCCGGTGGCGGCGATTCCGCCGCCGCTGCCGCCGCTGCTTTACTTTGTTATTGCCAGCTTGTGCGAGGAAGATACGTATGCCTCTACATCCTGTCATGCATTATTACCAATGGTTGAAACTGTTGAGAGCACGTCTCGTTGGCCAATACCGCCGCCCTGCCCATTCCGCCGTGTGTACAAGCCCGCACCAAATACTTCCGCCTCAACCCCACGCCGCTCCCACTTGACTCTAGTCCGACTTTGTGAAATAACGAGGTGTAGAATAAGTGGGAGCTTCGGCAACGGTGAAATACCACTACTTTTTAACGTTGTTTTACGTATTCCATTACTTGGAGGCGGGACTCTGTCCCTGTTTCTGGCTTTCGTTCAATTGTTCAGCAGTGTTACACATACACAAGTTAAATAAGGGACGGAGCTGCCGTCGTGTTTAACGGAACTCCCCACCCGCACCACACCGCACACCACACTGCACCCACCTTCATGCCCCTCACGTTCGCCCGAAGGGTACCGGACAGCGCCTCCACGCCCCCCACGTCCTTGACGTGCGCAAGCGCTACACAGTCAAGGTAGAAGCCAGCCTCGCTGCGGCTGCCTAGGTCATCGGAGGCGTCCACTGAGCCGGGGTCCCCTCCTGACACTCCACCCCCACCCCCGCCACCGCCATCTAGGAGGTCCATTGCCTCCCGGAGCAGACCAGCCGCATCTGTATGACCGGGCAGGAGGTGTGCACGTGTGGGCGGTTGGGTGGTTGGGAAATCGTTGAGTGACTGTGCAGCAAGAGGAAGAGGAGAAGCAGGAGAGGTTTTCAGGGAGCGTATGGAGCTGGTGCCCGAGAGCCTCTGGAGGAGCTTCCGGAAGTTTCAGTCTCCGTCTGTCCTGTGGCAGTGGAAGGGAGTCTGCTCTGTACTGCGGGGAGTGGGCAGCTGGTGCAGCTACACACCCAGTCGTTCACTCACACAGTCGTTCACTCACTCACTCACCCGGCATCTTGCCCTGCGCAAAGCGGCACACCCCTAGTCGCAGCAGTCGGTGAGCGGTCAGCAGGCTGCTGGCCCCGAAGTGCCGCTTCGTGGTCTCCAAGCTGGCCTGGGATGCGGATTTTTAGCGGGGGCCCCAGTGCGCCGAGTCGTGGGAGGACCGGTAACGTAAGCCAGCGGATGACGGAAGCGGGAGAGGAAGGAGGGAAACGCACTCAGCAGGTCCAATGGGGCTGACTCGAGGCATGGGGAAACAGTAAGCAGGGGCGAGTCATGGTTATGGAACCGTTCGGCACACAGTCATTACATAGATGCATAGGAGGTAAGCAAGGGCCAGGAAAGGAGCAACCCAAGGGTTGTAGGAAATTCAGACAAGGCAGTCGGAGGCCAACTAGCGGGCTCGTGCGTTGAGAGCAGGGCGTCATGTGCAGATGCGCGTGCGGCAGGCGGAAAGTACAAAAAAGGTTGGAACGGGGATCAAACCCCAAGACTGTAATATGGCGTGTGATCGAACATTACCGAGTTCTAACAAGGCCGTGGATGCCAATGGCGTTCAAAGTTAAGCTTCCCCAAAAGTCCCATCACACCCTGCCCCAGCTTCCCGAACCTCCCAGCTTCCACAGGGCCCCCCTACCTGCGCATGATGGGCCGCCTCCTCCGCTCGTCCCTGGAATAGCAACAGCAGAGCCGCCTGGTTGTGCAGCTCACCCAGCTCGGGGCTGAGGGGTAGCGAAGAAGGCGGGGAAGATACAGAGCGGACGGAAAGTCATGCAAAACTCAATCACAGTCCCGGACTTCCGGTAGAAGGGAGGAGTACCAGGAGAGGAAAAGCGATTACCAAGGAGTCGTGATGATCACCAGGAGATAAGGGGAGAGCCACGCGACATCCACGGATGCGCTGGTACATCCTGAGCCGCCACCACTATGAGGAACCACCACCATGCTGGGTTAGGGAGAAGAAGCAGTATCCACGGCTGCAAGTGCGAAATGAAGCGTCGCTGAATCATGCAGCGGTTGGAGCAGCTCCGGCGCGGGGCGGACTGGGGAGTGTGTTACATAAGCGGAGCCACCATCCCTTAGGATGGACCCATCAGGCCATTGGGCAAGGCCAGGTACACTTCCGTGCTGCTGACGTCAGCGCTAAGCCGTGGTCGTGCCGGGAGCGTATGCCGCACGGGCAGCAGCACTCCGGCGCCGTTCCCACACCACCTGTTCCTGCCGTCCAAAACCCCCACCCACATCATCCACGTCCTCGCTCCCTGCGCAGACCTGTTTGGAAAGGCGGGTTCAAACGTGGCGAGCCCATCTTTGAGCAGCGATACCGCCTCGTCCATCTGCCCGCCTTCCACCTTCTCTATGGCGGCATCAACCAGCTGGTTCAGAGCGTCGCCAAGAGAGATGCGAGTTTCTCCGCCCGAAGAGCCCGAGCCCGCTCCGCCGCTGCTGCCGCCGCTGCCACGCGTCCCAGCGCCGCTCCCTCCATCCGATCCGCCGCCTGGGGCGGTGCTCGTGCTGAAGCTGCGAGCAGGAAAGGCGTGGAGTCGCCAGGCAGCGGCTGCCTGGCTGCCCGTGTCCGGTGATGCAAACAGGTGCGACTGCCACCCAGGCAGACTGGACTTGTATGCGTAAGGTGCGTTGGAATGGGGTTGCGGTTGCGAAGGCCTTGCGGAGTGGGATGAGGGATCTGAACGCGAGGAGGTAGGGGCTGCTGACGTGGGTGGTGTTGCGTCAGGGATTGAAGGCAAAATTCTGGATGGGACAAGAGACAACGCCGCTGCTGCGGTCGGTGTGCTGCTCAGGTGGGCTCCATCCAGTGCGATGCTTGTCAGCGCTGGCCACGCAAGCACCACGCCCTGCGGGGCGCGAGTACGTCAGAGCGAAATGTGGATCGGCTCTGCTTCGTTAGAAAACCTTTGATGGATCCATGTGTGATACAAGAAAGGATAATGCGTCTCACGTTAGCATCAGCCTAACATCATTTCGAGATCCCTAAAGCACTTCCGAGATGCTCACCCGACGGGACATTTTAACGTTGCGCAGTGATCCGGAAATCTTCAATGCCTTACCGCGTAACTGAATAACGTGTGTTTACGATGGGTTGGGACCGGCGACTCGGCCATCATGTACGGCCTTTCGGACGCCCGTGGCGTCCATGTGTAGAGTACCTTTTTGGGTGTTGCTCTAATGTTCACTACCTATTACGCATTTTCCACGCAGAATCCAGACTCGCTTATCTCCTCCTCGTAAGCTGTCTACCGAATTTGGTCGGTTCAAGCGGCATTGCACACGAAGGGTTGGTCAGATTTGTTTTGAATCATAAACTCCTGAAGACAGTTATGATGCTTGGATACGTCACGGCCTTTCCTGCGGCACCTGCGCTGGCGGCTGTCTGGTCGTGTGGAATTCGCGCCTTGTCGACGAGCGGTGCGTCTGCAGGCCTCCCGATCGCATGGATTACGATGAAATTTGTGTCGCCCTTATAAAAATATGCTAGATCTTGTCCTGATGGTGAAGCTGCTTTTTTCGTTTTTCATCAACAAACGTGAGCAAAATCGTGCTTACGTGGGCACTTTGCTTCGGGGTCCTCCTTTTGGACACATTCTGCAAATTGTATTTCCGGCAATTGCAAGTATTGGTTTGGCCCGCCGATCTTTTCTTCTCGTGCAGCGGCAGCCCTCGAGGCCGTTGCCCTGGGCAACTCCGACAGCCCTCTGCTGGTCCGCCTGCCATCCCGACCGTGGGGCGCCGTCGCATCTCTAAGCAAGGCGGAGGTTCAGGCAGCCGCTGGTGAGCCATAGGTGGCAAAAGCTTCCCCAAAGCTCTGGCCTTGACACAACGAGCTCCACACCACGTTCTCAGGGGTAAACTTCGTCCTACCCCTGATCAACCTCTGCAATGTTTCTGGGGAATTGTAACAATCATCCACGTTCGTATGGAGTCACACCTACACTAAGACGAAAGACACAAAACGCCCCTCCCCCGCACCGTCTGGCGCCATATATTGCCCTTCAATCAGGAACTTCCCTTCCCAAGCGCATCTCTGTTGTCCGTGACTGCTTCGCTTCTTTTGACCAGCCGCAGCGCCCCCTGAACCAGGTACGGAGTGCGGTCTGAGGGGCCTACTAGCGGTATCGCCACATCTACCTCGCACATACTTACATCCTGTCTGGGACGCAGCGTTCGATGCACAGAAACCCGGGGTTAGAGAAACTGGGCAGCATGCGCCATTTTCGTGTACAACGATCAACCGCCTACGTTGTACCCGGTTGTGGAACTCGAGCACGACGAAATGCCCCCGACCCAAATCAGATCTACGTGCGGATGTGGGGCCTCGCTGACACCGGCGCTGACCCATATCACTTCACCGCTCCGCCCTCGGTGCCTCGACCCAATGTCGTCCTGCGACGGCTCTCCCTGCTCATGCATTGCCTGCAGCACCCTGTACTCGGCATGTCTTTATGCGGCTAAGGATTTCGCCTTTAAAGATTTACAGGTGGTGCCAACCTGCAGCCACCTTGATCTGCCCTCCTTCCAAATGCTGAATGCACCTATAGTGGACCTCCCTCCCTCGAATGGGTCTTGTTATCACTACCATAGTTGTATTAAATATAAATTGACGTTTCAGTGAATCCGGCCAGATCGCTGGCAGTGCTGCCGGCTCGCCCGAGCACTTCTGCATGGGACAGGAAACGCCCGAAGACCAGATACCAACGGTAGTCTGTTTGTTGTTGTTGTTGTTGTCGTTCGTCCTTCTTGCTACCCCCTCGCAGCTGGTTCGTCCGTTGGGTCCGTCCTCCGTGGCCGTCTCCGCTGCGCTAGCCTCCCAGCCCGAGCACCGCGCCGTGGTCGACACGTACACCCTCGCCGCTGCCGGGGACACCTACGAGCTGGAGCCGGGACCGGGATCGGTCGCCGCGGACCTGATCTCCTTCTTGCGTGCCCAGAAACAGCGCGTGTCGCTGGTGCCGGATGTGGCGGTCGCGGATGATCAGCTGCAGGAGGCCACCCCCGTGGTGGCGGCCAAGAAGGTGCGGTTGCGGCTGCAGCCGGAGGGCGGAGGGAGGAGATCACAAAGAGGGAATCCCTCGTGGGAGTGTGTGTGTATATATGCCAGGCGGCGGCAGGTGGTGGTGTTGTGGCCTGGTGCGTGGTTTGAGGGGCATGGGACGTGGTGTAGGTAGGCATGGAGAGACCGGCTATATCTGCCATATCCGGGGAGAATCCCTGAAGGGGAGAGGAGTTCTTCTTGGTGATGAAGATTTCAAAAGGGGTCTTGATCTGGGTGTTGATCTGGGCAGAAAGCAGAGGACCTGCCTAGTGCAATACAATGCAGTACAATGAAAGACAGTACAGTACAGCGAAGGAACGTGACACCAGAACGGAGAGCTGAATCCCATGGGATCAACCAACACCTGGTTAGGCACCACACCAGTTAGGTGGGGAGCTGGGGAGGGGCACTGCAGTTCCCCGGAATATGTGATGCGGGTGGGCCCCGGGAGGGATTTGCGATGTGGGTCGCTGCGTGTTAGTGCGGGCGAGTGTTGTGGGTGCTGCGGTTGGGGTGCTGCTGCGGTGTGCATGTCCGGCAAGGACTGATTCTACGGCCACGCAAGACAACCATTCATTTCCACATTGTACCCATCGACAATGGCGTATCGACAATGCAGCCATCGAAAATGGGGTATCGACAATGCACCCATCGACAATTCACTGTCGATAAGTTAAGCCGTTTGTTCTCCCTATCCCTGTCCTGCCGTACCACTCTTGTCGGCATTTAAACCTTAACCTGCCGATTGCTTCCTGCACGTGATTTCCCTCTGCAGCTGCTTCACAGTGCACGTTTGATTTCCCACTCCGCACACCCACCTGCACCCTCGGGCCCTGCAGGGAGTGCGTCAGTCCACCAACGAGGTGCTGATGGTGGCGCCCACCGCCTTCGGCTTTAACGAGCAGGCGGCCCAGGACAACAGCTTCATGCACGCGGCCGCCAAGCCCGGGGAAGGCAATGAGCTCACTCGGCAGGTGCTGCGGGAATTCGCCGGGCTGCATCACGCGCTGACCCAGGTGGCAGGAGTGAAGGTGAGGGGAGGAGGTGGGAACGACGAACCACGAGCGAGTGAAGCTGCTGCCAAGGAAAGAGAAGCAGAACTCTAGGGGAGGAGGTGGGAGGGAGGGAGGGAGGCTGCAGAATGCCGCTGAGACAGTGGTGAAGAGGAACGGGGTGGGGATGCTGGAGAGGAATCCCGCAGGGGGTCGCGGACCTGCTAAACAAATCATACGGGTGTCCCAGGCATGAACGAGTGAATTCATACCCGCGCCCTGACGTGAACACTCTCGTGCTTCTCTCAAAGCTTACTGGCCGCCTTGCGTCCATGGCCCCCGCGCTTTGACGAACACACTCCCCCGCATTCGTGCGGAATTGGTAACTTGTAACTTGTAACCTAAGCGTAGCGTATTCAGAAATGTAGATCATGTCATAATTGTGGCATTGTGGCATTACACACACCACCCACAATTACTGTGACTTTGTGGATATCATAAAGTTCTAAACCCTGTAAACTAGGATAGTAATTCAACGTCATGGGATAACAGATATCATTGTGACGCAATGATGTCGAACAGGTGAACCTGTTCGAGCACCACCTGTCTCACGGCACTCCGGACGCCTGCTTCCCCAACAACTGGTTCAGCACCCACCCCGCGGGCGAGGCGGCGGGCGGTGTCAAGCAGCCCACCCTCGTGTTCTACCCGATGAAGTGCCCCAACCGGGCGGCGGAGCGCAGGGAGGACATCAAGAAGGTGAGTGGCGGCGTGCCGGCAGGCCGGTTGGGTGTCGGACGTGTGGGCCATGGCTGCGGGCATGCGTCCGTTTGTTTATGTGTCTGTGCTCTTCATGGGTGTGCTCTAGGAGGCCAGCTGTAGGACGGGGCAGCTGCCCGGGGAAGAAGACGTGATAAGGAGGCATCGAAGAAGGAGAGGGCGAATGTGGTGGGGGTGTACGCAGCTTTTTTAACCCTATCTTTAGCCCTATTCTTAGCCCTTGGCTCCAGGATAGCATACCCGTCCTTTTCATGCCGGAGTACAATGCCGGAGTATTATAGCATATGATGTGTGTGTTAATTAAGAACTAGGCCACAAAAAGCAGTGGTGAGGATAGCGCACGGGCTTTCACACGTGTCTTCGCAGTGCGAGGGGGGAGCACCAGGGAAAGTGGAAGGACGTGACATTGCGCGTGCACAGGTTGCCGGATGGCGAGCTGCATTTCGGCGGTCTCTGAGTGGTTCCGATTGTCGGGGGCTGGGATGCTGCAGGTTCTGGCCACCAAGGGCTACAGTCGATTGTACGACATGAGTGGGGAGGAGGCCAACAAGAAGTACTTTGAGGGCACGGGTGAGGGGGTGGGTTCGAGGGGGTGGGTTCGCGATAAGGGTTGACGTAGGGTGAGCGAGAAGCCACGTGGTTTTGTATCGGATTTCGGCCCGTCCTCCCCTCCGCGGTGGGAGCGGCACTATTTCGGTAACAACAACAGCTTTTCTTATCTCACCTTCGCACTCCTGGTCCCCTCCTGTAACCCACAACCTCGCGCGAGCAGGTGTGTTGGTGATTGATCGTGTCAACGGTGTCGTATATGTTGACATCAGTGAGCGAGCGGATCGCTCCCTGGCGGAGGAATGGACCCACAATATAGGCTACAAGGAGCTGGTGACCTTCAGGTGCGTGAATGGGGCAAGGGGAAAAGATGGATAGATGCTGCCTTGCCGATATCAGACCTGACAATGTCTGGTTTTGCGTGTGTGCGACGTGTCATGGATGTGTGCGTGCATTTATAGTAAACCGTCTCAGCGTATGTCTTGTCTTGTTGGGGTCTGGGTCTTTCCGTGTTCCCCATGCGGCGCTGCCGTAGTACCCGCATCTCTTATGCTGACAGAGAGAGGGAGAAGGAAAGGGAGAGTTGGCCCATACGCACGTACCGCTTATTTTTTCATAGCAAAAAATAAAATTCTAAACATCACCTCGACCCCCCTGGCCACCCCTGCCAAACCCGTTTCTCAGGTCGACGGACCTCCGCGGCAAGTCGGTGTACCACACCAACGTCATGATGGCCATTGGCACGGGGGTAGCCATCGTGTGTGCGGACAGTGTCAAGGACGCCAAGGAGCGACAGCACCTGCTGGTGGGAAGGGAAGGGAAGGGATGGCCTTCCAACGGGATTCCGTCGGGCAGCAGTGGTGGTTAGTGGTGACGGGCGAAGCTATTTTGGAAACGCTGACGGAACCTGTTGTCTTGCCACTCCTCGCCTAAAGTCCTCGTAGTTCAGCCCCTTTAGGGGTCCCTCCTTCCTGCCGGTCGAGCAATTTTGTGCACAGGTGTACATGCAAAATATATACCCACATAAATACGTGTAATGGGTGTGACAGAGAGTTGCTTGCGTAACGTTTAAATCGTGAATTGCATCATTCGGGTGCTAGCGCTGACGACTTGTGTACTTTTGTTGACGGCCGACGTCGGCCCTCCTTGCAGTCGTCCCTCCGTCGTACACACGAGGTCGTCGAGATCAGTCTGGCCCAGATGGACGCGCTGTGCGGCAATGTGCTGGAGCTGGAGGACGGCAGGGGCCTGCCAGTGATGGCCATGTCCACGCAGGTGGGCGGAAAAGGACCCGCGGGTGGGGTTGTAGAAATGGATGATAAGAGGTGGGGCCCTAGGCAAATAAGCATCGGAAACAACACGTGTGGGCAACTGGGCGTGAGGGAGTAGGACTGACCTGACAAATGACAAATGACCGTATGTGACAAATGGCCGTATGTGACTTCAAAGAAGGTCACATGTTGAGGGTGGGATTCAGCAAAAGGGAGCAGCTAAAGAGAAACCAGGATGGGAACGGGAGAGGCCTCGGACCAGGGCTGGCCGCGGTACAGGAACGGAAGGAATAGGTTCCTGCTTCTGCCAGGACGGTCTTGTCTCCCTCCTGGTCCCCCTGGCTTTCGTTCCTTTTCTGCCGCCCTTGCAACTCTGCTGTTTCTCCCGCTGCCCCGTTCTCCTACCCGCCTCATCACCAAGGCCTACAACGCCTTCACGGAGGACCAGCGACGGGTGATGCGGCGCCACGTCGCAGACCTGGTGCATGCGCCCATCGATACCCTGGAGCGAGTGGGAGGTGGAGGCGTGCGCTGCACCCTGGCCGAGATCTTTTGAACAGGCTTAGTCGAGCCGTCGTTCCAAGACACCCTGTTTCCCGAGCTGCACGCGCCGAAGTAGTAAACAGGCAGGCAGGCGCGTAGCCTAAGTAGGGAACGATTTCATACTTTGTTTACGCATAAGCAGACAATTATACACGGACGCGTACAGTGCTTTCTTTTGGAAAGCCCCTCCACAACATTTTTCTCTTGGAAAGCCCCTCGACCACACGCAAATATATGTATATAGAGTGAAATGTTAGGAACGGGTGCGGGCTGCTTTGTGGATCTCTTGGGATGCGGCATGGCCAGTACGTGGGATGACGCCGCGAGAGGTGTTCCCCGCAAACGGAACAAAACAGGGGTTCGGGTGGCGGCTTTGGATTCATGAGACTTTTAGGAAAGTAACCGACTAGGCGGGAGTGATTTGGGGCACGGGCCGATTTAAGGAGCGCAAGAACTGGCTTGTGTGCGTGGACCTGGGGCGGGGGATTCTGGTATAGTGGGACACTGTACCGGAGAGGGGAGGACACTAGAGGTTAAGGTCGTGAAGGTGACCGACTGGTGCAGATTGCGGTCATTTAGAGTGCTAGTCCTCTTCTAGTCCTTCTGTGCTAGTCCGTGTCGCTAAGGTGGAGGGGAAGCGAGTGATAATGGAGCATTGAGGTGGGCATGGATGGCGAACACCCGAAGGCCCGAGCGCGAGTGTTTGTGTGTGTGTGTGTGTGTGTGTGTGTGTGTGTGTGTGTGTGTGTGTGTGTGTGTGTGGATTCCGGTCATGTATTTAGTAATTGCCACGGTCTTCCTTGGGAACGTGCGGCGACGTGACACGCTTTTTCGTCGGCAATTTTTTCTAAGATGTCCTGAAGATGCCGTGCTCTGGGAGTAGCGGGGTCTTCTCTTCTTTCAGCTGGAAGATGAGGGTGATGCAACTGGGAGTCAGTGCTGAGGTGTGGGCTGTCAGTGCTCATGCTGTGCTGTTCGGTTTGGGATGGTTTCGGGAGGAGACCATCCCTTGCCTCGTGAAATTTTCTATCCCGTGCGTTTTTTAATGTCACGAAGCAGCTTTGCGAAAAGGCGACGCGCATTTGCCTTGTGGGCGCTCAATGACCGATTAAGTCCTTAGCTCTTGTTTTTGAGGCGGAGCTTTGTGCCTGTGGAATCTGTGCGCAATTGATGAGCGTAGAAATGATATGTGGGTGCATGCTGAGGACTAACCCGACACTTCTTTACTTCAGATTTACTTCGGATAGCTAAGGTTCTATTTCCCATGTATAGTGTCAAAGTTTACGGCCTGTAATTGCCAAGGGAGCAAAGCAGGGATGTGCCGGGTAGGCGCGTTTCTCGCACCACGTCGGCGTTCACGTAAGTTTGCACATTTAGACACATCATCGACATGAAAGTGGAAACATATCCCTTCGCCGGGGTGGCTAAGGGGGAGATGAGGCACTGGAGAGGCGCGCCGGACGGGCCATAGTACTCCCCCAAAACGACCCCGTGGATAAACGACGTAAATGGTGCGCCCTGCAAGAAGTGAAAACGAACTCGCAAAACTATGAAAACTGGACTTTTACGTGCAATTTGTTAGCGAGAAACGAAATGGACATAGTACCGTCCATGCTGCGTTGATCATGGTGTACATCTGTATACACGGAATACGCAGTAACAACGACCATCGTGAAAAGGCTGAGGAACTCGGGAAATACCGGGTGTTTCGAAATGGCTGAGGCGATAAGATGACACACCACTGAAGGCAATGCATCAAGGACCTGGGAACCAGATAAATTCTGTTCACATGTGTACCTCCTCATCCTTCAGCAGCTTGGAAAGATGCCTGGCAACAGGTGCTGGCAAAACTGGCAGCAAGGACACACAGCGTTAAACGACGCAATACAGCTACTCCATGTCTCCATATGTACGTCGATATACACTTAGAAAGCCCGCCCCAACCATTGTCCGTTGCATCGCCTCGCCGCCTATTGTTACGTGTATCGATCAAAGGACTTCAAGCTGATCCCTGGCCACACAGCCTACCTACCATAAACAGGCCACAGCGATATAGCATCTAAATGCACCGCATGGGGCAACGTTTCAATGCAGCACCACAAGAATGCGTCGAAGCTATTCATCGCAGTTTACACACATTACGCGCAATTATACACAAACAAAAAATATTTAAACAGATGGCGTCACAAAAAGCGGACGCTACTGGAACAGGCGCGACGCACACCTTTGGATCTCCTGATAAGGTTACATCGGGCCGCACGACATTTCGAAGAAAATGGATGCATAAGGCCCTCTACTCAGCCGTTTTCACCCGATCGCGAATTAGCCAAATGCCGAATGCCGCATCAAAGGTTACAACCGAAAACGATCAAAAGACTAGAAACCAGGTTACATCCTCCCTTTCACACTTGTTCACCGAGCACGTAATCGCATCGGCTTCTCAGAAACGCATAACATCCTGAAGCATCATGCGCTTGCGCGCTTTATTAATCGCACATTTCATCAAACTTGCCGTCAAACAAAACACCAGTGCTGAAAGCGCCATATTCATAAATAACAGCACATAGCTCGTGAACTCATATTAAGCGCGCCCTATCTAACAAATGAACTGAATCTTCCCGGGTAGCCAAGCAGTGATGGTTTCTTAACTATAACTATGCAATAGATAAGATAGATAGAGTAACCAGCCAACTGGATGCCGCTCACAATCATATCGCAGACCCCAAGCATTTGTATTATTGTATCGCAGCCCCCCATAATGCATTCAGCGAACAGAACACGCATACTGGTACTACTAAGTCCCCGGTAAAAAAATCATCATCAGCATCCAACCGACAAAACAAAATGCTCCGAGCCACATACGTACCAGCAACGCAGTTATCCGCACGCATATCCGAACATCGTCGTCTACTTGCGACAAATAGCGCACTGAGCCCCAAAGAGCGCGCCGCGTATTCTCGCACGCGCACAAACGTGCCGCGGGAGTTCCGTACACCTCCCTAACCAGACACTGTTCCCCTGTTCCCCATAAACAAAAACGAGCTGCGCTTTTCTCTTAAAGACGAACGACACCTGACCGGCTTACGACATCCATCCATTCCTGGAAACAAACTGTAGTTACTTCAGGCCTCTTCGCACATTTTCATTGCATCTGCAGCAGCAATACTCCGGCAGCGTCAGCATACAGACCCGCTCGCTCCTCGCTGTGACTCGCTGCATTGGACTGTCCGCGACACCCGTAAGGCACCAGGCCTATTGTCGTTCACCACTACACCGACCTAGGATGTCCTTCGGAGGATCTATCTCTCCCTCTCTCTCTTCCTCTGCGCCAGGACATCCCGGCTAGCCGCCGCTAGCCCCCGCGCCGCCGCTGCTCCGCCGCTTTGGCGGCCAGGGCCGCTGCAGCTGCGTGCAGCAGCTCCTCCGGGCTCTTGTTGGTGCGGTAGCCCCACAGCACGGCCCATTGGTCCAGTCCGCGGGAGGAGGCGAGAGCTTCCAACCGAGCCTGTACGGCATGTGGGGATGAGAGTGTCTCGTCCAGGAGGTTGCAGGCCACCTCCACCGTGTCGTCCGCGTGCTTCAGCGCCATTGCCTGGTGGGAGAGCGTGTGGAGGGGGAACGTGCCCGTGCGTGTGTGTGTGTGTGTTTGTTTTGGGCGGGGGGGAAGGAAGAGGAAGAAGGCGGGTGGATGCAGCCTAACTGGACCACGATGCGCCTGCCGTACCGTACATCGACAGTACGACCATAGACCTTTTCTCAAGCCACATGCGAGGTGCTTACGGGCCACCGCCGCCCAGGACCCCTGTCGGGTCCTCCTCCGGTCCTCCTCCGTACGTACCTCCACGCCAGGCAAGCCACCGCCTCGCTCTGAAACCGCCCTCGCCAGCCATTTCGCTGCAAAGAGGGGCACCGTGAAGTGCAGACCAAGGGAGGAGAATGCAAGCAGGATGGGCGGCCGAACGAGGGGGCAACAGCGCCATAGAGGAAACTAATAAAACATCAAAGGAGGAAAAAACCAGAAGGGATGGAGCACGATTGAAAAAGCGGAAAAGCAGAGGAGGAGGAGGCAGCGGCACGCAAGCCCACTGGCGCCTGCTTGCGTTGTGAAAAGAGGAATTCCGACCCGGAAGAGGAGGGGAGTCTGTGGATGGAAAGTCCGGCCGCCTCAAAATTCCGAGAAAACGCACGCACGCAGCACCGCCAAGGGAAGATTGCGGTGTCACAGTTTCTTGCCGTTTCTAATATGCCATTACATACATACGGACTCAACAGCGTTTTTACGGACCTTCCGCCAAATCCACGTCCTGTAGTGGCACATTGTAATTCACCACCCACGGCACGGCACCAATCGTCACCAATCCTGACTGTGGTGGCGGTTCTGAAGGGCCCAGGTCCGGCGGGAACCGCAACAGGTCATCAGGGTCCGGCAGCGGCGGCGGCTGCGGCTGCGGCTGGTAGGTGCCGTTGCCGTTGCTGTTGCCGCCACCGCCGCCCCAACTGCCGTCAGCGGCACGCCGGAAATAGCCTGGGAGGAGGCGGTTGGCAATTGAGACATTTGGGTTAGGATCTTGGTCATCCAGGGCCACAGAACAAGGAGGTTGAGGTCGCCGTAATGGACGGTTAAGTGGGCAGTAGTATGTGGGGCTCTAGCAGTGCACGTTGTGGTGAGGGCCGATGGCTGTCAAGCAGAAGCCAGCCATTCCACCAACCATTCCACCAGCCATTTAACCCTCATCGAAACGAAACAGTTCACAAAGTCGACAGTCGCAGAGACAGACGCGCCAGTTTGTGTGTGTGTGTGTATGTGTGTGAGTGCGTGCGTGTGTGTGAGTGCGTGCGTATATGTGTGCGTGTGAGTGCAGCGACCTACCCAGTTGCCGCCGTACTTCTGATAGACACCGCCGGGAGGGGTGCGCAAAGCCGTACAGATACACTGGCAGCGCCGGGGCCGGCTCCAACGGCTTCTGCCCTGCTACTGCCGTCGCCGCTACCGCCGATTCAGACTCCCCGTCCTTAGACAGGTGCCAGGCGACGTACTGCGCACAGGAAGCCGCCACCGCAAGACCTGCGAGACCGGGTGGCGGAGGCTCCCATACGGTGTCGTGCCCGCTACCGCTACCGCTACCGCTGCTGCCAGAGGCGGCTGCGGCTTGCGCCACACTCTGCTGCTGCTGCTGGACTTGATGGCTGTGGTGGTTGTTGTGGTTGTGGTGGTTATGGAGCACTTCACGGTGGTGGTCGTGATCGTGGCCTAGTTTGCGGTGCTTGTGCTGGTGGTGGTGCTGGTGGTGGTAGTAGTGGTCTTCGCGATGGAGGTGGATGGGCCAGGGCGCCGGGGCGGAGTGGGCGGCAGCGGCAGCGGAGCGGCGCACCAAGCTGCCCAGCGGGTGTAGTGAAATGTGGTCTACGATGCCAAGTCGCGGGTGGGTGGCAACGTGGGAACGTAGGTCGCGTAGTTGCAGGGCGGCGCGGCTGAGGCGCACGATGGCCGCGGTTAGCTGCAGGGTCAGGAAGGACCGACTATGTTGGCAACCACCATGAAAACAAACAAGTCGGGACAAACAAGCTTCTTAGGACTGGAAAAAGATCTCGGGCGCGGCTCTGCTGGTCTGGTTTCGGGAGCCTTCGACAGCATGGTCAAGCGCCATGCTATCGTCCTCACGTGGCTATGCGTATATCAAACATCATCGTTATTATCATCGCCCCCTCTAGAGCTCTGGAAAAAGGAATTGGTGCGTGACCCAGATGGCGCATTTGTTCAAAAAGGTGCTATGACCTGAAGAGTTTCATGGTTGAACTAGGTTTTCCCAACTCTGAAGTCTGGGTTGGGGTAAAGGGGGTTCGGCCCTGTCTTGTGGACTGTAGGGTGCCAGCTTTGGAGTCTTGTAGACGCTTTGTGGGGGCAAGGACGGCGTTAGAGAGCTCGAGCTTGCGCTTTGGTGGCATTCGGTGTCATGCATGCGCCCGAGACCGCAGTAGGAGACACGTCCCCCAGCAAGGGCTCCTACGATCAACCTACCCGGTCAGCTTGTGTGCTGACGAGCGTGAAGCCCGTGCGGTTATATGGTGCATCCACAAAGATGTTGGCGAGGGCAACGCCGTGTGTGGCATCCGCTTCCGCCTGGTCACGACAGGGCATGGCATCGTCTGCTGGGTTTCGAAAAGAAGCAAAACATAACCGTAATTGCTTACATTACTTTACCATAAGTCCTCACCTTAAGGCGGTTGATTACATCCTTGTCGCGACCTTCCGATATGTACACGTTGCATCCTGCACGCGCAATATCGCAAACAGTTTATTCCTGTTCATATAATACAGCAATAATTAAGAAATATCCTAGCAATGTTAGCGGGGTAACGCGCTGAAAGCCGACCACTAAGGCAGGTAAGCAAAGTTGTTGTGCGCACCCAGAGCAGAATCGATTTCAAGCCTATGCGTAGTGGCATAGGAACGCAAGAGGGAATGCTGCATGAATTGGCGGCTGCAGAGCTTAGAGAGGTAAGAAATTTGCATCGAGAACATGCAGAGCTGCATGATGGGCGGTCCATGAACGTCACAAGCTTTCCGATTTGTCGTCAGGAATTACACTTGCAATGAATTGAGCCATTAGCCGCGAAATTGATTTTTTTTGTGGCAATAAGCGTGCCGTACCTCCCACCAAACAAGCAAGTACATTACAAATCATCGCAGGACATGTACACGACGCACGAATTATACCAACAGCTCGATATGCGAAAGGAGCTTCTGCTGCTGCTCAATCTGCATGTTACCGACATCATCAGAGGCGTTAAATCTTCTATAATTAGATGATTACGTGACAGTATCCGTCAGGCATTATTATAAAACATCGCCGGCACTGGCAACTGATTAACTTCAGCCCGCTTCCCGTCGTCGGTTGTCGGTGGAGATTCCCGTTCATTTACGTTCGTGCAGCGTAACATCGTTACGCCTTCAGGTTTCCGCTTCTACACGATGCGCTGTAGCCAAATTTTGCAATGAACGCTGTAAGGTTTAACAAAAATGCCTTGATTTATCATCGTTACATACGCCCTGGTTGTCATGATGATGCCCTTCAATGGGTTACCGGTACGTCAAGCTTAACCGGGGGGTCATAATATGATGATAACGGCCTTATAATTTCCCAGCTATTTCAAGGCTAGGAGCGCGCAATGTGCTGAGGCTCATACTAGTAGTCAACGTTTGACAACGATGGTCAAAAGGTGGACAGCGAGAGCGTTTTAACGTACAACATGAAGTAACGTATTAAGAATGTATAGGCTTGTACAGTGCTTCACCAAGCGCAGTACGGCCCTGAAATGGGCATCCGGCAGGTGAAACGGCGAATAGCGCTGGGGAGGATAGCGGGCTTTCCCCCATAACGCTCACACGAGACGCTTCTGCCCGAAACTCTATTTATAGTCGTTTTCACAAGTGCTTGAGCTCATCTCTTTGTCCAAGATAGTCAGACCAGGCTCCACGACCTTCAACGAACCAGCCTGCTGTCACATACACGTAAGCTGTCATACCTATACCTTTCAGCTATCGGTAGGGCTTGGTCAGGTTGATCCGTACAGTGGCTGCGACGTGCACGACACCGTTTCCTCGGCCGTTGTCCAATTTTCCATTCCAGGGCGTCTAGGAAGCTTGCTTACTTTTTTTTCTCCATATGTCGATGCTTCGAACGGACACATTGCCCTTGACAACAACGTGCCTGAAGTTGTAGCTGAACACGGTGACTGGCTTGCAAAACGAACAACATGAAGTCGTGGGCTACAGAATGTTTTTGTACCTGATGGGGGTTCATCTGGAGCGCCATTCGTTTGCACTGTTGTTGAAGCTGCCTGCTGAAGGTCCCACCCGACTTTGGTTCATCTTCAGCCCAGCCTATGGATTCTAGCGTAATAGCAAGTTGTTGTTCCGCCTGAATTCTATCCTAAATTTCGGACCGATGGCCTACCTCAACCGACAGCGCGGGCCGCGAGACGAAGCTGCGCAGGTATGCACCTACTGTGTTCACGCTTTTGTAGAACTGAAGGTAACACATGTGGTCTTGGCCTTGTGGTGATTTAATGAAATCTATTGGCGTCCTTTCCCTATAGGTTGACCCCAACATCGCACAAGCCATACTGTTGCGCATGTTGGCACCAGAGCTACGTCTAGATCGCACAAGCGAAGATGGAATTTCTCCATCTTCAGTGGTGTCCTCGATCGGTCAGGGCCCTTCGTCTCTCAGGTGTGACCACGGGCATCCACAAGTCTTGCCGGGCTGGGCGTCATACACCGCAGCCTTTTCTGCCTTGACGAATCAACAGTATCAGGTGCAATCCCAGCGCACCGTGCATCGCACCGGCCCAGACCAGCAAGCGCTGACTCTTACCTCTGATAATCACATGCGGAGCCCAGGAGCTTGCAGCTCGCCCGCAGCCTACGCTGAAACCAGCCAGTTACATCCAAATTATGAACCTTTCCAAGAACGTCCTCTTAAGAGATTGTGCAGGCAAGCCAACGACCAGCCGCATGGCGGGCCTCCACAGCCCGCGGCGGGCGTTCCGCTTCAGCCATACATGCAGCTTGCGCAGCTGCTTCAGCTTTCGCGCCATCCAGCGCCCAACCTTCATGTTCCAGCATTAGCTCAGTCCGCTGATGCCGCTCTCCTACCAAGCGCCACCTTGTCGGCGGCCTCCCAGCAGCCGGCCTCGCCTGCGCCGCCTCTTGTGGCGGATCCTCCCGATGCAGCTCCCCGGCCACAGCTGCGGCTGATACGGCCACAAGCCCCACATGACATCACTGAGTGCGCAGGGCAGCAGTTGCCGTCACCGAGCCGCTCCGCAGCCTTTCATGCGAACCCCGCGCCCGGTGACCTCAGCGCCGACAATGAAGTCAGCGCAGCGGCAGCGCTGCTGATTCAGATGCGCCACCAGAGCATCAATCTACCGTACGTCGATGCTGGCGAAGAAGTCTTATGTCTCTCTACGGGCCCTGCGGGAAGCGGCGGCGGCGACAGCGGCGACGGTGCGGCAGAGGCCGCGTCAGAGGCCCGTGGAGGTCGCGGAGGAGGCGGAGGCGGTTCGGAGGAGGCGCCGCTGGAGGACATGGAGGTCGTCGAGCTGCCTGTGGACGTGAGCTCAATGGTAGATGTTGGTGGTGGCGTCTACGTGACGCCGTCTACTGCGGGACCAGGCATTTCCTTCCGCTCCCTCAGCGGCCGTCAACAGGTGAGTCCGGTAAGGAGTGTGGAAAGGAGGAAAGGAGGTCGAGGTGTGGAGGTCGAGCTTGGGGTGGTGCCTCGTCACCTTTGGTGGTGGATGGTCCGCCCTGATGGGTGGTTGAGGACGAAGAGGTAAGAGGAAGGACTGGAAAAGCAACTAACTGAGGAGGAGATGGAGAAGAACCGGGACTGCGTGTCTTGACTGCGGTCGATGGAGGGGCCAACTTACGGCGGTGATGTATACGTAAATATGATGGGGGCTCCGGAACCACCAACGAACCGCCTCGGACATTCGGTGTGCGAACCAGCACGAAGCCGTCTGATGCCGTCTGCCGTACCGCCGCCCGCAGGACGGCTTCGGTGTTCTGGCCTTCGACAACGTTCCCCGCCGGCCTCGCTCGCAGGTCGGCCGGCAGCCGCCGGAGCCGACAGCAGCCCATTTGAAGCGCCTCAGTGCTCTGGCCACACAGCCGAGGGCTTCCGCAGTTGCGGCGGCGGCGGTGCCGGCGCTGTTGCCCGGGACGTTTGGGGGCGGCCAGCTGCCGTTCGGCGCGGCGGCCGCTGGCCAGCAGCTGCTCGGGTTGGCGGACCCGTTGTCGGCGGCTGTTGCCGCTGCGCTGGCGGTCACCGACCCGGCGGCGGCGGCAGCGTGGATGGCTGGCGGCCGCCTGGCTCCTGCGTTGGCTTCCGTACTCGCAACGCATCTGGCACCGCGTATACCTGGGGCGCACATAGCGTCTGGTGCCGCCGCCGCTGCAGTCGGATTATCAGGGCCAAATAGCTCCAGGGGCGCGGCGCCAGGAGGCGGTACAGGCGCAAGGCAGCGGCAACCGCTGCCGGCGGCCGAGCACGACGACACGAGTATCAACAGCGAGAGCAGTGCTGAGGACTCCCGACACTTTCGCTCCCGTGGGGCCACACGCACGCCCACACCGCAGCTCAGCGCGGGCACGCTGCCCCTGGGGTCTCAGCCACACCAGCAGCAGCTTAAAGCTTCGCAGCTCTTGTCGTCATTGCAGCAGCAGCAGCACCACCACCAGCAACAACAGTCGAGACCAGCGACGGGGCGGTCCGCAGGCGCCTCCCGCAGGAAAACGCGCCCCGCCTCCGATCGCCAGCGGCCAGGATCAGCCGGTTCCGACCCTAGCTTCGAGGTGCGCGGCCGGGATGGCGACAATGGCGGCGGCGGCGGCGGTGCTGCCGACGCGCCCCCCCCTGGCGCCTCCGCCGCATCATGGCAGCCGCCTCCTCGGCCTCCTCGGAATCACAAGGGCCCGCTGCTGTGCGCCAACTGCGGTACCACACAGACGCCGTTGTGGAGGAAGGACCGGGTCACTGGCGACACGGTGTGCAACGCATGCGGCATTTACAAGCAAACGCACGGCTTTGACCGGCCCGTCGGCGGACGGCAGCCGGCGCCACAGCAGGCCTCCGGCAAACGTCACGCAGCATTACGCACGGTGCCCACTTTAGCTCCGACGGCTGGGGGAGCAGCAGCTGGCAGCGGCGTCGGCGGGGCCTCGTCGCGTGGCGCTCCTCGCTCGCCATCGCCGCAACCGTCGCGCTCGCCATCGCGGGTGAGCGCACCATGTCCGCCGCCTCAGCCGCCACCTACAGCACCTTCCACCGGCGCCACACTCGGGGATGGTAGTCTCCCGGAATTAGTGAAAACAGACGAGGAGGACGTGGCGTCAGCAAGCCAGCAGCCGCTGCGCGTCGCCGCAGCCGCTGCGGCTGTAGCAGCAGCGGCTGTAGCAGCCGCATCGGCAGCGGCCGCGACGCCTGCGTGGTCTGCACAGGGCGGTCCCGGCGGCGCCGCCGCCGGGCCGTGTCGCGGCAAGCAGATACGGCTGTCACTGCAGCGCGATATTGCGGCGTCGGACGGCTTGGAACCGGAGCCCGAGTCTGAGGCACTTCTGGCATCGTTATGCGAGCGGGAAGCGCCGGCAAAGGCCAGGGATGACGGCTTAGGCGTCGGCGTTGGCGGAGGGCCCAGTAACAATTGCATGCGCCGTTCCATACCATTGCCTTGCCGTACAGCCTCAGGGGGAAACGGCGACCCTGACGGCGGAATCGCCGTTTCGCCGCTGCGGCTGGACGTTGCCGCCGCCGCGGGCGCTGCCGCTTCGTCTGGCATGATGCGTGTGTACGAGGCCCGGACCCCGGAGACAGCCGCCCCGTCAGACGAAGGCGCTCTTGCGCCACAGCAGCCCCAGCTCCTGCGCGGCAGTTCTCTCCGTGATTGGCTGCCGTACGGCGTGTACCAGCCCGCGGCGGCAGCTGTACCGCCGCCGCCGCCGCCGCTGCCTTCGCAGTCACTTAAGCGGCAGCGTGAGGACTGGGAGGTGCAACCGGCGCTGTCCCCGCAGGTCCCAACGGAAAGTGGGGAGAGCCGCGGGGCGCTCCAAGAGGGGTCACGTGTGCCGTCTAACGGTGCCCGGCTGCAGCAGCAGCAACAGCGGCCGGCAGGCTCAAGCTACAGCGCAGAGCAGCTGTCTGATACTGGCGGCGAAGGCAGCGATGTCGCCGGCGCGGCAGCAGCGGCAGCGGCGGCGGCGGCGGCGCTTAGAACTCGTGGGGCCGTGGACGCCTGGGAGGACCAAACACGCTGCCTTGAGGGAGAAGGAGAGGGCGGGACGTCAATGGCTGGCGTGTTGCCAGCGGCTCTGCCGCCGCCGAGACCACCGGTGCCGCCGCCGCCGGCGTCGCCGCTGTTGCTGCTCCTGCCACCCAAGGTGAAGACCGAAGGGCCCGAAGGGAGAGAAAGGGACCTTGCGGCTGCCGACGGAGGGGGCGATGCGGCTGCGGCGGGCCCATCAATGCCGTACTCTGAGCCGGAGGAGGTACCAGAGCAGGGTGTATGCGAGGCTGCACGCCCGCCATCACAGCAGCAGCAGCAGCCGAAGCAGCAACCGCAACCGAAGCAGCGCGCAGTGACGGCGCCGCGGTCGGGCTTTACGGCGATGTCCGTAGCGTCAGATGACTTGACGACGTTTGGAGACCTTGTGAGGCTGCGGCCCAGGGCGACTCCGGAGCTTCGCAGCGACGAGGTGACAGAATGGGAGCAATCAAGGCAGAGGGAGGTTCGGCAGCTGCGGGAGCGACAGACGGGTCATTGGGAGGATCACCACCACTACCATCACCACCACTGGCAGGGGGAGTATTCGGCCAGGGCGCCTGGAGTGCACGTGCCGGGCCCGATGGCGCAGTGGCCACAGAAAGACGAAGCCGATGCGCGGCCGGCGGCAGCGGCGGCAGCTGCCGTACAATACTCTGCAACCGTCAGGCGTCCTGCTTTGCCGCCAGGCAACCTGGTGTGTGTCCGGCTGCCAAATGGCCGACTGGCGTACCTGCAGGCTATGGCGCCGCCACCGCAGCCACCGCCGCGGCAGCTGCTGGCGTACGGCAGCCGTGCGGTCGTTGAAATGTCCGCTGGGGGGTTTCCTCTTCGCCAAGAAGTGTCGGGGGTGTCGCGGGGATGGGACAGGTGGCAGGAGCAGCCGCACGGCGGTGAGGAGTCCGACCAAGAGCATAGAGTTAGCGGTGGTGGCGAGAACAGCGACAGCGGCGCGAGATGGGGTTACGGTACCCAGCAGCAGCAATCGCAGCAATGGCAACAGCAGCAGCGCCGCTCTAGACGGGATAGTGAGTCTGCGTGGACGGCGGCGGCAGCAGCAACGGGTACGAGAATGCCGTACCGGCCGGCGCGCCATGAGGAAGACGAGAATGATTATGGCGACGCCGCGGCAGTCGGCCGTTCCACGGCCGCAGCAGCGGGTACGACATCGGCGGCGGCGACTTCCTTGGCAGCAGCCACGAGCGCGGCTCGGGTCCCAAGGAAGCTGGTGTTGAGCGCCGATGCCGACGGGACGGCAGGGACCGGATCCGTCTACATCACCGGCCAGGATGCCGATCAGCAATCACAACACAGCGACCACAGTGACAACGGCGGCTGGGGCCGCCGCCGTGGCGGCGGCGACAGCAGTGGCTGCCCGGAAGGCGATCTGGAACAAGCAGTGGGAAGTTCCAGAGCTTTGTGCACGACGGTACGGCAAGAGGGTGTACCGGAGGGTGGCAGCGGCCCGGGATCTGGCCCTTCGCGGTGTCCCCCCCCGGCCGCTTCAGAGAGGGGCTCGCTGGGGTCGTTGGGTGTCCCGCCACATCCCCTCAGGCCAAGACTGCCACCACCCACAGCCGTCACCACAACATCCTCTCAGGCACAGCTGCAGCAGCAGCAACAAGAACATTCCGAGCCGGGGCGGCAGATCGTGACGGCAGCGGCGGCAGCAGCGGTAGAGAACCTCGCCTTACGGCAGTACGTCGAGCTGTACGAGCAAGCGACGGCTGACCCGCAAGAAGAGCTCATGGCATGGCAGCGGCGGCGCCAACAGCGGGCAGCGGCGGTGGTCACTGCCGCTGCCACAGCAGCGCAAGGCATCCTGTCGTACCGGCCGCCAGCGGATGGCGAGCTTTCGAAGTACGATCTGTATGGCGACACGACGTCCGCAGATGGAGGCGGCAGCGGTAGCTTTTCGCGGCCGTCACCCAGCCCCGCCGCGACACAGCCCGACTTTGACGGTGCGGCGCGGCGCAGCTACACCGGAACGATAGTCGACAGGGACTCGTACGGCCACCGGCCCCGAAACCACTCGCACCATCAACTGCCTATCGAGCCAACCAACCGCCAGCGTGGTTTGGAGCGCCCCGAGGTCCTGGACGCCGAGTTAGGGCCCATGTACGGCCGCGGGGAGTTGGCAGTGGACGAGCATCCCGGGCTGTTGTACGGCGGAATGCTGCCGCCAGTCCAGGCTTCCTACGTGGGCATGCGCGGTGGAACTGACCCTCGTCCGGCGTCACCGTTGCTGCCGCCATCGCAGTCCGAGGGACACCCGAACTCGCACGCCCACCTGGTTTCCCACCCGCACCCACACCTCCGCCACCACACACACCCGCACCCGGCGGGGGTGTTCCTGCCAGGTCCTCCTTTCGTCGTTGCTCGTCGGGGGCCTTACCCGCAGCAGCACGCGGCGGCGTTGCCGCCGCGACCCCTGGGTCATTCGGCTGCACAGCTTGCAGATGGACCTGACGGGCCCCGGCAGCAGCAGCAGCAGCAGCCACCGTCCAGCAGTGGTGGCCTCCAAGCGGCTGCAAAGCACTACCTTTCAGCGCCGGCAGGGCCCAGAAGGTCCTCGGGGACGGTGGTGGAGGGCGGGCGCAGCGGGGCAGCGGCGGTGACGTCCGAAGCGGCGGCGACTCAGCCACCATAGAGCTTCTGATTGGGCCTAGGTGCGTCGAAGCTTGACCTCCTGAAGAGCGGTTGAAGGGAGATCAGGACGCAGCCGAAGAGGGAGGGGAGGTGCCGTGTGCACGAAACTGTCGGTGTCTGAGAGGGTAGCAGTCGGGACGGGCGTAGTACCATTGTGCTCCGGAGCCGAAAGCTGGCGAGATGAGGAGGAAGAGTGGAGGGGGAAGAAGAGGAGGAGGTACTGAGGAGGGAGAGGGTTGTTGCGTGCGGAAACCCTTTCGAGGAGATGGTACGGAGGACGGAGATGAGCAGCTACAGCCGGGTAAGCTGTGGTGTGGTGTGGTGTCATGCGGCACACGGACAGCGGAGGACTGGAGACAGAGAGAGAGAGAGAGAGAGAGAGAGGGGTGGTGGTGGTTAGCAGGGAGACGCGCGCGTGCACCAGTGCACGTGCATATGCTGCATGCATGCATGCATGTGAGAGCAGAGCGGCCCTGGAAGTGTGATTCAGTGTGTTCGTGTGCATTTGGTGCGCGCTTTAAGTATGTTGGTTGTGTGATCGTGTGTTTGTGAGGGGTTTCCCTTGTTTGCTGCTGCTTTTCAGAGGATGTGTGCGTTACATTTATCTGGCCTAACGCGTGGCTCCGTTGTGTGTTTAGGTTGGCTATCAGGTCAGTCTGGGCGATGAATCCTACTGAGAGGGAGATCGTGTGTGTTTTTCTCATGTACGACATGGAATCCAGAGGGAACGCCACACACTCCAGGATGTGTGTGACAGCGGCCCAAACCGCTGCAGGTGGTTGCCGTATTTGGGTGCTGACCGCCAGATTTAGCGTAGACCTAGACCTAGACATAGAGTTACAACCAGACATAGGGGAAGAAGGAGTATGTTGGGGACGTCACGGCATGTTTCGCACTAGGCAGGTTGTTTTGGCTTGATGTGCAGAGAGGGCTTGATGCCCTGGTTGGTGCCGTTGGTGCCTCACGATTGCTGTCCGACCTGGCGCCCAGGTGGCTGCCTAGCCGCCCACCTAGCCGCCCATCGGAAGGTGACGCAAGTGAGGAAAAGCCGAGAGATGCAGGGAGCGCAGTGCGGCTTGTGGAGGGGCGTCTGAGGGGGAGGGGATAACTAGAAGCAACCAGTTTTGCGTGTCGTCCCGAGTCTTGGGCCCCCACGGCCCAAGTATGTATGTATGTTGTTACAGGGTGGTTAACTTCGCCAGCGGCCCCCTTTCCCGGGGCAGTCCCTGCTCTCCCCTGCTAGAGGGGCACCCTAATCCGTCACCCCATCCGACTTCAGAATGTATTCGTTGGGTTCGGCAACTCACCACCAGCATCCAACCAAATCTAGCGGATCAACGGCGCATCAACTTAGTTCCTGGTCAGCTCGCAAGTTGATATTATCACGTCCTACACCGTCCATATGATGGGGGGCCACCTCCCATTTCATCACTCCTCAAACACCCGAGGAGCTGGCAGGCGGATTTGAACCCGGGTCGACTGGATCGACTGGGAGCAGAAGTCAGGCCTTAACTTCTGCCAGCCGCCTGCCTTATGTATGTATGTCGCGAGAGGAAGGAGGAACACATTGTTTCGATGTTGTTCTGTTGCCGTTGTTCTGTTTGTTGTGATATTCGGCATTATTGCTGCATTGCATCATGTCTTCAGCAGCATCACCATCATACAGAACGAGATTAGTATTTTTATGTTCTGCTGCAACATGTGTTGGTTTGTCTGTCTGTGTATCTGTGAACGTACTTTGTGCCCAGCGGCGGCGGTGGTAATTGTGCTGATTGATTGGCGGTGGCTATGTCGAAGAGATGCGGTGGAGGGCACTACGGCCTTTTTCATGTAGTAGCATCAGCTTAACAAGCATTGCCCGTGTGGAAAAAAAGAGGGGGGGAGAGAGAGAGCCAGTCGGAGTTTTGGGAGTTGTGTGTGTGGTGGCGTCCTCCCCTCCCCTGCAGCCCTCCCCTCCTCCCTAGAATTGGGCGGCGGCATCGGACGTGTGGAGGAGTTTCTGCGGGTGCGAGGAGAGATGGAAGAGGAGGACAGGAGAATAAATGGGTGGTGTAGGATGCTCTCCTGCGGAATACATCTCGCATTTCGGCCCCCTCCCTCCCCCCCTCACTCCTTCCAGGCTCCGTTGTACAGTGTACAGCATTGTGCATGGCGGACGGGCGGGTACTGCTCAAAACCACACCGTCACGTCGCGCACAAAAGCGCACATGCACACGCACATGCACATGCAAAAACAGACAAACAGCTCACTCACACAGGTTACTGTGTCTTTGCGGGATGAGTGAGGCAGGTCGCAAATTTGTTTTTCCCAGTCCGTTCCGAGGCTGGCAGGGGAAGGGTCAGGTCGCCGCCTCTGGTATTTTCATGTTGCTATTTTGTGGCTCGGAGGGCCACTCCGGTTTGCAGCATTTGACAAGGCATTGAGAACCTTTTGACTCATGCCCAGCCATTTCCTTGGGCGCTTTGTGTGCGGGTTCATTTCCGTTTAGGAGTACGGCTCTATGGCGCGCACGTGACGCGGCACGGTGTGGCGGCGGCGAGAGTGCTGACACAGACATGACAACAGGTGTGTGTGTGCGTATATATAGAAATGCACAAAGCGACATGACGACTTCTGACCTCATCAAGTCCGGAGAAAAACGATTTTTTTAATTAATCATCGTTGGCTCATTGTATGTATGCATGTATGTATGCATGCATGTATGTATGTATGTATGTATGACTGTATGTGTACAGAACGAGCAGGGTGAAGGACTCCCTCGCGTATGGAGGATCGACAGCACACGACTGTACAGAAAGATTGATCCAGCAGTCTCACTGGCAGGGATTAGCTTCACCGATGATGCAAAATGATGACATTTTTAATCATCTCTTATGCGCTGTGTTTGTGCACTTGGCGCATGATGATCATGATGATGATGATGACAATGCTGCTTATTACCATGTCCAAATGATAGACTTAGGAGTAGTGATGGTGGTAATGATGATGATGATGACGACACATTTTGGCATTTTGACTTGAACATGACGCGGCGGCGTGGGGAAACCGAATGGCGGGTATCCACGCCCACATTGTGTATGTGTGTATGCGTGTCATCCACATCGCAATCGATCGCTTTCATTCAACCGTGAATGCCATTGTTTGTGGGTCTCTTCGTTAGGTGGGCTTGAGAAACGGATGACTGCCCCCGGCTGAGGTGTGTTGTTGTTGGGGGGGGGATATGTTGGCCTTCTCCCCGTTGCGAGGTGGAATAATCTTGAGACTGCATGACGCACAGCACCTCCCGACCACTGACGACCGATGTCCCGGTTCAGTGTGCACCAGTATGCGTCGGAGCTTCAAGGCTGCTACATGTGTAGGGGTTTTAGGAGCTGCAAGGCTGCCATGCGTTGTGAAGGTGCCTACGTAGTGTCACCATCTATGTGGAGGACAGCATGAGGCGAGGCACATAGCGCCAGGCACACAGCCGCCAACCACTCGGTCCATTATTTCGCCCAGTAGGGGCCATGGGACTATGGACACCTGCGATGGCCTAATGCGAAAGAGAACGCTAAGGGGAGGGGAGATGTGTGTGCTTGTGTGTGGCGTTCCCTAGCGCACATATCAGCAGGAAGCCCTCCCACTGGAGTTGCTTGAACACGAGTTGGATTAGTCGTTTTCGTTGTAATTTAGAACCTGAATCATGTCTTCATGGTGAAGTTGAGGACATTTACCTTCTGTGTGACGAGACATTTTCTGAAGGTTCTGGGTGGTGTTGAAATGATAACCCCTGTGAAAACATCCGGGGTGCAGAAAGATAGCACTGACACTGTATTGTATACAACAGCTGTAACACGGTTCACAATCTGTGCGGGCTGAGGGCGAAAGGAGTCTGACATGGCTGACAAGCTTGGTGCGGGCTTCAGCGCTCTTCAATAGGCAACTACCACCGGAAAATAGATCCCTTGCAACGCCCCCGTGTGCACACCGCCATACTGAAGTTTGAAGACTGAAGTGGAGAAAGGTTCCATGTGAACAGCAATTGGACATGGGTTAGCCCCGCCGGCCGGACCGGGTACGACAGCCTTTGCGACCGGCCACTGGACCGGAACCGGACCCGCAGAATTTGGACCGAAAAGGTGCTGCTCGACGCTCCCAATCATGTCCTAGTGATAAAGTATGACCATAGCCAGCGTTTTGAGCGGTCAGGCCGACGCGCGCGACCGGTCTTCGCGAATGTTTGGGTTGGAGACACACACACATGTACGCGCACATGAAAAATGAAATAAGAAAAGTATTATTTTCTGTTTCCTTTAAATTGAAGTTGGAAGTGGAACACCCTCACAGTCCGTAACACCTAAGACCTCAAGTAACAGTGAAGTTCGATGAAATTTTGGTAATGATAACACCTAAGACCTGAAAGCATGATGAAAACGATGGAGTTCTGCCTGCGGGGCATGCCGGTCTGATGCGGGTGGCTTCAGCGCCGACGCCGACAGGGCATGGAAGTCTGTTGTGGGCAGCTGCAGCGCCGACGGTGTGGGCTACTCGCGAACGGGTCTAGCGTGCGATATAGGATTCTAAGAGATGAGGCATACCTGAGCGCGATTCCCCTTGCGCTGCCCATCGAAAGGGAAAAGGGATAGGGCGGCTCCTGCTGGATTGCTTTCTGGCAGCTTCGTTAAGCAAGGTTTTCTTCTATCCTTCGTCTCGGGGAAATTGTGAAATGGGAAGGTCCTGTTTCATTAATGATAGTTTGGCCCCGTCAAGCTAGGCGATATGTATATGGGCTGGGCGACTGGATGAACAAACTTTCCTAACATCCATGTTGAAATTTGAAACAACAAATGTTACAATTTCACAAGTTGCAACATCTGTATAATAACTAGCCGATTCGTTGTTCGTTGCACGTTACTCAGCGCAAAACCTGGAAAAGCAAAAGGTGGTCTTCCCTTGCACTACAGGAAATCAGCATTTTGTCTGACAGTATGCCGGTTAGGTGATACCTGGGAAAAGCCCAGAGCTTTGGGGCCAGATTGTACAGCAAAGCTGTGTGTCGCTGTGCTCCAGACGTGCGGGCTATATTTTGGATCCTAAAGAAAGCTACTAAACGGATGCATTTTGCAAGTGTTAAGCCGCTTGGAGTGGCGATACCAACGACGAGATTTGACACAGAGGCGTTGTTAAATGAACGCACCCAAGATGCAACTAAGAGGTCATCAAACAAATAATCCATGCATAGCTTCAGCGCCCGGATATGTGTGCCGCGTGCGTCCGTTCCAAGCCAGACGAACGAGAGGCTGGCAGCCCTGCCTTGCATCAAGCGGCGATGGAGGAAGGACCAAATCCCCACCTTTTAACATTAAGTGAGATGCAAGCAATGAACAACTTAACTTTGCAAAAGCCGTCGTCTGACCAGTTCACAAAGTACTGTCCGTGCCCCTGGCAGGGGCAAGGAAGACGCCGTGCAGATGCGCGCTGAGGCAGAGGCCCCCTTCAGGCGCGTGTCCCCGGCGCGCCCTCTGTTTCTCTCTCCTCAATACTCCCACTAGAAGCCGCTGCGTGTCCGTCGTCCCAACGTGCCTGTTGCTATGAGGCTCTTGGAACGCCGGAAACGGCCTACAGCGCTAGGGCCCACCACAACCACTCCCCCACGTCTACCTCCATCCTACCGTCTGCACCCCGGGGTCGTCGTAACATCCGCGGGTCCCCTCTTTGGCCCCTTCCCCACGCTCTTCGCCACTATCATCACCACTATCATCGCCACTCTTCATTTCCTTCATTTCCCTCTTCCTCCGGAACTTTTGCCGATCGTTCTGCCTCATTTCATGCAGTTCATGCCGCCTTCTTGCTTCATTGCTACTCAGCGTTTCCTCCATAATTCCGTACATTAACACGTACATTCACACGTGTGTTTAACCACCAGCAGCACCCAGCCGGTTCCCGCAAGGCCCTCTTATCACTGTGACATAACGCCTGGGTTTCCTGGGCCGCGCCTCCCCCCTCCCGTTCCCCCCCCGTTCTCCCCCCCCCCCGTTCTCTTCCCCCCCCCCCCGTTCTCCCTCCTTCGGAGGACGGACGCCTTTCGGTCAGTTCTTTCGGTTGCTACTATCTTGCCCTGGCAGCAGCTTCAATCGCGTGTGGTTCGTCTTTCCCCCGTTCTCCCTCCTTAGGTCCCTCCGACTGGTGTTCAGCGGGTTCTCGGTGGTATCCGCCGGCCTGGGCTTCCTTATCAGTATCCCCCAGCTGATTGGGGCCCTGGGCGGGGCGAGGAGCGCACTGCCACTGGAGCAAGTACAGCAGGTACGTATGTACCGCAGCTTATAGTACTACTGTATGGCACCACTGTTTTCCGCGGAGGAAGGAAGACCTCCACATGTGCGGTACAGCACAGTAGTGTAGCCTAACCCTGACATGGGGTTTGTAAAGAGAAGTTGGGCCGGCGGAGGTCTGGACACCTGTGGTGGTAGTTTGATGCTCTCTGTCAGGCTGTGCCGTCTTCGCATACCTCGGTGCCAGGCCGGGTTGGTCTCGGAGCCCGGGATGGAACAGCGCCAGATCGGAGTGCTGATCACTGATTAGTAATCAGGTCATTCTTGTGCGCTTCCTCCGTCTACTTCTCGCGTCCCTCCCGAGCCCTCCCTCCGTCGTACTGTAACGCACTCACGTACTCACGTACTAACGGCTAACGCCTGCAGAATCTGGCTATCGACGCGGGCGCTGTCGCGGTCTTCGCATTCTTGTTCAAGCTCGACTGGGATGTAAGGAGGGGGGGGTGAAATTGGGGCGAGGAGCTGGCGGGCGAGTGGACGGCTGGGTGGGGCGAGCTAGCAGTGGAACCCGGGGTGGTGATGGGAGCAGCGGGCGAGGCGGTTTATTCGGCATGATGTTCCTCCCGAGGGACGGAGGAGAGGGGGGGAAGGCAGTACGGAGGTCGCACCAAAAGGCGTATGGGGGGGAGTTTGAGGGGCAAAGGAGGGGGAGGTAGCCAGTCAGATCCGGGATGGAGCGGGTTATAGCTCCTGCGGAATAGGACCGGGTGGCTGCAGCTGCAAGGGCGCGGGGTGACGGCGGTTCTTCCCATTGGCAAAGGGCTGTCTGAAAGCAGTTTGCAGGCTTCTGGTAGGGGTACAGGTGGCCAGGGTGGTTTCCCTCCACATAGCCCTTACCGCTCTTGCTGCCGAACAGCCCCATTGGATGACCCCTCGCATGTGGGTCATTTGCCTGGTGGACTCGTCCAGCGTCCCCCTCCTCAACTCGGCCGCCCCGCCCGTCCAGGCCCGCACCAAGCAGCTGGCCCGTCTTCAGCGCGAGGAGACCCTGGGGGCGTTACCCATCCGCCTGGCCAGCGGCAAGAGCCTCCGGCTGGGGGACCTGCGGGGCAGCGCCCGAGTGGTGCTGGTGGCGGGCACTCGGCGGCAGGTGGCTGCGGCGCTGCGGGAGGCTGAGTCGCTGCGGGAGGAGCTCGTGAAGCGGGGTGTGCTGGTGGTGCCCGTGGTTCTCTTTGAACTGGGTGGGTCATGGTGATAACCTGGAAGGGTGAGGGGTGGGGAATGCAGGATGACTGCTGGGGGAACGGAGGTGGGTTGGGGATGGGTGTAGGGGAGTGGAATTGGAGATGGAGGTGGAAGTGAAAGGGGCGTAAGGAAGGGGCAGGAGGGGGGAAGGGGCCCCCTAAGTGGGCCTGCAGGGTTCCGGATAGCGGGGTACACATGGGGCCCGACACGTCCTGGCGGCGGCGGCGGAGGGGGCCACGTGGGAGGTGTCCTGTGCTCCTCTTGTTTGCTGCTGGGGTCTATCGAGTGGGGTAGTGTGTACCATGGTGCCGTGCAACCTCTGCCCCTGCATGCTCACCTGCCCATGTCTCCTAAACTGCTGACCCTCCGCCTCCACCTCCCCCTCCACCTCCGCCTCTTCGGCCGGCTCTGTAGCTTCTTCCGGTGCCGGTGGCGGTGCTGCTGGCGGGGGTGCAACGGAGGAGCCGGAGGAGCTGCCCCAGCTAACCCCAGCGGATCAGAGATTCCGAGCGGAGCCTCAGCGGCTAGCCGAGTGGCAGGGCTGGTTTAAGGAACAGCTGACGTACAGCGCCAAGGCGAAGCCGGAGAACGGGTGGGCGTGCTGGGCGTGTTGAGGGGTGTTGTGTGGGTACCAGGGTTCGACACCCCGTACGGGGCCCGTAAGTTTTTGGCCTTTTTTCGGTATCCCCGTCAGGGCCCGTAGGACTTTACGGTGGCTCCCGTAAGGATTTTGGGGCGCGAAGCGCCCCCGTACGGGGCCGCCCCCGGACCGGCCGAAGGCCGGTTACGGGGGGCCCCGTAAGGATTTTAAGGATTTATAAGAGGCCGTACGGGGCCCGTAAAGTCCCTTGTAGGGGAGAGGACGGACCATATAAAGGATAAGGCCACACACTTGGCAGACATAAGTCATATTGCAATATTTGCGTTTCAGCCAAGGACAGTGCCCCCGTAAAGGTTTTGCGGGGGTTACGGGGGCCCCCGTAAGGTTTTCGGCCGGTACAGGAGCCTGGTACGGGGGCCCCTCCGTAAGGAAAATTTGGGAGGTACGGGGGAGCCCGCAAGTTTCAGGAAGGTCAGTGTCGAACCCTGGTGGGTACGTACATGTGCAGTACGGAGACGTGTAGATCTCCTCATTTGATTTCTTTATGTATATTGTGAGAGGCGTGAAGGTCTCGATTAATGGCTTGAAACCGCCAACCCACCCGCCTATCCGTCCCATGCCCTATCACGTGTGTCGTGTCCGTGTGTTTTTCCCCCGATGTCCCGCACGTCCTCCCGCTCCCCTTACCCCCGGGCCTCCAAATCGAACAGTTTGTTTGTTGGGCTTCGGCTGGATGGTCGAGTGCGGTCCAGTGGCAGCGGACGACCGCCCTGGCGGCGATATGCCCTGGAGCTCGCCCCCCTGGAGGGCGATGGTGGGTCGCAGGGGGGTGGGGATATGCAGTGCATAGCTACACGTTGCATCAAATGCGGCTCCAGACAGCAATAGGCTCCGCTCGGCTCGGCTCGGCCCGGCTCCAATCGCAAAAGGTTTGGTCATCGAAGGGTAGCCCCCTGTTCAGGGGTTTTGCGAGTTGGGCGGTCCGGGGTAGGGAGTTGTTGAGAGGTTTGAGGTCATTTATGCGAGTTGCCGGGTTGGGGAGGTGAGTAGTGGTGAGTGGTGAGTGGTGAGTGGAGTAACCCTTGTTGCTTCCCAGCTTGTGGAGGTCTCTGTTGTGTGTTGTGTAGTGTAATGGCTGTCGCTAGTGGCCTCTGCCGCTGCCTACTAAACTAAGGAACTCGACCAGCGCATTGGGTTGGGGGTAGTGGAGTGGGTGGGCAGGTGCGAACTGCCACGCAGGTTTTGGAAGGAGCGTAAAAGCACACAAAGGACCACCCACTGCATGCGATGCTTGCATGCAGTGTCGCTTCCTCCGCTTCCTCCTCTAAGGCTTTGTCTGATGGTTCCCCCGACCCGGCCGGCCCTTCCGCTGTCCCCATCCCCAACCGCGGTGTGCCGATCCGCATGCTGAAACTGCGGCAAAAACGGCGGCGACGGTGGCGGCATACTACTGCTACTGCCGACAACAACAACTGCATGTGCGTTGTGTAATAACGACGTGCTCGCCGCGCGCGTGATGATATGGCGCCCAGGCAAATGGACGGGATTTTTCGATGGATTTGATGGCCGCGTGTGAGGTGGTGTGAGACTGTTTCTTGCTTGCACGAAGCGAGATTTTGTTGTTTGTGTCTAGCTGCCGCAAGTTGTAATAGATGCTGCCGACGGACGGATTCGAACGGCCGTCCAGTTTTTGGCGGAAAAGACGGTAGTAACATATGCTGCTCCTCGAAGATGTTTTTCCTAAATTTAATTTTTTTTGTTTGCTTGCGGATGGCCTTCAGCTACACGGAATGTTTATTGTGTCTAGCCGGCTAAGCGCTATATTAGGGCCTCGTACGTCTGCTAAAACCCCCCGTGGTTGGTTTGTAGATTGTAGAATGGAAGTGAAGTGCTCGGCTGGTTTATTTGTTTGTCGTGGCTTGAGTAGGAACTTACAAGCATGAGTTTTTATTGCGAGCAGCCCATTTGCCACCCATAAGTTGCTGCTCACCAATGAATCCTCGTATCCGTACTTAGCCGTATTCTGAGTGTCACGGCACGACTGGGTCTTCACATGTGGCGGCTGGGACTATTATTATTATTATTTTCCAAACCTCTTTGCGAAGAGGCTTGTGAAACCACCCACTCGGCATCTCTCGCAAGGCACCTGCTTCGTTATTCATATTCGTTCGCGTGCCGGACAATCCAGCAACACCTGTCTATTGTCCTCGATCTGGTCGACCATACCACAGAGCCTGGGCAAACCGTTGCTGACTCCACAGAAACGGATCGCCATACCCCACATATATACGCGCCCTGCTCGCCGATAGATTACCCACCGAGGAACAGCGAGGGACTGTACCGTGCATGATGTGTGAAACAGGGAGGTGTATCTTCGCCCGTGGCAGCTACCCTGCGAAATCCTGCCTTCCCCGGTATTTCGGGGCACCCTCATCCAGTCACCCTAGTCACCTTCTCAGTGGATCGCTCAGGTTACGCACCCACCACCAGCATCTAACGGAATCTGCCGGGTCGACTGCGGCGCAACTCCATTCCTGGTCGACTTGCAGGTTAACTTTGCCCCAGGTCACCACCGTCCATCAACTCGGGGCGCAATGCCTTCCACCATCGGAAGGACTTTGACCCTAACGGGTATCGATCCCGGGATCTCGCGGGGGCATTGGTCGCGCCTTACCAGTGGTGCCAAACCCTATGTGAACGTACGTATATATGTACGTATGTGTGTATGTATGTATGTGTGTGCATGTGTGTGAGATATCGTGTGGGACTCTACCTTCGTTCGGGACCATCACTCACGTGCGACTTAAATCCATTGTACGGCTAGTACAGCATACTAGCACGACCACGACCACGACCCCGATTAACTACAACGTACGCTCGCACGTTTGAGACGACCACAAATTCATAACCAGGTTATTGGTTACGCCAATAACAGGCTACGTTATTGGGTGGTGCGGCAATAACTGTAACCACTTGCTTACAAACCGTCGTCCAACAGAGAACAGGATAGAACTGCAATAGTAAAGGATGATTAGGATCAATGATGTAGCAAGCGTTGTTTGTGCGGAGGGAGAGTGCATGGGTGTAGTGGCTGTACATAGTACGGCACACATATCGTCTACAAAAACGCGCTAAGGCGCTCTGCCAGCATCTTGAGAGGCCTACAGAGGCCTTTCCAGCGGCCAGTTAATACAATGGGTCCGTGACCAGGCGGGCTATTTAGGCATGAAACATAAACAGGATGTGCCGAACCATTCGAAGTGTGAAGGAGCGAATCACACGCCGCCGGCGGACGTCCCAGGTCTCCATTGCAGCAAAGCATCACACGATGGGCCGCCCTAACGGAGACTCAAGCTACGCACGTACATATACCCTACCCCAACTCAAGCAAGTAAGGATGTAATCAAGATCACGCACACCCCGTAAATCTCGACCAGGTCCCGTGTCACACTTGTTTTGATAACCTGAGCAAAGGCTGGAGCAGTCAACTTAGCCAAATGTCCCAGGAATTCGGGCTTGGAGACGTCGTCGCTCTTGCTTGCCATGGTGTCCAGATGGGCTGCCAGAAAATCAGACGTTGGTGCAGAGGGCCCATGTGAAACAAGGCCCGAATCGCATCAGTGCAGCAACTGGCATCAGTCAGCTTCGTTGCAGCTCAGCGGCGCGGGGCTGATTTCCGCCATGGTTCCGGCTTATGCCACAAATGCCTGACGAAAATCACACTTTATACAATTTAATAATTTATAAGTTGAGCGTCCACCCTACGATACAGGATATGTTGTTTGCCGCGCTCGAAAGCTTAACGGCTCAGAAGCCCGTGCAGGGGCCCAAGCGCGCGACGACCACCTATCAACATATCATTACAGAGTATTACATGCTGAAACATCTTCACCTGCAATGATAATAAAATAAATGCCATTGTTTGGTTTGCCGCTGCAGCGCAACGGGACTTAACCGCCCACCAATCGGCTATCTGTACGAATAGTGTGAATGCCCAAACAAACCCTAAAACCCTTGATCCCAAATTGATCAAAGAAGACCCATAATAATTGATTTTGAGTTTCTGCATTACCATTTTACTGTGTCATTTTCAAAATCAAATTGTGCGCTACAGGGTGTTATTAATTGCGATGCTGAGAGAACGATGGTGTCATGATGGGCAAGAAACTGTTGCGAAGCTGCCGTTTACCTGTCAGGAGCTTACGGAGCTTGGGGCCTTTCGGAAACTGCTCTTGGATGTCATAGGGCCCGTGCGTGGCACCAAAGGTCCCAACAGTTGGCTATTATTACTTAACACCCGCCTTCAGGTAGTACACGATGAACAATACCTCGTTACAGAGTCGACTAACCAAGAAACTTGGAACCATCCTCGTAAGCCTGTACACACAAGCCTCTCCTAGCATCCTTACGATTACAAATCTCACAGATCACAGGCAACATGGTGAATGCTTCTATCCTACTTGAAGCCCTAGCCAACGCAACGGCACAGGCACAGTTCATTGAGGAGAGGCTGCAAGCCCCTGCAGGCTTATTCTGCCCGCTTCGGAACAACTTGGAAAAGGTTGCACTGATGGACCCTCCAAACCGGGTATAATTGGTGGTACAACGATAGTGCCTCTCCATGATGTTTCCCCGGAGGTTTTATATATACCCATTAATGTCTCCCGCGGTAAGGCAGTTGTTGCTACGGACGACGAAACAACGCAGTGTTTCGACCTGGTGGATCACATGAGGGAGAAGATAAACGAACGGCAGACGAGCTACTCCAGCGATGAGGGTTTGGATTTTTTGAAGATACTTCTATTAAACTGAGCGCCGTGCGCAGCATCGTGGGGTGCCTGACCAGATGGCCAAGGCCCTGGTGCAGCCGTTCACGGGCCTGGCTCAGCAGGTTGCAGAAGCTCCCGGGCCTCCCTCCGGATGGCCGCCCCTCGGCGACCCAGCGAATCCTGCAGCGGGCCATGCCGCTGGAGGTGGCAGCCCACGAGCACCGTTTGACTCCTTCCCTCCTCTGTCGCCGTTGATATCTCGGCGTTGCCACACCCTCAGTTGATGCGACAGACGTCGATGGCGAAGATGGTGCTGGACACCATGACAGGACTGAAAGACCCTATCGGTGAGAGGCTGCTGCCTGCTAGTCCTCCAGCCAAGGGGGAGTGTGCAACACATACGCATGCATATACATATACTCAGATGCACACACATATACGCACATATGAATTTGATACATGGTCGTGAGTGCGTTCCCCGTACCTGCAAACCGCCCAAATACGAGCCGAGGGCTCAAGGGCTGCCAGATCGCCTATAAGCACCATCCTACCTCGCACTTACACACACGTATACGCACATATACACATACACACATACACAAGCCTAACGCCCAACGGCATGTGCCTGTGCAGCAGGCCTGCTGCATCCAAGCACATACGTTTAGCTGCCTGTTGGCTGTCAACACCCTGCTTTAAACCACACTAGCTGGCTTGACCTTTATTTCAAGTTGCAGCCGTAATGGATATCTTTTTTCCCGCCCAGAGAGTGCCAGCCCTGATTTTGAGAGCCGTACACCGTGTCGTAGCTTGCCCTGCCTGAGACATGCCTGCGTGCCTTCATGCATGTCGACATGCGTGTATGTATGTTGTTACAGGGTGGTTAACTTCGCCAGCGGCCCCCTTTCCCGTCTGCCACAGCTTATGTTACACTTCCTCGTAATAAGGCCCTGTTCGTCACGTTACAATACCCCGCATCTTGGCAACCGGTTAGAGTGAGCTTCTCACAGCCTTGCTTGGTGACCTGGTATGAGGAAGCGAACAATCAGCTTCAATTACATAGTAGTATACAAGCACCATCGGAAGGCCATTATTTCGGCAATCCAGGCAGTTGCCGTCGACTAGCTAAAAGCCTATGTGGAAACTGCCTATATACGTTGCAGCCCCGCACAGTTAACGGCGCGATACACATCGGTCCAGGCCCCACACACACCTGCAAACAGTATGCCATTGTCATACAAACAAGACTTTTGGCCGAGTGGCGACACACCAATGGAGTTTTGCCGACAAGTGAAGTTAAGTGACAATCTGATAAAATGAATATGGCGCGTCACCCCTTCCTAATCCGTCGCTTTGAAAACTGCGACACATCGTATCATGAGGTCAGTCCGCCACATTCCAGCCAGCTGGGCTCGACCAAATGATGTATGGATGAAGAGTGCAAGTTGTGAATGCTAAATGCAAGCGGCATACCTATCGTATGCGTCAAATCAAGGATCACACTAAATTTACCAGTCTTTGTGATTGCGTGGAGACCGGCGTGAAATCTCAAGCCAAAAGCACTCCAACGCACAAAAATAGGGGGCGACTGGGGGTTTCTTAGTTAGCATGCAGACCGGACCGCAGCCCGACAACCCTGGTGCGGTTGCCGATGTGACAAAGACAACAAACACACCACGCAAAGAAACCAGAACTCGTGAGAAGTGAGTGGGGTTAATCTCGCCACAGGTCTCATAAATGAGCCGCAAGCACCCCCAATCAAAGCGCCGGGAATTCAGACAGCTCGGCAACCAGCTCGATCAAATGCCCCCTGGAACCCTGAAATGCAGCCGGTCCAAATATGTACAATTTCACAACACCACCTAAAAAAATTATTTTGAAGCGGAGCGAGGAGCATACTACTCATCCATGCACACTAAATGTACAAAACCTCGGCGCGCACGAGAACGACCTGAGGAAGGGTAGTAGTGCACCGCCGCCTCCGAACAATCCTCGGGTGGGACCTATCGGTAGTCCAAGCCATACTAATGTTTCCTATTAGTGTGCCAATCCGCGCAAGACGCCATCTGCTATCTTGTGACACAGCGCAAACTAAATTACCCACAAGTCCCAATCACCAATCGCACTTGCCAACCCGTCATCGTTGCCATACCACAGCCGTGGAAGCAGCAGCAGCCCGTCCATCTGGGGCCCCCGTCGGCCGTCTGCCCGCAGCCTGCTTCCTTACGATAAGAAAATGACCATTATTAATGGGATGCGTGCAGCAGAAGTTGCTAATAATGGTGACAGGCAATCGCAAGGCCAATACATACTACGTGAATTCGCCCCACTCACACATAAGAAATCCTATACTTTTTTTAAATCCAAGCCAGCGTTGGGATTGACTTAGCCAGCTGCTCGGTCGCCACAACAGCCGATGGACTTACAACTCGCAACGGCACCACAGCCGGATGAGAAATTGATGAGGCCCGCTGGGGCCGCTGCGCCGCAGCAACGCCAGACAAGGCCTCAGGATAGGGCCCCGGGGACCCAAAGAAAGATGCAGCCGCAACAGCCGTCGGATGACCCAACTGCTCGTGCTGCTCCGGGCCATGGCGTACCTGCACTTGCCAGCGAGGCTGGTGCTGCTGCCGGGGCTCGGCTTCCTGCGATTGTGTTGAAGGTTGCGCTGAAGATATCCCGTTGCGCTGTTTCTGTTGCTGGTTGTGGTGGACATAAGGAAACTGCCGGTGCGTGTAGAGATGCGGCTGCTTTGACTGTGGTGGCGGCGGGCCGCTACGAGACGGGTCCTGCTCCTGTGGCGCAGGCTGTTGCTGCTGCTGTCCAACTACGAGGTGCCCTAGCGATACGCCCGCTGCCCGAAGGTGTTGCAGCTGCTGTAACTGGTGGACGGGCACTGGCTTGGCGTGGATCCGCACACATTGTGGCTGCTGGGTGCCTGAGCCCGACACAATAACAGTAGTGGGCCGTAGGCGCGCCGGCGGGTGTTCCTCCTGCTGATGATGCTGCCGCGGCGGTTGCGAATTATGTGCCGGGAATGGATGTGTGTGATGGCGGGGTTTATAGTCATGAACGCGCAGGTGCGGTGTGTTGTCTGTGACACGCGACTGGAGAGGCTGCTGCTGCTGAGTCAGCGGCACATGAACGTGCAGCGATGACTGTGTTGGAGCGGCCTGCCGCATGGCGCCCGCTGCGCGCTCGAGCTGTTGCTCAGACGGACCCCGGTGGGAGTCTTGTTGCTCTTGTGCTGTCAGCCGCCGGCTGGGGCCCGAGGGAGCGGGCGATGATGATGGCGGTGAAAACTCCCGCTGTTGATTTGACGGGCGCTGTTGCTTCTGTTGCTGCTCCTGATTTTGCAAAGGACCTGCGACCGCTGCAGACGGCGACGGTGCAGCTTCTGCTCCCACTGCCAGACCTGCGGCTCTTACCTCCGCGGACGATATACGCCTCTGCAGCAACGTCGACTGGCTTACGACAGGCACCTGCTGCTGAGAGCGGTCCTGCTGCTGTTGGCTTAGGCAATCCACCTGATCTCGGCCCCGCTTGAGATTCCAGTCCCGTCGCAGAAGCAGGAGCAGCTGACGCTGCCGGTCCAGCTCATCTTCATGATGTTGCCGCTGCTGGAACGGCCCACCGCCACCTCCAAGCGGACCATCCTCGCCGTCATGACCACCTACGGCAGCGATCTGCGCAAGCCATGCCGCTTGCTGCGCCAATTTTTCCATAAACAACGTATCTCGGCTGCCGACTCCACCAGCCCCTTCTGCGTCACCGCCAAAGTAACGCGCGAGCGCCGGCGAGGACGCACATAGTCTTGGATGCTGCGACTGTCTCTCGTCGCCTCCTTTGCAACCCTCGGCCTCTTCCCAGTCCGCGTGCGGTGGCTGCACCCGCTGCCGCTTCTTCAGCTGCAGTCGCTGTGGGGTTTTAGGAATGCGACTGCGGAAGACGGCCTCGTCTGCAACCATCGCTTCTAACGTGACTGAAGAGTGATTTGACTCTAGGACCTTTGCAACACCTGCCACCGCATCCACAGCATCCAAATGCTCGCCGATAGCCATATCACTGGAAGGCGCTGCACCACCGCTGCTGCTGTTATTGCTGCTGTTGCTGCCAGCAGGCCTGTCTCCAGACCCACCGCGTCCGGTGCTGGGCGGAGGCGAGATGGCACGGCCGCCAGCCGTGCGGGGGCCTAAATCCTGGGCCAGGGGAGCACCATCGCTTGCGCCATCACTACCCGGTGCGTGGTCGCCAGCCTCGTCCGCCAGCCCTCTTCTTTCTAGGCTTTCCCTCTCATACGAGGGCCGTTGTAGGGAGGCACTGCAACGCGCTCCGTCGCGCCACGCACAACGCTGATGTGGCTCCGCAGCATCCCCTCCAGCAGCTTCATCATCCACAGCTCCCACAGACACCTGCTGGGGCGATGGCGACGGCGACGCTCCACGACCTGATGTCTGCGGCGATGGGACAGAAGTCTGGTGATGAGAATCAGATTCTCCCGGGGGCTTCAGCTCTGAAACCGGTCGCCACGGACCTGACTGCACCGAAGGTTCAAGCGCCCCCACGGCACTACCACCGTGACAAGCTGCTGTCATCGCTTGGCCCCCTTCCGTCTTGTCACCTTGATCCGAGTCGGCTCGCAGTTGCTGAGACTCCAGGCCGACAGTCGCCGAACCACTTTCCCGCTTGACACTGCACGGCTGCTCTTGCTGCTGGTGTTGCCATCCGGCTGCACCGCCAACAGCGCTGACGGCTTCCGACCTGCCCGTAACACTGGTGGTTATGCAGCGGTCCTCGCCGTCCGTGCTTGTGCACTTGCGGGCGACGGCTGTGGCGGTAGCAGCGGCGGTCGTGTTGGTAGCGGTGGTACTTGCAGAGGGCGAAACTCCCCATGGCATGGCGGAGGTTACCACTGCGGGCTGCGGCGGCTGCGGCGCAGGCGCGCAGAGAGAGGAATCCGCACCGCCAGTAGCCAAGGATGCAGCGACGGCGCCGATGGCGGGCTCGACATGCGAGCTTGAGGCACGCCCAGTGACGTGTGGTTCGCCCGCGGCGCTGCCGCGCATTGGCATGGTCCGCAGGGCGGCACAGCGCTTGGAAACTGGCTGCGGAAGCTGGTTGCGGCCGCCAACCGGCCGATCAAATCCATGTGTCTGCTTGTAAATACCGCATGCGTTGCACTGCAGGTAGACAGACGGGTCGGGGAACCGAGATGCACAAATGCAGGGTCAGGCAGGTGCGTTTTGTGACAAGCAGGGAAAGGAAACTGGTTTTCACGCTCCCTCAAGAAGTCACGGGACGCCGGACAAGGACGTGCAACATGCAAACCCGGCCATGCATAATCGCCAACCATTAAGATGCTCCTCTGTTACACAGGCAAGAAAGCACAGCCCCATCTTAACCAAGCCAAATCACGAGCAACCCACCAATCAACACGAAATTAACTCAACATTCGGTAACGTGCAAAACAGCCACACCAGCCCACCCACACTACTACCAGTCCGATATTGCCCAGCCGCCACACATAGCAGACACGCACCATTGTGCAACCGGTCTCCCGGTCCTTCCTCCACAACGGCGTCTGTGTGGTACCGCAGTTGGCGCACAGCAGCGGGCCCTTGTGATTCCGAGGAGGCCGAGGAGGCGGCGGCGGACAGCCTGACGCGTGCCGCCCGCTGCTGCCGCCGCCCCCAGCAGCCGCCGCAACCAATTCCATGGCCGCCGCCGGATCGCTGCTGTCGCCGCCTCCTGCAGGGCCCCAACCCTGCAGCTGCTCCCGTGTATGCACGCGTTCTGTGCCATCAGCGCTGCCCGCTGCATACCCCCTGGACAAGGGTGCTCGGTGATGCTTTTCCGGAAGCGCCGCACCCGGTGTTCTCGCTCCGTAGGCCGGCTGCTCGTGACGGAGCCGAAGGCCCTGCTGGCGATCTGGGTCACTACTTCCGGGTAAAGCCTCTGCCGCCTCCCCTGCGTCCTGATGAGGATGATGCCGCTGGCGAGCCGAGCCCAGCATGTCCTTGTCGGGTCCCAGGGGAAGATGACGACTGCCGTACTTATCGGTGTCGGTACAGGCGCCGCCGCCCCCCTCGTGTTCCCCGCCACTGTCGTTGCCACCACCAGCGGCGACAGGGCGTGCCTGCCCTTGCACAGCCGCGGCAGCGAAAAACCTTAAGCGCTGCAGGGGATCCATGGCCAGCAACAGCCGGGCTGCATCTGGCTGTGTGAGCAACCTCAAAAGCGCCGCCTGGCTGCCGGGTGGACCTCCACTGCCGCCGCTGACTCCCGCTCCAGCTGGTGGCGCAGTTTTGGCAAGATGGTCCCGCTCCTTGGCTTGGCGCGTCTCCGAGGCGTCCCCGGAACCGGCGTTCAGCGGCGAGGGCGGTGACGGTACCAACTGTGTAGCGAGTAGGTAGGCGGGGACGCGTGAGCGGATGAAAATTCGGGGAGGGCGACGGAAAGAAATACAACATAAAAGGTAATGGGCCCTAGACTTAACATGCCGCGACCCAAGACAGAGCGGCCGCGAGATCACGGCAGGCGCCTGGACAGATCTATCTAGGTATACTGCTCGACCAGCCGCATTACGGTATTGACGTGACCCGAGGGATAGGAAACTACAGGGCACAGCGCGCTGGCTGAAGCTGCGCAGGAAACGCACCTTCCTGTCACTTTCTGGACTCTGCGGATCGGAGGCCTCCTCGCCGTCGTGCTTTCGCCGCCAGGTGTCATCAGCGTCAGGCTTAATTGCGGCCGTGGCGCCGCTGCTGCCGGTTCCATGTGCCAAAGCCGCAAACGGCGACACACTGCGAGCCGTGGTCGCCGTCCCCGCCTTTGCCGCTTCCTCCACCTTGATCCAGGGCCCGCCACTCTTCGCCCCAGCCTCGGTCTGGCCTGTGCCGCGTACCTGACCTGCTGCTGCTAGCGAAGCCAATACTGCGCTAAACTGCCTGGCACCATTCACTCCCAACGACCACGGGGCCACGAGCAGCGCGCCAGCACCGGCCTCCCGCGTGCCAGGCTTCGCCGCTGCATCAACTGCCTTATCATGCAGCTCATCTCCGGTATCACAATCGTCGCAACAGTCCCCAGGTACGACGCCGCGAGACATGCCTTGGCGGCTTCGAAGCTCCTCGCCGTCTGGACCATCATCGACGCGTTGCGGCCGCTGCGGTGAGCGCCGCTGCTGCTGCCGGCTCCGTGATCTACGGCCGCCGCGGCGCATCTTGATAAGGAAAGCCGCGACCGTTCCCGCATCATCATCTTCATTCAGTTCCGGACCCAAACTGAACGCAGGGCTCAGCGGTCCGATGTTAGCATCCTCAGACTCGTCTTGCCGAATATCGCCGCCGCAGCTGCCATCATCTCTTTCTGTTCCTCCTCCACGGATGCCGCCGCGCTCGGATGCCGCACCCGGGCTCAGACCTGGGAGAGGACCGCGACTTCCACTGGGCTGCGCACAGTCATCATCGTATGCGCCGTACTCTCTCTCGTGCCGCTGGTCCTCGTCCGGGGACAGGTAGTAGCACTGGCCAAATCCGTAGCCATAGGTGTAGCCCGCGGCACCACCGGCTTGCCGATCTGCTCCACTGCCATTATACCTGTGCACAACAAACCCAGCGGGACCGCTGTCAATGGTACGGATGCTCTGTGGGTAATACATGGGACACCTACGCAAGCGGGTCACAGCCGTTTACCAAAGGCGCCATGTATGTGATGCCTGGCCACAGCCATCCCTTCACTTCTCCGGCTTGGCGGTACGACACGGTAGTAATTGGTGGCATTCAAGCCGAACACTAGCACAGAAATTGGCCTTTTCCGTTCGGCAAGCATGTGCTTACAATTGTCATAAAATTACGTACTCGCATCTGTACAAGGTTGCATTTTATGAGGAGAAACATCTGTATATGTGTACAAGATGGGGGGCAACACGCCGCTTGTATGTGCGCTATGTATGCGTCTACGCCTCAACGAATTGTGCGTCCGCACGTATGGGGTAAAAGACCATATGGGATGGCTGGAAATTCTCACCTTAAAAACGAGGCTAGCATCTCCTTGTGATATGCGGCGGCGGCATCCGAGCATGACGGCGTTCTAGCGATCTTAACACCCACCGCCGCGGTGGAGTACGGCTTCCGCTGCTGTACATTGCCATTACATTAGAAGGGCGGGTAGGCCACAAGCGGTCCAACTTCAAGCTTCGGCGGGAAAGGCGAGCAGCTAGCTCGCCGGTAAGAAGATTGACAACAAAACCTAGGCCGCCGCAAATGGCAAGCCGCTAGTGGCCCGTTCCCTGCCTAGCGACCCCGTTGGAAAAACACGCACGGTGAAATTTGCGCAGCTGCCAACACTCCAGTCTCTTAACCGACGAACGCGCCCAAATGTTATTGAGGATGCAAGTTACTCTGTAGCAGCTTGCCATCCATAGCCCTTGAAAACTCCAGATGCGAGGGTCAGGGCAATCCCAGAACTAATTCACAGTTTATGGCACACCGAGCCACCAAAAAGCGGAAAGGGGGGAGGCGTAAAGTGGTCTCCTTTAACGGCGGGGGAGAGGGAAACCCACCTGTCGAGCATCAGCTGGTTCGTTGCCGTAAATGACCCTTTCGTGGATTTTACGTGTCGACTTGCGTGTAACCTGACCTGGTAACGCACGCGTGCGGCTGCACGCAGGGCAGGGTAGCCGTCATACCGTTGCTTGACAAGCAGGGCCTTGCCATAATGTTTGCATAAACAGCAATGGTTTTAACAGCGGACACGTTGCCAGCCGAAAGCATACGGAAGACGCAAACCCGGCGCTATTTCCTAATCAAACTCGTAATTATGACTTACCTGCTATCACCACCAGGCCCACCACTGTTTGCGCATGTGCGTCGCGACGACTGGTTGAGCTGCGCTCGTATTAACTCCACCGGCCTTGGGAATAGTGAAGAGGGGCATAAGACGTCAAGCAAGCACATGTCTTCTTCCTCGTGTAAACAAACGCGAGGGCATCTTATGGCTGCATTTGCTCTCTACCGAAGTCACCTGTGAACTCCGCGCGACTTCAGATAAATGCCACACGCGTTGCATAAAAGTTCGCCAGCCTCCTTCCTCCATAGAGGTGTCTTTGTTGTATTACAGTTGTTGCAGGCCTGCGAAACGCCGAGCATCGAGGTAAGCTATCCAGGTAGTTGGCTAATGCCTTCCGAGGAAGCTCGGCTGAACACTTCGAGAAGAAAAGAAAACCAGGATAGCGCGTGACGAGTTAAATATACTCTTCAAGCATTCCAACGACACCATCGCGCGTCTTTATCGAAGGTGCGGTTTACCCGCAGCTGCCCGCTGACCAAGCCGCGCAGCAAGAAAGCAGACCCCAGCATCATTAAACCACCCTACCACGAACTGCAGACTTTTCCACCAAGACAACCAAGGTGGCTGTGCTGTTCTCGGGAGAGCTTGTTCGGAAAACGTTCCCTCCCATACTTTTTTTGAGAGCAAGTACAACTGGCAGACTCCTTGGGCCCTTGTTTTTGATGACCATGAAGGTAACTCTTATCACAGAGAGGACAAGACATCCTTGCGGAAGCTGTCGCAAAAGCGATGTTTGCCGAGTCCAAGTCGCGAATACCAAAGAGATGGTGGCCAACTTTACGCCCAACTTGTCATCCCTCCAGACATCGCTTTTCTTCCTATTCAAAATGACAGGCTACGCTAAATTCCGTGCCCTGAAGTTGCGGATGTTCCGGCTCGCATTCCCCCAACAAAACCAACCCCAAACAGGGCTAGGGGCGTGACCTACCTTATCGGGCTTCTCGCTAGGTTCCTCAGATGAGCTCTGAGGTGCTGTATGAGGGACAATCGCCGCGTCTGTGTCCATCCTGGTCGTCCGACTGGTAGAACGGGCCTCTGAGAAGCCAAGGGGATCACCTTATCCTTGCGCTGTACAAAGCGCCCTATCGCGTTCAGTTGAAGAGTGCCTAATCACGACAGGAGAAGATGTGTTCGGAGGCTTTCCGGAGATATATCAGCAAAAATTACAAATTTCGAGCGCCTGAAACATAAATCTAATACCATAGTTATGAGTACAAGTGCTCTAGTATTTTATTTGGAATACCGCGGCAGACCACTATCTTGTTCAACGTCCGGAAATTCCGTGCACGCTGCACGGCACAATGGTTTGTCGGTCATTCAGGTGAGGACCATCTTCCCTGGCTTTGGTCAAGTTGATGAATGCCGCTATTATTTCCTGGTCCACTGTTCGGGCGATTGAAGTCAAAAAGGTGCTGCGGTGCGCCAAATGCTAACCGCCAATAGTCAAAATAAGAGCTAAGATAGAATGAAAGCGATGCAAATGCCCGATCGATCGCCGACTCAACTCAGTATTTATGCTAGATTTATCACCAATCAGCTGTGGTAAGGAAACAGCATTAAGCATGCCGTAAGGGCCGAACCGGGGCCGGACCCATAGCACTTGTCTAACTGGGCTGCATCCGCATTTCACGAAATGCACGAGAGTGCAAGTGTTACTAGGTTCCGGTAACTTTGCAAACTCTGGCCTTTAGCATTGTTCACGGAAGAGCCGTTCATCGCACTTTCATTTTTCGACGGTGATTTTGTACGGGAATATTCGTGTCGATAACGCTATTATTGATAACTATACATGCGGCTGATACATTGGAGCGTCTACCGTTTCCGGCAGTGGCGGGCGGCGCGAAGCCAGCGATCGTATTGATGGAAGGCGGATGACTGAGCGGGATTGTGACAATCCGCGCCGATTGTTCCAAACAATTCTTACTATGAATGCATGTTCTACGATCTAGCATAGACACCTCGGCAATTATTTAGGACAAACGCCAAACACTCCCTAACGTTCCTGTGGACGGTCCTCGACAGAGCTCATAGACCTAGACGCCGCCAACAACAGCCTACAGGATTCTTACGCTTTAATCATACTACATCTCATAGAAGAGAGGGTCATTTGAGAAAATCCATGGTACGTCAATGTACTATGCACGACGATACGAGCGGTGACGTCAGCCCAAGAGGTTTCATAGGCCGTTGCGCCAGGAATAAGTATCATACATGGCCAACCTAGTCGCCGTCTACTGGATCCACACTATAGAGCACATAACATATCAGCTCCAATAAAGCATCGGATGCCTTGACGACACTTACCTGAAACTAAGCGTCGTACTTATGCTGCACGCGTTTTGCCCCATATATCACGCAAAAATTACGCAACGATAAAGCGTTTTTCCTCAAGCGGCTCAATCCCAGCTCTGTTCAGTTTATGCACAACCAGAGCCAGGCAATCCACTAACTGGCAAGACATTTTCAGGCGTCCCTATATCGCCAAGACTACGCGCAAAAACGTCAAAATTCGAAGACAATCCGACAGCCTCAAGTGCGTGTCGCGGTGGCGCGGTTTCCATCCTTTTTCCTGCTGACCTCCGCGCGCTATCAACCTATTGAAGATACCTGCCTATCGCAAGTTCCCTCCTTTTCCCTTATCTTTCCATAGCTTCCCTTTTCTGTATAGCCCCAATTCTCCGCCGGTACGTCTTCCCTGAAATAAGCCAGCGCAAACCATTCCGTCCAGCCCAGCTGCCGACCCGCCAAGGACACTTAAGGGGACAAAAAGTGCCCCGCCTCACCTTGCTGTGGATGCCGCCACAAAGCCCTTCCCTTAGAGAACGTGCACACACCTCCCGTCGCACACCACCACCACACGCCGATTCCCGCCACACGCCGATTCCCGCCATACCCCTTTCCCGCCTTCCTCCACCTTTCCAGCCCTTTCCCACCCAAGTCGCAACTGGCCCCCACACGACCCCACACACCGCATACATCAGCGCACGCTTGCGACAAGCCCAACCGCCAACGCCAACATCCACCACTGCTGCTACTGGTACCCCATCTGCTGCTGCTTAAAACAGCCATGTAAGCACGCACGCGGCCGCCATCGCATTATCGCTGATCTTCCCACGGTTTCATGAGATTCCTAAGCAAGGAATCGCGCGCACACGCACACGTCACACATACACACACGTGCCATGCACGTCAGTTCCCGCCCCCGGCTCAGTTCAAAGCCTCGCCGTCGCCTCTTGGGTCATCCTAACGCAGAACCGGACCCACGGGTCGCTTCCGCTCCCCCTGCTGACCCACTTGGTAACTGCAGCCACAGCCGGCCCTCGTGGCCGTACTCCTGCGCCTCCCCGTGTAACGCCTCCACCAACACCTCCAGGGAGGGCACCAACCAGGGGCCGGGACGGTTGAACACCCGAAGACCATCCGCCACGATGACGCGCGCCCGCCGCACCGCCGCTGCGCCGCTGCTCCCATACGCCGCCGCCGCCGCCAGGAGGCGCTCTAGGGCTTCGATCGCCATGCGCCGTGATTCGGCTAGGCCAAAGCCGCACAGCGCAAAGACCAGCACATCCGGTCGGGCCTCTTAGCGATCAGCCGAGGTCGGGGATAAAGGGGGGGTTGGGGGCGGGTGGCGCGGCGTGGAGGAGTGTGTGTGTTGTTACGCAGGCGGCGGGCAGCCGTGCACGCGGCGACCCTTGGAGGATCAGCACCACCACAATATCACCAACACCAGCTTCAACAGCAACAGCAGTGGCGGCGGGCCCCTTCCTCCGCCAGCACCACGACCGCAACTGCCACCACGGCTTGCCGTTTTCCTTAATTCCTGTCCCCATTTCCAGCTACCGTTCCCATCACATCAGTGCCGTCACAATCACCATCACGCCCGGGTCTTCCCCTGGCCTCCTTATACCTGCCAGCTGCTGGGGTGTGAAGGTCGCCGCCGCCTCCACCCTGCCTAGCACGTCCCTCCCCCCAGCCAGCTCCACCAGCTGGGGCACCCAGCCACCCGCAGCGAACAGCGGGTCAGGCCACTGAACCACAACCACACGGGCCCGGGGCCGACCGCGGGCGGAGTCCGACGCTGTCTTAAGCCGCCGCTGCATCTCTGGGGAGATGGCATGGAATGTGCGGGTGTGCGGGAGGATTTAGGAAGGGGGGTCGGGCTAGGAGGAAGAGCAGCTGGGCAGTGCGCACCGTTGCAATGAGCAGCGCCAGATCGGGGCGGACAGGGGAAGCACAGGTTTACCGCGGCAACTAGGAAACGGGACACACGAGGGATATACACGCACACACACACAGAGTCCCCATACCCTACTAGGCTTACGGGACACACGAGGGATATACACGCACACACACACAGAGTCCCCATACCCTTCCAAACTCCCCTCCTTCAAAGACACACACCTAGAATCTTGGCCTCCCCTTCTCCTCCCAGCCCCAGCGTCTCCGAAACAGCACGCATGTCCACCCACACGCCCTCCATTTCCAGAGCCGCCAGATGCACGATAACAGGTTTGTAACCCAGGAGCTGCTCCAAGGAAGCCAGAAAGTGGTCGGGGGTGAGGTCTGTGCCCAAGCCCTGCCGAGAGGAGGGACGGAGGGCAGCGCAGCAGCCGCAGCATACCATGTTGGATCTTGACTTCATTGTGTGCGTGCGTGCTGGCTGGGGATGGGGACCAGCAGGGATTTAGCGGTTGTAAATCCCCTCAGGGGTGTACTTCTTGAATGTGAGCCTTCGGGAGATCGCGTGGGGTCGCGTTAAAAGCTCGCCCCCACGCGACAGCCATAAATGCTTACAGCAGGCGGTGGCTGCACTAGGAAGTGAAGGAAGTGATAAGCGGCGGCGGCGGTACTCGTGGAACGGACAAACATACGGACAAACAAATGGACAATTGCGCATTGGGGACCTCCCTGGCCTCGTACAGTCGTACAGTCGCTCCACGCCGAACCCACCTGCATTTGGGTCAGGATGACTTCAGGTCGCAACGCTATCAGCTGATCCACGTCCGTACGGTACGGCGATAAGCCCTGGTCCAGCAGCGCGGCGCCGCCGCCGTACCAACCAAGCGTCCGCATGGCGCCGCTACATGCCGTCTGCAGCCAAGCCCGCGACACAGGCACACAGAAACACATGTGACTCCGTGTTTCCTGAGAAGCATATACATACAAACGTACAGATTTCAATGAAATTGGCTTCAACAGCCTCCAAATGTGTAAAAAAACACAACAAATCCACCATCCATCAACCCCCCGACCACCCAACTACACACGCACCATGGCTGCATCCATATCCGCGGGCGACATCTCCCCCAGCTTGTCTGAGGTGGCGATTGGCAGCCCCTGGAGCTCTGCCCAATCACACTGCACAACCGGAAGTAGACGTAAGCACATGCAGGAATGCAACAAAATTGGAATAGGACGGAAAGCATGAGGACGAGAAAGCGGGAGGAGGCAGGCAATCCTGTCCAGGAACGAGCAAAAATCGGGCAGTCCCATTCCTTGACTAGACGTTGGCACAGCGTTGAACAGCGGTATGGCAGTGTACGGCGGGCGGTGTACGGATGCCGTGCAGCGCAGTAAAAAAGGGTTGTGAGCGATGGCATTTGTGCGGGATCCCGGTTCCGCACAATCCTAACCTTGCTCCAACCCAACAAACTCACATGGCAACCCCCAACGCGTTCATACACACGTACGCCCCCGTCCGCGCGGCTGGCCCCAATCCTTCAAAGGTTGGAACTTCTAACGTGGCCACACGAAAGTGGGACGGGCTGGGACTGAATTGATCTTGCTTGGCTCCCCCTCAACGCCTCACCCAAGTCTCACTTCATGCGTCCTGCCGACCAGCAATTTGGCTGCGCCCAGCGCGTGCACGTAGTCGGTGGCGCCGGGAAGGAGCGACAGCACGCGCAGGCCAGGTACCTGAGATGGTAATGCCTGCCCTGGCTTCTTCCGTCCTGGACGCTGGGTCTTCATGTTCGGAGTCAAATGGCCCAGGATATGTATCCGGAGATGTGGCCTATTAATTGACTGATCCCCTGGTGTTGCCGGAGGCCATCAGAGGACGCCTGGCAGCCCCGTCGGAAAACCGGGCAGCCGCCAGTCACGAATTGTAGGTAAGGCATGCGTAGAATCGCCACTGAGAAATGCAGCTACATAATTAGCAAGGTATCTGATTTCATTGAGGTTGGATAGACGCATAAGGAAACTAAGTTAACTGTCATGTACGATGATGAAGACAGGATCAGAAACGAAAGATAAGCGTATGGTTTCGGCCGACATTTTGCAGCAACCTTGCGAAGTATAGAAACGTATTAATCTATGGTAGCACGCGAACCTCAAGTTTGTAAAAGCGAGTTTTTAAGGATTTTGATTGTGACAGCTAGGCTAGCTGCCTATGGAACCATAGCTGCATGGCTGTGCCTTATTCGTCGCATACATAAAAGAACTACATTCTTAAGCCGTTCTGCCGTTGTGGGGTTGAGAACCTCGACTGTCCGGGGCCGAAGGAATGGGTCAGCTGTCGTAACTATGAGAAGCGTTCCATCTATGCCGGCTGTAGGAGCGGGAACCTATATTCATGTTAAGCACAGGTGGTCAATAGACGAGCTTGCGATGAATCATCGTTTCCTGAGCAACCCTAGGAGCATTGAGTCGATATTGAAGGCTGAATGGATCGGACGCAATAGTGATTGCCAGAGCGTTTACAAAGCGACTAACGGCTCAGCTCAGCCACAACTCACTACTCTAGAAGCATACCAGACCAAAGATAAACGCTCGCTCATTCCAATTTATTGACGAGTTCGACAGTCGATCAGCAAATACGGAAGATGGCTCCACTCTATCCAGAAACCAACTATCACGCAAGCACCAGGCGACAGACTGACCGGACAACATTTTCCTCAACAGTCGATACTGGATGGAAGCTTGGTCGGCTATGGTTCGGTATCGGGACGTCAGGTCGCGCTGGAAAAACCCTGACCTTAGCTCGCATGATAATAAACCCAAAGTATGCAGCCATATTCACCGATTACTTGCTAGACAACAGGCAGGTGTGTGCATGCCGACGCGTCTGTTGTACTCCTGATCGCGCACGTTGCTGCATGCAAGCCGGCAGGAATGCTGGTATGGTCCCTTTCACACACCTTTAGTAACCGTACTTTTGCAAAGGCTGCCGTGCACTTAAGAGGGGTTTTGATGTCCACGCCTGGAACTGCGCTCTACACACACAGAGAGAGGCAATTCGCTGTCCTTCGGCACCAGGATTGAAAACTCCTTTCATGTGTTGTATCCTGTAAAGGTTTTCCGCAACGGTTTGGGCGCCGAAACCTAACTGCCGGTGGTTAGCTCGTCCACTCCGATTTACCAAACTCCAATATTACTAACTAACACCCGTCAATTCCGCGGTTGGTGCTTACAGGTATTAACTAATACTGATATTAGTTTAATTGCAGCTACTGTTAGCTGCGGCGGCTAAGCGACTACTGTTAGTCGTCCGCCATCTAAATGCCGCACTGTTGCGGAAGTCCATGGGCGCCGGCGGATCAAACGACTACTGTTAGTCGTCCGCCATTCAAGTGCCGCACTGTTGCGGAAGTGCATGGGCGACGGCGGCTAAGCGACTACTGTTAGTCGTCCGCCACCTTAATGCCGCACCACTGCGGAAGTCCATACCTGCGTATGGGCGGGGGTTTTACTTACGTAAAGCTGGGACCTGCGTCCCAGTTTCGTCTGACCGAGCGAGAGTAGTTCCTGCGAACTACGGCTTCTGGATTCGGCGCCGCCCAGTCGTACTGGGAATCCTTATCGGCGCGAGGCCCAAGTGGAGTCACTGATGACTACTTATTCAAGACACTTGTCTCAATCGGTATCTTTCGATGCCCCCATTATGTGGTTGTGTCGTCTGAAGTCTACAACATCATGGATCTCCTTCGGATTGGAGCGGTCTTGTTGAAGACGCCTGTAATTGTAAATCACAGGGAAATCTGCACAAATTGGAATGCACGTATGGCTACACAGACTCAGCCCGGCTTTCCTTCGGGGCACCCGCAGGGCCCGGGAAGATCCTTCAGAGCTTAGGGAGCCGTGATAGGGAAACTCCAAACGTCTCTCACTTTCTCACAGGGGTCTGTCGTTCCCTATCAGTAATCAGCAAAGTTCTGTGCAAACGATCAACAAAGACACCGCCGCATTTCATTTCATCGTTTTGGCTTGGGTCGCCGCCACTCCTCCAGCTCGTCGTGCGCCGTACTGCCGTACAGTGTACACAATCATATGCTGCCATGCTACAGGAACTTGCTGCGGTTATACGGGAGAATGGCCGACATCCGTCTGTATGTACGCCAAACATCGTAATCTCAAATTCGCACCTGGTTTTGGGAGACCGCAGGCAGAGGGCATGAGGCGCGTAGAGGGAAATCTTTGGGTTGGACCGCAACGAGCTTGGACTGCGTTCATAACCTGCACTACGTGAGAAGGAAATGGCGAGCTCTGGGTGGCACTGGGTGGGCTAGGGCCCTATATGGGCCGAGGTGCAGTGGACGGATATGTTGTAGTAAACAGACGGTGTTGGCGGCGTGGGTGTTAAGAGAAAGGGTCTCACACTGGGTGTGGTCGGATGGCCGGGTGCGGCGCGACCCATGCGCTTTCCTCTCACCCATTTCAAAAACGTTGAGCAGCTGAGCAACCACCTCATCCCAACTCCTTACTCCCAGCTCCCATCACACGCAGTGGCCCCTGGAGCACCCCGCTGACGGTGACGGTGAGGGAGGCAAGCTGCACCACTGTCAGTGCACTAAGCGCAACCGCCGAATGGCGGATGAGGCCCACCGCCGCCGCGGCCATTTCCGACAGCCGCACCAACGGGAGCACCAAAAGCGACTGGCGCAGCTGTCACGGAGGCCGAAAGGGCCAAATATGTGCGGTCCAGGCGCTTTATGAGGCAAGCGTACGACGGTACGGCGAGAAACGTACAAACTGTATGGAGTATCACATCTCAATTGTCATGTACTGTACTGTACAGTAGTGATCTCCGTACGGGATACGTATTGAGAACTGGTGTGTTTGGACGTGTAGGACGGATGAATGGAGGGATGGGGGAAGGAAAGGAGGGTAAGGTAGAGTATTGAAGAGTTTTGGAGACGAGGCTTTGGATATATTCGAATGAAGGCGGCAATAGTGGTTGTTTGCAAGGCGCTAAGGCGGTGGCGTCCCCGCCAACCACTCTATAACCGTCCTCCGAAACCACAACGCCTCGCAACACCCTAACAGCAGAAAACTTTATTCTGTCGGCTTGAGGTGCGTTAGAAAACCCATAGCTTTGCTGCTGGATATTAAATTCTATAGTGGAGGTGACTGATGTATGGCAAGTGTTAGTAATTTTCTGGGGTTCATGATGGAATTGACTAAACAGGACAAACTTGGGCCGCTATAATGACCTTGTGCAACTTCATAACCAGTCTTACTACACATTAGGCGGACGGGTGCCCGCACCGCACGAGCTGCATGGCGGCTGCCCTGGTGGGCTGGACAAGCAACACATATCGTGGCCAAATAATTTACCCATACCTACGCCAAAAAAAGAACGCACGTTGGCTGACGCGACCAACAGCTGCCTGCAAAGGCTTCCGGGTGTCTTGGCTTGGCTCCGAAATGCTCGCCCATCCGGTCCGCGGTCTCTCTCCCATCCACTCCTCGGCCTCGCCTTCATCGCTCCTGACACCGGGTGGTTGGCGCTCCCTTTCAACCTTCGCCTCGTTCCTCCCGGCCCCGGAGGGCCGGCCAGGCAGCCGCTTCCCAGGCCCAGCCGCCTCCGGAACGGACGCCCCTGGCAACCGTGTGCGAGTGATCCGGGTACGAATCGCACGTTCGGCGGCTAGGTTTCGGTTTCTAATCCCAGGTGCAGCCCAGGCGGAGACACAGGGGGATACAGCCCCTGGCGTGGAGCCGCAGGACGCGCCAGTCACCCCTCCTTCACCAAACAAGAAACGCCAGTCAGAGGATAAGAAGCAGAAGCAGCGGCAGCAGCCGAAGCAACAAACGCGAAATAAGCAGCAGCAGAAGCAAGGGCTGGCTTCAGCGTCAACCTCCAAGAGTCTCACCGCTGCACCAGCTTCTGTGTACGTGTATTGGGATCTGGATAACAAGTACCCGGAGACTTTGGATCACCGGGGCCTAGTGGACAGATTGAGGTGCGGGAGGAGGCGGGCGGCAACTGGGCGGGGGTTACGGAAGAGAGGGCGAGGGAGGGGTTGCCACTTGCTGCGACTGAAGGCGAGGGAGCAGGCGGGGATGACGCCTCCTCCTTGGTCCCGGTGCAGGATATCACGCACCGATTGCCGGACGTGTTCCTGATCCGTTGTGGTGCTGGCGTTCGATGGTCGTAAATGTGCAGATGGTGCTGGGTTGGGGGCTTTGCTCGCGTTGTTATGGAGGTGCGGAGAGTCGCGGGCAGCCACATGGGCTGTGTGGACCACCACATTCATGCATGCACACACGCACACGCATTTGTGCAGGCGAATGCTAAAACCGTTCGGCAAGGTGGCGGCTATCTGGGCATATGCCAACTACCAGACGTTGAACTTCGTGCCGGATATTTGGGAGGAGGCCATGATCGAGGGCATGGAGGTGAAGCGGTGAAGATGTATCGCCCGCAGAGGAAAGGGAAAAGCAGGGGGGGAGGAGAGGGGGGAGGGGACCAGCGGGCCACATGAAGGGCGGAGTGTCTTGCCCTAGAAGGACCCCCCACCCCGGGATGGGGATATCCCGAAGTTGCTGTGGATGATCAACTGCCTTTCGAACTGGGCCGCGGGTGCTTTTATTATGATTTCTCCAGGGACCCCGCCACCGCTACCAGCCGGCGCTCTCCGGGCGCTGCCACCTTCTCCCCACATCCACTCCACTATGGGTGGCTCTAGACGCGTTCCCCCACCGGTATCTCCCTTCCCCCTTTGCCTCCCTTGCCCTGCCATGCCGTGCCGTGCCGTGCCGTGCCCTCTTTCGCATGTTGGGTTCGTCGATTCTTGCCCTCCCCTCCATCGCCTTCATTCCCCCCGTTCCCCCGTATTTCGCTCGCCTCATATTTCCACTGCGGTTACTTCTCCTATACCCGAGTAACAGCACCCGCTGCTGGAGTCGGTCCCCAGCGAGATTCGCTGTCCCGTGTGTAACGGCAAATTCCGAGACGAGGAAAAACTCCGGAATCACTTCAAGCAGCTGCACCAGCGTGAACACAACAAGCGACTGGCCCACAAGCCCGCAGCAAAGAAGTACCTCAAGTCGGAGAAATCTGCAAGGCGAGTGGTAGCGTGCAAACAGGTGGCTCGTGTGTACGAGCGTTACGACGGCTGGGGTACTCGGGCTTACGGCGGACGAAGGGTGGGATGGTGGGTGTGAGCGGGTATGTAGGCCGCGCCACAGATGGTTTGTTTCCGCGCTGTGTTGCGTGTTTATTGTGCATGCTGTGTTTTGGGTGATGCCGTCTCAATTGCCCCCAACATACTTATCTGCTGCGTAGAGTGTTGGCAGTCTGAGTCGGGGTCGGGAGCACACAAGACTAACCGACTTGTGCTGTGTGCTCCCGACCCTCGCGCTGTGTTTCGGCTTCGGCCCCCGGCCCTCGCGGCCCACAGTGTAATCTAAGTCATGCTTATCTACCTCTACGCATTACGTGTACTGAAATCAGCCCCACGCACGCCGTTCTGTGGGTGCGGGTGTTGCTGCTTTTTGTCGTTGTTGCTAATGTTGCTGTTGCTAATGTTGCTGTTGCTGCGTACTTGTATGTGCATGTGTGTGCTGTTGTGGCTTCTTTTGTTGTTTGCCTAAGCCCCCAGGTACGAGTCGGCTGCTGTTGACGTGCTCCGCAAGAAGCGTGGGTACGACTTGCAGGGCATCCTAAAGAGTGTTGGAGTGCAGGTCAGGCCCGTGCCCATGGGCAAGCAGAAGGCGGATGTGGTGTTGCAGAAAGACGCTACCGACATGCTGCTGAAGCTGCAGCAGAAACAGCAGCAGAAGGTTGAGGCGGTGATGGAGAAAGAGGTGGAGAAGAAAACGGAGGAGGAGAAGCAGGGGGATCACACCGTCCCAACGGTGCGTATGTATGTATGTATGTATGTATGTATGTATGTATGACTTAGGTTACACTGTGGGCCGCGAGAGCCGGGGGATGTATGTATGTATGTATGTGATGAACATGCGTAAGGGAGGAAGTGCACGCACGTCTTATACCTCATGCACGGATGCAAAGCAGTATGAACACAGAGCATGTTTCGTTGGTGGTGTCAAGGACGCCCCTCGAGGGGCAGGTGAGGTTGCATGAATTTCACCCACTCTTGCAAGTGCGCACACACGCACACGCACACACACTACACATTCACACCAACGGCGTCATGGCGACGTATCGGGTGTTTCCATGGTGCACTGCCCCTGTTGGTGTTGATGCCGTGGTCTGGCGGGTGGTGGTGGTGGTGGTGCTAAAGGGCTCCGTCTCCTCAGGGGCTGTTTACAAACAGGTTATGGATACGACAGAACCAAAGAGCCCTTTGGGGGCCTCTCCCTTTTTAGGCCTATTAGGCCTTCCTTTAGCTTTGCTTTTGGCTCAGGGACATGTCCTGTACCTTCGATTTCAGGAGCGCATGTCCACGTCACCGCAGTGTTTCATGCTTTTCAGGGTGCGTTGCTGTGTCTTGTGTACTGTTTTGCTGTTCTGATTGTCGCTGTCCTAGTGCCGCGCGAAACAAAAGAAGGCGACAAAGGAAAAGCCGCACAGCATTGATGTGCATCACCCCCCCTCCTCGCTGGCTCACCCCCTGCCCATCGCTGCCTGCCTCCTAGGCAACGGCCACCGCGTCTTCCACCTCCACCTCCACCTCCTCCGACGGGACTGCCAACGCCTCCAACACGCCCGCCTCCGAAACCACGTCCAGATCCCTCCCGGCCTCCAAGCCCCCCTCCACCTCCCCCGTGCTAGTCCTGGTGTCTGATGATCACGATTTCGAGGCCCTGCTCAAGATGTTCGTGGCAGCTGGATGGAAAACCGTCACCGTGTCGAACTCCGAGTTCCAAAACGCGCAAGCCAGGCTGGATTGGGGCCGTTTGTGCAGCCGGGTTAGGTAAGGGCGTAGTACCCTTAAATTGCAGGACCATTATAGGGCTTCTTTTCCAACTGACGTGATGATTCCTTTTAGCATGAACAACTTTTCTAACCTCGTGATCAAGTCCGGTAGTTGCATCCTTGGCCTGTGCTGCCTGGAGGCCGAGGGTTCATTACTTGGAGTTGCGTTCCTGGCCCCCTCACAGCTCGTCACATCCCGCCGTTTGGTGCGCAGTGTTTCATCCGCTAGCTGGGATGACTTAGCGTATCTGTAGCAGTCAACGAGCTTGCAGTTTGTAAGCAGGGTTACCTGGCTGGCTAAGTGTAGGGATGTAGGGGCCTGAATGTGAGAACTCAAATTTTGTTTATTGTGTCACTGTTTCACTACGGCTCGTGCCTGCCAGGTCGTGCATTCCCAGACCTGCTTACCTTCGTTTTGTAGTTCAGCCGACAGCCCAGGCACACCACCAAGCACCCGCAAACCAACGCCGGCTGCGCACCGAATGGGAGACTGGATGGGCGGGTCGCATGCTTAACAACACAAGATAATCAGGTCTGCTAGCTCACGCAAAACGACGTACGGCCCTGATAAACAGAACTTCCCACACGAAGGCCTTATGCCAAAGACTGACTCCGCATTTGCAAATCAAACCCGCATGAGTTGACCGCAACAGATCCGTTGCTGAAGGGCGAGATACACCCCCCTCTTAACGGTTGACTGTTGGGAGAGATACACCCCAACGACGCGGCGTGCCGAGGAGCCGCCAGCGGGGCGGAATAGACAGCTGCCACCGGATGTGATCGCACCTCGAGCAACGGTTATATGCTCCCTCAGCGTCGACGAACTGGGGCAGTCCAGCTCCCGAAGGCCAACCGTCCGCCGGTAAGACCCTGATGATGAACACACATACATATATACATACATACATACATGGTAATGCTGGCCTACCAAGCCGCTCAAATCCTCCGCCACAATAGATGGTCTTCATTCGTTCGCTTCTTACCTACTCACCTAGCTCTCCTTTTCTATAGCTACCAACCAACCGCGGGGTGGCGACGCGCGACACTGTCAAATCAGACCCTCTCCTTTCGCAACACCTATCAGCTCAGCCTGGTTAGTTAGTTAATCATCTAGTTCCCAACTGAACCCAGGTAATGCCAATGACCTCGAGGAAAAATGTGCAGACGTTGCAGCCCCTGCACGATGACGAGTTTGGGCCTCATCCTCGTCCGGTCGGTCAACACAGCCTTGTGTGGGAGCTTGGCAGTAGGAGCAGGCCGCCGCCGCCGGCACGACCACCACCACTGCCACCCGAAGAACCTCCAAACCAATCATCCAGGCAGCCGCCATTGTAGCCTGTTGCCGCCGGCACGGCTGCCGTAAATACCTTACTGCCGCTGCGTGCAGTAAGTGGAGGCGGTAGTGGCGGCAGCTGGTGACATTGGCTGTGACAGGCGCTCAGTACATTGGAGAGCGCTCAACACTAGACGTCCTCGTTACATGCCGCTCCCACTCGGCGGCCCAAGGTGCACTCTCTCTCTCTCTCTCTCTCTCTCTCTCTCTCTCTCTCTCTCTCTCACACACACACACATACACATATGATGCAATCTTACGTGCAGACCCTGAAAGAGAGTCTCTTGTATGTTTGGGTTAAGAGCTTGGGCAATGCACGCACACATGCATTCGCATACCTGTCTGCTGACCTCCCCCATTAAGGACCATTCATTCCCACATACTTCGGCGCGCGCACGAGCTACTTTTGTGAGGTTAGCCAGCTAGACAGCTTAACGGTTTCATGTTCCTGGGTAATAATGACGCAGCAGCACAGACAGGCCCCAAAACAACAACAACCAGTCCAACAGAAGACTGAACGGAACGGCCCTTCTCCGAGACACGTATGCAGCCAGTACAGCAGACCATCCGCCAGTGTATTGAATAGGAAAACGGAGTACGTCGGAAGACAGGGTGGCTCTTTGAGGGCAAGAGCATGGCATACGAAGCTGGGAAGAGTCCCTAGCCATCTCAGATCCCCCAGGCAAGGGAGACCTCGACGGGGACCTCCTTCGGGAGGTTCGCCGTGGGGCCCCCTTGGAGCGGAGGGGAGAGGAACGGACAGACCAGGAAGTACAATGTGCATGTACTTATACAGCATACCCGTGGAGAGGTCCGGCCGGTTGGGAAGCACATACGCAGCCGCCTCCCCACACCTGCACCCACCGCAACCCACCGGCACATATTCTCTACCCCCACCACCCCACACACAAAAAAAAGTGCGTGCGTGTGCGCGCGCGCGTTTAATATTAACCCAACATCGCGAATGATACCAATGTACCAAAAGCGTTTCCCGCCCGGACACCGATATCGCACCCCACCGTTGCACCTGCACCCGCCGCAGTCCCCACGACGCCGCTGCCGGATGCGTCCAGACTCAGATCTCAGCTGTGCCAGTACCAATTCGGTGCGCCAGCTTCGCTCCACTCCGCTCCGCTCCGTCCTAACTTTAAAATCCATCGTCGTCAAGTCCAAGAAGGAAAAATCGTGCTCAGTCGCAGGTGTCCTCACCACTACATTTCGTCTCGGTTCCCGACACGTCTAGGTCTCCACATTCCCGTCTTCTGCTTACACAAATGCACACGTTAACACACGCACACACACACACACGCGCGCGCGGGTGCATGTTCTAATCAGCATGCCGGCCTGAATTAACCCACATGCACGCGCGCGAGAACTCACTCGCACACATGCCCACGGCTGCAGGAGCTCACTTCGATAAAGTTATTCGTGCACCACCAACGGCATTTCCTTCATCGCGGCTTGGATCATTAAAACACGCGCAGACACGCGAATACACGCACAGACGCACATATGCAGTCTGTGCCTCGCCCGCGATCCCCTCTCCCTCTTTCATCCCTTCTTTCCTCCTCCCTTCGCTCCCCAGCTTTGTGCAGCAGCCATCTAGCCACCCGGTCACCCTGCCCGCTACTTCCCAGCCACCTTGCAATACTCGATCCACGGACGGTAGGGCTTGTTGCTTGCTACGTGGCACGGCAACAGCTGCCGATGGATCCTAAAAAGTGCCAGACCAGGCTCCGCCCCTCATTGCTCCGCCAGCTGCCAAGCCCTGGACTGCCCACCACACAGCCTTTTCGACCTTCGTGGCACCTCACAACATGGCCTTCCACAACAAAGCGAGCTGCGCCTCAGTGTACATTGTGCTGCAGATCAGTCAGCAATAGTGACACCATAGGCACACGCCTCTCACGCTCGTCGGCAGCCCTCTCGGCAGCCAGCGGGGTGGTGCAACCACGATAATAAGAGTGTATGTGTGGCGGCCACCCCAACGCAACAAAGAAGAAGGCGGAAGAACATCACGAGAAGCGCCTCTCGCAACTACCCAGCAGCGCTACCACCGGCCGCGGGGTGCGTCACAGACTGCTGTTGGCGAGTGCCGCCGTCGCCGTCGCCGGCGGCGGCGGCGGCGGGGGCAGCTCCGCCAGGCGGTAGAACATCACGTACGCGCTGCTGCTGCTGCCGCTGGGCCGGCTCGGTTCACGACGCACGCAGCTGTCGTTGAAGTTGTACCACTGGCCGTCCAAGCAGCTGCGCGCCTGCACCGCAGGAGGGAACGAGACCAGGTAGGAAGATATATAGATCAGACCAGGCCACAGGTCACAGGTCGCAGGCCAGGTCGCGGATGAACCCCTGGACTATTTACCCGTGGTGTGGTGTGTGTGTATTTGTATGTATTCTTAGAAGCTGAGCCACGATACGAGAAAAGGCCGAAGAGCGAGCGAGCGAGCGTGTGTGTGTGAACAGAGTACTCCAAAAAAGCGTCATAACATCTACCAACAGAGCAAATTAGCAGTAGGTGCAGGAGCTTCCTATTCTCCTCGCTCTTCCCACCCCACTACCACTGCCATTATCACTACCCCTACCCCTACCACTACCCCTACCACAAACCCCCTTTGTCAGCTGTTACCTGTGCCGTGTAATGTCCGCCCTCCAGGCTGCCGCTGTGGTGGGATACCGCCACCAGCTGGTACAAGGGAGCCACCGGCCCACGGCCCCGCACACACAGCCCCCGCAGACCCAGCGGGTTGCAGTACGGCGTCAAGTCCAGAGGCTCGGGTTCCAACCGAACCGGAGTGTTGTTCTTGGCGGGCGAGCGGAATCGACTGAAAAAGCCCGGCGCGGCGGGGCGCTGTGCAAAGCGCTTGAGCGTCAACACCAACACCCGCGGCGGCCGAAAGATCTGCATCCTCTTGCTGTGTGGCTGCCGCTGCTTGCACGCCTCGCACTTGTAGCTGTCATCCCCCTGCAGCTCCTCGCACTCAACAAAGGCGCGCAGGCAGTCGGCGACCGATACGCCCGCGCCGCCGCGACCAGCATCCATGTCGCCGCCTGAACCCGAGGACGCCGCCGCCGCCGGCGGAATGGGCACCGCAAGCCCCAGAAACGGCTCAAAAGTATGCGAGAGACGTTGACAAGCATGACACTGTATTGTGGACTGCGTGAGGCCGCCAAAAATGTCGTCCACGACGGAGTCGTTCCAGCTGCGCGCGTACTCGTACGCCTCCGCCGCCTGGGCCGCCTCGCTGCCCTTGCCCTGCAGCTCCCGGTAGGTGGGCTTGGCGGTGATGCGGTTGCACTCGGCTTGCAGGGCTTCTAGAAGGCTGTTCAGGAACTCCTGGCTGTCCTGCTGCCGGCCGTCACCCCAGCGGGTGTCGTGCTTGGAGATCTTGCGCAGGAAGGCCGACGGGTTGACGCAGCCGCCGTACGACCCAGTGATCATGTCCCGGACCAGGCCGCTGTAGGCGGGAGCCACTACCGCTTTGGAGCTCCTGAGACGTGAGGGAAGAGGGAAGAGGGGGACGGAGAGGGGGAGGGGGAGGAGGAGGGGAAAGACGAACCACAAACGAGTGAGAGGGGGAGGGGGAGGAGGAAGAGGGAGTGAATTGCTAGGAGGGAACATCGCCCGCCGATTAAAAAAACATGAAGAAGGGAATGAGGAGGGACGTGGAAGCAGAGGAGCGGAGTGAGTACCAGGCGGCCCACATCCGCGTCCACTTGACAGCCTCCAAAATGGCACCCTGGCACCTGCCAGCCCGGCCGCAACACGCACCCCGCCCAACTCTCTCCCTGGGCCCCCCCTTTCCCCAACCCTGCTCTTACCAGTGTCGTTCCGGTGGATTGAGGAACTGCTGTACCAGCTCCGGAACCGCATTGAGGCTCTGCAAGATGGAGTTCATGAAGCACGTGTTGCCCAGGTTCTGCAGCCCCACGCAGCCGCGACCCGGCGATGCGTCGCGAGGCGCCAGCACCAGCGGCAGGTCCGGTAGCGGCCCGCACACCGCCTCCTCACGACCAGGAGTTGACAGTCCCGGTCCTACCGCCCCCACCGGCCCTTGCGGCGCCAGCCGCGACAGCGCACCACCACCCCCCAAGACCTCCGAGTGGTCGGAGACGTCCGCTGCACCGCCGCTGCCGCCAGTGGCGGCGGCTGTGGTCCGTTGCCCTGGACGCGGTGGCGGCTGCGCCGCCGCCGAGGACACGTGCGTGTGCGCTGCCAGCGCATCGGCGACGCTCCGCTGGGATATGGTGCTAGCTGTACGGCTGGTGCTGGCGCTGGAGATGCCGGCGGTGCCGGCCACGGCGACACTGGATTTGGTGCTACTGCCGCCGCCGCTGCTGCTGCCACCGCCGGCACCGCCGGCGCTGGCCATGCTACCGCTGCCACTGCTTGCGTTACTGCTGGCAATGCTGGTGTAGCTGCTTCCACCCGCGTCCAGTGCAGCTCCCGAGGGTAGTCCCACGGTCCCCCCGGGGGAGTAGGGGTGAGCATGTGGGTGAGCATGAGGATGCGGCTGCCGTTGGAGCTGGGACTGGGTATGCTGTTGCATGTATTGCTGCTGCTGCTGAGGATGATGATAGTACTGTTGCTGCTGTTGGGACTGTTGCGTTGGGGCCGCGTGCTGTTGGGTGCGACATTGCGATTGTGTGGAGGCATGGTAATCGACAGCCGATGCGGCGATGGTGGCAACCGGTTTGGGCGTCGCGACGGCGGCGGCTGATGGTGCTGCTGCCGACGAGGATCCAGCGGCGCCGGTCGTACCCGTCGTGTACTGGCCCCCTGCTGGCGCTGGCCCTAGGGATCCTGCGCCGTTCCCCGACCGCCCAGCGACGCCGGCAGGGCCGCTGCTGTTGCCACCGCCACCGCCGGGGCCGCCGGGGCCTATGACTGGCCGGGGGGGCAGCGTGGAGCTGCCGGACCGCTGCACCGGCGGCGGAGAGCCGGCGGCGGAGGGAGACAGTGCGACAGGCGGCAACGGCGCGCCCGAGGGGACCGATAGCGACGCCGGCCGCGGCGGCTGGACGTAGTGCGCGCCACCGGCCCCACCGCCGCCGGTGCCGGGCCCGTACAAACCCCCTCCTGGGGGCGGGTGCTGCGAGAAATTCGGAATGTACACAGTGCTTGCTGGAATGCCGTACTGGTGAGCATACTGCGATGCATAGACAGCGCCGGTAGCCAAGCGCGATGGCTGGTCGATGCCTGAGTGGTAAGACGACGACGAACAACATGCCGCAAGCGGCGGCGGAGCCGTCGTTACCGCTGAGAACCCCAACGATGATGAGCCCAAGCCGCTGCCAAGCACCGGGCTGGGCGGCCCGCCTGGCCCGGCGCTATAGATGCCGCCATTTTGAGATGAAAAGCTGCTCGTTCGCGATAAGACGCGTTCGGCAGCAGACCGTTCCGCCGAGGCTCGACGGCCCGCGGCCCCGATGCCGCCAGGGGACCCCGCGGAGGCACCGGCAGCCGGCCCGGAGAGGTACATTGCCCGCAGCTGGTCTGCAGAGTGGGTGAGGGTGGAGTAGCTCGGCGAGCCAGGCGCCGTTGCACCAGAGGCGGCTGTTGCTGCGGCGACAACGGCACCAGCGGCGGCTGTGGTCGGGGCTGCGTCCCCGGGCACTGAGGCGGAGCCCGCTTGGCGCTTAATCCTGTGAGGAGCGCCATACAACAGTGAGGACTGCTTGTAAAGGACGGGGGGCCCAAGGAGCAGGGGCCCTAGGGTCGCAACCACACGAGGACATTAAAAAGGTCCACAAACCCGGGACAGCCGCAGGCGCCATCCCACCAGCTTGGTGCCACGTGCTGATCGATGTTCAATACGTTCAGAACAGAATGTTCAAGAACAAACCCACATGGCCGGAAAGTGGAAACCCAGTTCAGCGGCACTACGTAGGCCCTGATGGGGAACCAGGAGCAAATAGGCAGTGGCTGCGGCTTCACCGATCCCCGATACACCCCCAGACATGTATTATTACATACTACTACGTGCTAGATCCATGCACGCGTGAAGTCAGTTTCACTGTTGCCCCCGTCACCGTGTGAGGCCCCTCACCCCACCTCACGGCGGAGCTGCTGTTCATCCCCGCCAGGATCCCGTAATCCATGACGCTGCTGCCGTTCATGCGCTGAGCCAGAGACGCCGCACGGGCGGCGCCGCCGGGCAGCACTGAGGGGGTCGCGAGCGAATCCAGGATACTGCTAGGGCCGGGTTGAGGGGCCCGCGGCGCCGTGCTACGAGGGGAGGTATGGGTAGCGGACGCGGTGGACACGGCCGCTGCTGCTGCAGCGCCTGCGGGGCCATGGCTAAGGCCGCTGCCGCCGCGACCGTTGCCACCGGATGCGCTGGCGGCAATCTGGGTTGCGCCGCCAGTGCGCGAAGGCGGCCGTGGGACAGACGTGGAGCGTCCTGCGTCCCCGAGGCTTGAGTACGAGCCGGCCGAACCGACGGCAGCCCTGATGGAAGCAGGCCCCCCGGCAGTGGCGTCAGTTTAGTGAACGCTAATGTGGTCACTTGATTACTTCTTTCCCCTATGATTCCGAAGTATTTCCCAGAGAGGCAGCAACCTGGCAACTTCGAAGAGACTCTCTACATGCAGCGCACGCACTTCAGAATGCTGAATTCTGCATGCATCACGGCATTGCATTTCCCACAACTCTGTATGTCACTATGCTTGGTGACTTGTAGCTGCTTTTCCCCGTTAAACAACCCGGCCTGTATCCCATGCTGTCATTTCTACATAAACTGTTTCGACTACTATATAAAGCACTATGCACAATATATACAAGTTAGTTAGACAGCACTGTCAATGCACTCACCTTCGTGGAAACTCAGGTAACACAACTTTTCCCTGAGGAGGCTTTCGACCCGCCGAAGGTTGGCGCTGCAATATGCACACCAGACCAATGCGTTGAACTAATCTCATTTAGCCTGCCAGTCACTTTTCACTCTCAAAACGTCAACGGAGAAACATCAGACATACCGTGACGCCCGTGTAACTGCCAGAACTTGTCTTCTTATATTCGTCCAAGCCAGTACGCTGTGGCGGTTGAAGGTTCACAGGTGCCCTCGCCAAGTCGGAGCGCATAGTTTCGACTGTCCAGTCGTCACATAGAGCTAGGTGTTCTGGATATACTCACATATATGTATCCTCACGTTCATATTATTGGAACTGAAATTAACTGTGGTCAAAATTAAGGCAGATAAGTCGCGACTACTGGGAGCAGATGCCCAACAATAATAAGCTGCTGGGCTAAGTAACCGACGTTTTGTCAAAAACGCTGGGGTTCTTTGACACAAGATGGCTATAGTGATTAGGAAGAACCCCCCTACGAGTCTATCTGAAATCCCTTAGTACGGAGAGTGACGAGCAGGGGTAGAATAGTCGCCAGAACTTTTGAAGGCCTATTATCCTCACACAAGTGTTAGGTAGGGATGGCAAACCTATCTGCCCTCGGCAGTGCGCGACAACTACCCTCGGCGCGATGGCCAGCCGTCACCCGGAGACTACCCAGCAATCCCCATTTCCTTCGAGGTAATTGCGCAGACCTTTGTTACAGTACACCACCTAAAACTCAACAAGGGGAGACCCATTTCCTCTTTCATCACCATACGGGGATAGACAACGACCACCGCTGTGCATGGAGCCTGTGGCTGGGAAGCAGCGCCCGGCGCGGGCAGCAGCCGTGCTCATCCCATCGGCCTGCCATCGCAGGTGCCGAGGCGCAATGTACAGCCGTCGCTACAAAGCGCGGAGAGGTACTGCTCATCGCGGACACGCTGGGGAAGAGTCATGATGGCGAGAAGCAACTCTTCCAGGGCCTCACCTTCTCTGTTGTGTAAGTCCATGGCGCCAAAGAATCATCAGGAGGGTTATCAGCAGGGGACAAGGAAAAAGCCAACGGGGGGACCCGCTCTGGCAGTCAGCCCCCGCTAGCACACCCAGAGAGCCCTAGGCCGACATGGCCTTGCAAGCGCTTACTTAACCACCATCTGCCTTAAGTAGGGCATGGTTTTGATGTCCAGGGAGGCCATCATTGACCAACCACACATCTAACCCCCCATTCCCCCGACGCCCCATACGCGCACACTCCACGGCGCCCTGTCCTCATATCATGCACTGCGAGCCCTGCAGCTCACCAAGACCCATACCCCCCCTTTCCCCCTCCATCCCACATCCATTGCATTGCCTTGCAGTGCAGCCCATAACCCCGTGACGGCGGTAAAGCCGGGACGTCCCAGTTTCCCACCCCGACCCCGACGCCATTCCACAGTCCGTATGCCGTTCTGCGCCGTGCACCGTGCTGCTCTATGTGTGCTGTATATCCTACAGGGCCGGCGACAAGCTGGCAGTTGTGGGTCCTAACGGCAGCGGCAAGTCAACGCTGCTCAAAGTATGTCACGGGTTACGGGAGGGGCGGGGGGAGGGCGGGAAGGGTAGGAAAAAGAAGAGCAGGGCGGGCAGGACAGCGGTGAGGAGCGGTGGCGGCGCCGGGGGGGAGCCGTGCGGTGGGGGCAGTCGGGTCGGGGCGACTTAGCCGGGAGGACAGGGCTCCCGGTCAGTTCTCCTTCAGGGAACACGGCAGGGGGGAGGACTGTACCAGTGGCTCCGGCAGCAGCAGCAGCAGCAGGCGCGACAAAAGTAGCGGCGGCGCAGGCGGAGGCGCCAGCAGAAGCGCTACAATTGCTCGCGGTGACCGTGATGGTAGCAGCAGCCCCACAGCAGTAGCAGCAGGCGGCAGTAGCAGCGGCGGTGGTAAGGCAACAATTGGAGCAGGAGCAGCTACACTTCCAACAACAACAACTGCTGTACGATATCCAGCATCTCCCACGCGCCCGGCGGCCAGCTTGGCAAAGGCGAGGGCGAGGGCGAAAGGACCGCTCGTTGCTAACGGATGCGCGAGGGGCTCACAGCTCCCCACCCAGCCCACAAGGCCCTCTCTCTGTTTCCCGCCACCCCGCCCACCACCACCATCAACCCCCACACACACCCCACACACGCCCTCCGGCGACCAGGAAAGCCAGCAAGGGGCATATCAGTAGTAGCAGCAGCAGCAGCAGTAGTAGCAGTAGTAGTACCAGGAGCTCGGCGTCATGGAGCTCTCCGTATCCCGCCCCCGTTTGCGGCTCCGGAGGGTCGCTGCGCACTGCTCAATTCGGGGCCGTGCAACCCTCCCTCCTCCTCCTCCCCCTCCCCCGACACGCCCATTTCCAGGTGCTCGCCGGTCAGACGGATTTCGACCAGGGCAGCATCAGTCGCAACAAAGGAGCCCGTGTGGGTTTTCTTGCCCAGGAGCCCCCCCTCCCCGCCGGGGTGACGGTACTGCAAGCCGTACTACAATCCGACTCGGACATGGCCAGGGCCGTACAGGAATACCAGAGAGCTCTGGCGACTGCCAACGGGGCCCTCACGAAGGTGAGGTGGGTATCAGGATTCCTGGTGGACGCTGCGTGTTTGTCTGTTTGTGTGTATGTACGTATGTACGTATGTACGTGTGTGTTCCCGGTGGCGGTAAGTATCAGGGGTTGTGTTTCGTATGTTTGTCTGTGTGTGAGGGGCATCCGGAGGGGTTTTAGGGCGGGGAAAGCCATGTACGAGCGAAGGCCCACGTACCGCTCCGTATACATGGGCCTTGTATGTACCGTGTATCCATCATCCCTTTCCCTCCCTCCCTCCCTCCCTTCCTCTCCCTCTCCTTCCCCCCCGAACTGCTTACCCTCTCACTCGCCACGACTTTCCAGGATTTGGAGGTGGCCATAGAGAAGATGAACACCTACAATGCCTGGGAGATAGACGGGGAGGCCAAGAGGGTGCTGGAGGCGGTGGGCATTACCGACCTGAATGCGCCGGTCGACAAGGTGCGGGGTAAGGGGGTGCTGGGGGGGAGCAGGGCCGGGGGAGGGCCGGGGGAGGGGCGATAAGGGAACAAGAGACAAAGGTGAGGCGGGTGGGAGGAAGTTGAGTGTACGGGGTGTACGGGAAAAGGGTGTGTGTGTGTGTGATATCCCGGGTCGTGCGGCACACCACCCGTCATTTGCAGGGCTGCCACACGCTCATGACGCTCCCACGTACCTGACCCATTCCTACCCCCCCCCCTCTTCACCCCCTCCATCGGTGTCTTTCTCTTCCTGGCTCCTTTCCATGCCGTCTCACCCAACCCCCGTCCCAACCCAACGTGTGTCACTACCGCTGCTGCTGCCGCTGCTGCCGCTGCGTAATCCAACCTCAATGCGACCGCCTCCCACCGCTGCCACCACCACCACCACCAATACTGCTGCTGTTGCTGCTGCTGCTGCTGCTACTGCCACTGCCGGTCAGCTGAGCGGCGGTCAGCGCAAGCGGGTGGCTCTGGCGGCTGCGCTACTGGGGAAACCTGACCTGATGGTGCTGGATGGTGGGTGCGGATGGTGGGATTTGGAGGGCTGCGGTAACGAGGTGGTGGTGAGGGGGAGGGGGAGGGGGTGAGGGGGGCGGTGGGACTCCCTGGCTGCCGGGTAGGTGGTGGGTTGGCTGGTTGGGCGTTAGGGGGAGGTGGTCAGGACGCCGATCAACCTACCTCTCGACCCCCCTGACTGTTCCGCTCTGTGTGGTGCACCTGCGCTGTGCTGCGCTGTGCTGTGCTACCCTGCGTTGTGCTGTCCTCAGAGCCCACCAACCACATGGACGTTCACATGATTCGGTGGATGGAGAGGGAGCTCAAGTCGGGCGACATGGCGGTGGTGCTGGTGACGCATGACAGGTACTGCGGAGCGGCGGGTATACATTATACATACTAGTATGATATATGATAGATATTCCTATATTAAATTTTACAATAGTATTAATATTACAGTATAATTGCTACTGGGCCACGCTGTCAGCGTGAACGGGGAGATGGAGAACACGCAGTTATGGAGGGTGGGAGGTATATGCTTGTACGTGTGTGCTATTGGTTGGAGGGGTGTGCGTGTGTCGGTACGTCAGTTTAATGTTCCGCCGCACCTCACGGAGCCCGCCGCTTTACAGGGTTAAGTGACACTAAGCCCTCTAACGGTCAACCCGCCAAATCCCGTGTGTAGTTGTATACGTATGTTTGTATGTATGTTTATATGTATGTATGTATGTGTGCTCGTGTATACGCGCCTGCAGGTACTTCATGGAGGCGGTGTGTGACCGGCTGCTGGAGTTGGACGGGGGGAGGGCCTTCGTGCACAACTTTGGAGGAGCCAACAGCTACACCTTGTTTAAGGAGGTGTGTGCATGTATGTTTGTTTGTTTGTTTGTTATGTGTGAGGGAGTGTCTTTGGGGGCAAGGAGGAGAGCTGAAGTGAGAGGAGTCAAACGAACCTAGGCGAGGTGCGGGTATGGGGGTGGGGGCTGCATGCACGTGTGTGTGAGTGTTTTGTAAACGGACAGGAAAGAGAGACATGTGTGTA